GCTAAAATCGCGATCCTGGACTGGACATCACTGGATGAAGGTGCAAAGCAGTTTCAGTTGTCTGAAGTCAGCTCAAAGTTGCCGGGTCTGCTTCGAACGGGTTGCATTATTCCGCAAGAGTCCCTGGCGTGGAAAGGTGATATAGGCACGTACCTGAAAGAAGACATTGTGTTGTCTGGCGGGAAAGTTATCGACGTCGATCCAAAGTCGCTAATTGCCGAATGTCCTGCGCTCGGTGAACAGTGGCGTACCCTTGGTGAATGCATCAATCTTGACTCGTTACCAGATTGGGAGATAGATCTTGGTTTTGACTGCTGCTCAACCAGCGAAGATACACTTGCACAGGTGCATGGCGGGATGAAACAGCTATTTCGGTTATTTGTGCAAGCCAATACGAGCATCCAGCACGGTAAATTGTCGAAAGAAATTGTCGTCGATTTTGATGCTTTCCTAGCTTTCATCGTACGTCGTCGTAAAGCCCGTATTGTCGTTTGGGTAGAGCAAATGTTCGGGGGTCGATTGCCTGACGAATGGAAGAATATTGAACAGCAGTATTTGGGGCGATTTCAGATGATGCTTTTGCGCTGCCAAAGCAAGTGTGATGACTGCCGCCTTGGTTGCATGAAATCTGCTGCTCACCCCGGGACCAAATCACACAATTGTGGAGGAAGTCACGTTTGCGCTGGTCGTTGCGAGTACTGCGAAAGCAGCGAACACTTTGGGAAAACTCCATCTTGCTCGAAAGAAGCAGGCCACGAAGGAAAATGTGAGTGCGCCGACGGAGATCACACATGCGGTCGAGATTGCTGCATGATTACTTCACCAAACTGCGGCAAAAAGTGCTCCATGAAGCGAGGCCACAGTGATCTGCATAAATGTGATGTCCCGGTTCACATGTGTGGTGAAGGGTGCTCGGCAAAAAACTGCTCTGGGCGGTGTGTCTTGAACGTTGAGGACCCGCATACCGCCCACAAGTGCGTCGAGCTGCGCTGCATGCAGAAGTGTGTCATGGATGGATGCAACGAAACATGTGGCATTATGGACCATTTTCACGGCCAGATTGACGTTGCAGTAGTGTTTTCGGTGGAAAATGGTAACGAGAAAGATTCCAGCACGTTTGATGCAGCGTCTGAAGCTCCAGTAGTTCATATGTGTGGAAACGGACACGAATGTCAAGCCATGTGCGGAGAAGATGGAATATGTCGAGTGGATGTGTTTCTGAAGCAATCGTCGAGGACGTTTCCCGGTTCTCGTGGCAAGTTTCAGTTCACTTTTCAAGAAATGAATGGCGCTCGTAAAAAGTGCACGAAGCTGCTTCCGCCGAACCAGAAGATGCATCAAGGTGCCCACACTTGCGTCTGTAACCTAAGCGATGATAAAAAGGATGATCAAACGATTCACTACTGCGACGTCCGCTGTCCGTGTTGCAGCTACTTTTGCAAGAAAAAGTTCGGGCACTTTGGGTCGCACACGACGTCGCACGGCAATATGCGCAACACGTACTTTCTATCAGATGTGGAAGAAATTGACATCGAAGAGCGCAAGTACAAGGCTGGTGAGCTGGGAATTGCTGAAATGTGCAACTTGTACTGCTCCAAAATGGGCCGTGAGCATATCCACTACCTTGATTGTGAACAAGGTCACAAGGACCAGTGTGTGTACTCTGGAAACACCACGGATCAACGACGCCACTGCACACGTACATTAGAGCCAAAACCGGAGAAGGAGATGGACGAGGTTTTGCATGAACAATTCTGGAAGACGCTGGGCTGGGAAGATCCGTGCACGTCAAAGATGGAACTGGAACTCTTTGGAAAATGCGGCTACAAGTGTGATGCACCAGACCACGACGATAAGCCTTCGCACTGTACTCTCTCTGCTTGGCACAATCCAGTGCCCAAGCCACAAACGGGATTTGATGGCTTTACTTACGTTAGCGGACATAAGTTTGAGTGCACGCACGTTTCGAGTGGTGGTAAGATGCATCACGTTTTTGTGCTGGATTGTTCGGGTTCAATGAGCGGACGACCTTGGAGTGATCTCATGGCTGCATGGAAGGAGTATATATACAATCGCATTGCGGATGGAGCTTCATTGGATTTGGTTTCGGTTGTCACTTTTGCAAATTCGGCTCAGGTCGAATATGAAGCGCAGAATATCACTACAATGACAAATGCATGCATTCGGTATCGTGGAGGAGGTACAAATTATGCTTCAGGACTTCGTGCTGCCAACGAGATTCTCTCGCGTGTTAATTTTGACACATACAAGCCAGTTGTGGTATTTTTTAGTGACGGACACCCGTGCGATCCGCTTCAGGGCGAACAATTAGCAACACACATTCGTTGTTGCTATGAAAAGAATGGCCTTGAGGCATTTGCAGTGGGTTTTGGAAGTATTAATTTGAAAATGCTGGAACGAGTAGCAGAAAAGTTGGGTGGAACGTATCACCACGTTCTTACGGGCAATGAATTGAAAGCGACATTTTGTAGCATTTCAGCGTCACTACATACTCGAACAGGTTTAGCACTGGCAAAACCTGATCACGAACGTAATTGTGTGATATGTGGACAAGATTTGGCTTCGGGAGAGACAATCAAGCTAAAGGAATGTTGTCATGAGCTGCATATTGCGTGTCGAAATGTGCTGATACGTAATGCCACTCAAGATGGAGAAACCGTGCGTTGTCCATCTTGTCGCTGCGAGATTTCGACATGAAAAGGGATTGAATGAATGAACGGGTGAATCTTTGAGCAATTGATAGTAATTGAATGGATGAAGCGTATGGTAAGAGCGTATGGTAAGAGCGTATGGTAAGAGGTGGTGCTTTGAAGTAAGAAAGGAGTAAGACACATAGCGTATCTGATGTTGTGTAGTAGCTGGGCGTCATTTATTACTTTATTTTATGACAGAGACGCTACTTTTTATGACAAATGCCTAAATTACAAGGTGAGTAATTATATGAGCTACATGTATACTTTTCAATTAGTGACTTTTCCAACTGCGTAAAAAATGCTTTTTCAGCTCTAAAAAACCGCCCATTCATGAAAAAAATGGTTTTTTTTATTTCATACAGAAACGTCGTTTTGATAAAAGAAAAATCAAAACGACTCGTTCATTCCCTCGTTATTGTGCCATCTGGTCAACTAGTATTCATTCGTTCTCGTCATAAATAAGATTAGTAATACGAAAACAATGGGAGTCCGTGGTCTTACTCGCTATTGTCGACAGAATGAAGCACAGACGTCTGTCGAAGTGATTGATCTCCATAATGTGACACTAGCTGTAGATTTTGTAGGTTTTCTCTACTATTTATGCGATAAGTTGTTTCACGAGAGTCATGCGTCGCCCTCGTGGCTTTTACTTGGTGGCTGTACATTGCGACTTGAGAGATACATGGACACGTGGCTAAGAAACTTACAAAAGAGTCATATTCATCTTGTATTTATCACGGATCCACCGCAGAGTTTTGGAGGTGAGAGTCACCGTAAAGGCCTTTGTCTAGAGGACCGTGCACTCCAGAAAGCTCAATTGATTAAGCACTTGGCTACTAGTTTTAATTTAATAAATAGTACTAGTAGTAGCAGTACTAGTAGTCATAATAGTAATACTACGACAAGTAGTCATACTACAGCTAGTACTACATTGGGCAAGACGTTACTACAGACAAATGGTCGATTTCCATTTGCTCGCGAGAAATTACGTGGTGTATTAAAGAAACATGGTATTATGATTACTACAGCAAGTCGAGAAGCTGATGAAGAACTGGGTGCTTTAGTCCGGACAGGTGAAGCATTTGCAGTCTTAGGAGAAGACTCTGATTTTCTGGTCATGAAAGGAGTCAAGTACATTCCATTTGATAAATTGATATTTTATCATGAGGAACAACACTGTGACGAGATGAAATTACGTGCAAGGGTGTTCTCGTCGGAATTAGTAGCACAAACACTTGGACTACAAGTGGAGCAACTTGTGGACGTGGCGTTGCTCTGTGGCAATGATTTTACACCACTGCTAGACGATGAGTACGGAATGGCGGCAATGCTGGGGTTTCCTGTGCAACGACAAAGGCCATCCAGCTCGCTATCTCCTACAGAGGCAGCAAGATGGGTGAGAGAGCATTTGTCGACATTGGAGAACCCTTTTTTGAGTCAGATTGAAGCAGAAAAGAAAGGTTTTTTGCGAGCACTGTTTGAAATCTATCGGTTTTATGGACACACGGAAGTGTTTTTGAAAAAAGTTTCCAATGGAGATCAAAGCGATTGTACCGGACTTGAAAATGAAACAATACAAGATGTTGATTGATGAATTCGATTACCCGCCGGCGGCAATCGACGTATTAGAAATGAAAGTGCGTGGATTGAGTCAGAGATTTGACCCTTTGTCTTCAGTGCCTGGATTAGAAGGAAAGTCATTGGATGAATTTCAAGCACCGGTGCGGTATTTATCGTACTTGGCGTTAAACACGCCGATGGTGGAAGAAACGACAATTGACAATATTGTGAAAGTACGCGTCGCACCCTTGGGCTGCCTTCGTTCATTCCTTTCCGTCCCCATGCAAGGACGCTCGGGGAAAACGTTGGATCGGATGCTTCGCTCTTTGGTGTTTCAACTTTTGTACGACGATCCAACTGGAGGAACTATGAAGGCAGGGCAGTTAGCTGGTATGTTGGGGAAGACGACTAAAAAGGAACTTGCAGTAAAGATAATAGTGTATAGTCTACTCGCGTTGTGGAAACAAGATTGCATGTACCTGGCTGGTGCAAGGTTACTGGATGATCAACTTCTTGAGCTGTTGTTGCTGTCGTCTTTGATTTCGGTGGCGATAGATATGTCCAAGCATAAGTCGAAAGCTTGGGATCTAGTCGTTTTTGATGAGCAGCTCCTTAGTATGGAAGTCTATGCTGTTGTAGGCGGCTATCTGGAAACCCTGAAACAGTTTTACCAGCTATGGCTTGTAATGGGAAACAAACAACCTCAAAACTCGGGTTGCGCAACGTATTTTTCGGGTGAGGTGTTCGTCCAAGTTTGCAAGATTATGATGCAGCATGGTGGCAACACCAATACAGCGACGAAGAAGAAGACCTCAAAGCGCTGTGTGTCAGCGTTTACACAAAAACAGGTGGAGCCGGTGGTGAAGTCTTTTGCTGGCATACCTAACACCACTCATTTTTGGGCTCATTACACGTGTATCCGTGCTACGATGCAACGAATGAAAGCATTGATCCCGCTTCCAGCTGGCAAACTGTGCGCCAAGCAGAAAAAGAGTGCTGCACTTATTGCATTGGAACATGCCGTGACGAAGAATGGTTTCATCTGTGCCAACATTTCTGACACACCGTCAGTACTTCCGCCTCCCCTTCCTCCGACCGAATTTACGCCACCGTTGCCTCCTGACACGCCCACACCACCACTGCGAACTGCTGGTCGTCCTTTCAGTGCAGCCAATTCTGTAGACCAATTCACTCCACCTCTGCCACCTCGATCTTCATCGAGTTTGCAAGCATCAGCAGTTCCTTTCGATATTCGTTCAGTGAAGGGGATGATGCCGTCATCTGTGGCAAAACGTATTGGCACCGACAGTGCTGCGCGCCAAGGCACCGGTTATGTGCCGGAGGCAAAAATCGAGGCCAGGAAGCCAGTGAGTCTGAAAGGGTTGATGCAGACACTGCCTGTGTTTGGTCATCGAGAAGAGATTCTCGACAACGTGACAGAAAACCAATTGACAATTATTCAAGGAGAGACTGGTTGCGGTAAAAGTACGTTGGTGCCTCAGTTTTTGCACGACTCGTGGGCTCGAGGTCGTGCTGCAAGTCAACGCCCTGTGAACATTTACGTTACGCAACCGCGGCGTATTGCTGCGATTGAACTGGCTAACACGGTGGCCAAGATGCGGGAAGGGAATGAGTTTGGGGAGGATGGCCAAGTAGGGAAAGTCATTGGGTACAGAATTGGGCAAAAACAAATGGTTAGCAGCAATACCAAGATTACGTACGTCACGACTGGGTACATGGTTGAGCGGATTATTCATGATCCAGATGCGCTGAAAAGTATTACGCACTTAGTACTTGATGAAGTACACGAGCGCAGTATGGATGTTGACTTACTGCTGTTACTTCTGAAACTTCAGTTGAAAGATCATCTTCACCTTCGCCTCGTGATCATGTCTGCAACCATGGATGCGCAAATTTTGATGAAGTACCTTGGCAAAGCACTTTCGACGCGCTTAGCCAGCAGGAAACCTCTTTTCGTTGGCTCCAAGCTATTTCCAGTGAAAAACGTTTATCTTGAAGATCTTTCGGATTGGTTTCCAGGTCTGTGGCGACGGCACCAAAAGGAAATGGTGCTCATGAACGACCAATTTAAAAAACTCTCGCAAAGCGGCGTGAGTGCGAACAGTGAAAAAAGCGAAGAAGGGCATCACAAAAATACATGAAAAGCAGCTGGTCGTTATTGAGGAAATGGTACGTTTGCTCATTGAGGGCCACCGTTCTCAGAGCGGATCACAGTGCATTCTCATATTCTTGCCTGGCATTGGAAGTATCAACTCGCTTTTTGACGCGTTGAGCATTAACGGGAAGGGTGTGGAAGGTCAAAATGTTCAAGTTTTGGTTCTACACTCGGGAATTGAGCTAGAGCATCAGCAGGAGGCGTTTAAATTGCTAGGAGAAAAGTCCACCAGAATTATTTTGTCCACAAACATTGCTGAGAGTAGTGTGACCATTCCTGATGTTACGCATGTGATCAATTGTGCGATTGAGAAGCAGATTGAGATACCAAATGCAGCGAGATCGCACGCGGAAGTATTGGTAGATACTTGGTGCTCACGTGCCTCTGCGCTGCAACGCTCGGGGCGTGCTGGACGAGTCATGCCTGGCACGGCATTCCATTTGGTTACGAAGTCATTCCGTGAGCGTTGTATGGCTGAATACAACACCCCAGAATTGCTGCGTAAACCGCTGGACCGAATTGTGCTGCAATTGAGGGGACGGCTGAGCCAGTTTGGAGTGCCCAGCTCCCTTCTCAGACAGGCCTTGGATGCCCCGGATCTTTCTCATATTGGCGGAGCCTACAAGCTCCTGCATGCCTTCGGTGCCATTGACTCCGATGAAGAAGATAAATCTCGTTTGACTAGGTTCGGGTCATTTGTCTGCCAGATGCCTCTCAGCCTTGAGCTGTGTCGGCTACTAATGACAGGCGCTTACATGGTCCAGGATACCACGAGCAATGGTGAGTCGTGGCCGCTGTTGCTGAATGCTGTCGTGCTAGTGGCGATTCTTGCCGCACCGGATGTGTTTGTCATGCCGTCGTTCTATCACGCAAAATCTGCGCAAGCGTATGTGGGGGAGATGAAAAGAAATTTGCAAGCAAAGCTGAAATTAGATGACGGAATGTGGAGCGAGCCGCTTTCAGTCTGGTTGTTTTACATCAAGACGCTTAGCGAGCAACCCTTAAAGGGCAAGCGCAACTTGAACGGCATTTTCTACAAGATGTCGATTTCCGTTCGACGGTATCAGACTCTTAATTTCTTGATCTCAGATCTTTGTGCACGGTTAATTGCTCTGTCAAAGAGCAAATCCGGTGAGTTTGACCAGCTTTTGGATACGAAAACGGTCGTCATGTTGAGCAAACTGGATGCGTATGCAAGTTCGCAGCGGATGGACAAGCAGCTTTTAAGATTTGCCCGCGATACTATTACTGACAAGCGTAACGAAGTGCGTGTCTTGCGCTTCTTGATAGTTCAAAACTACGGCGACCATCTCATTGGGAGCGCACGTGCGAAACCTACCAAGTTTGCGGATGATGACCACGACGGCAATGATCGTGTGGATTTGAAAGTGAACAAGGAAGAAGCGGCGAGGTTTCTTTGTTTGTCTAATAAAGACAAAGCCACGCTATTCAATCAACTCGCTAGCAGCGCCAAACCGACGGATGAGCTTGCAGCTCTCGCCCACGAGCAAAACATTGTGTCGATCTACTCTTACATCACTCCGAAAAATTGCGGTGAGGATGAGCACGAAGAAAATTGCTTCGTCGAGGTAACTAGAGACACTGTATCGAGAATGAGCTTTCCAGTGTCGCTGGTTTACTACATTCGCGGCGATGGCTTTCCTGTGAACTTGGGCATGCGGTCGGGTTCGGAGAAATTTGAGCAGGCGTTCAAGTTCCGTGTGTCGGGTAGCAATTCATGCGGACTAACGTGGCAGCAGCAAAAGGATAACGTCAAGGCATCGACTGGCAGCCGCAGCCTGTTCTCACTGCCTATTCGGCCACTGGAAACGAAAACGAAGAAGAAGGAGAAAGAAGCCAAACTACTAGCGGTATATGCTCATAGGTTATTCACTGGCGATGAGACGAGAATGTGGTGTACCAACTGTACGCTGCTACCCCCCGAGCAGCGTGTGCTACTACCCAATTATGCTGCTGGTTACTGCTCCACAGTATGCCAATATTCAATTGCACATGGATGCTAAGGCGGGAGAAATTTTGCTTGTGAAAGTAGGGTCTCAAGATGCAACCTTACCACTCAAAATGGCCCTTAAAGTTGAAGTGCTAGCTACCGTCAATGTGCTGCGTGCAGCATTATCGGATGCGCTCAACGCGACAATAGGTGCAAGGAGACTGTGTGTGTCCGACTTGCTGGCGTTGGCGGATGATACCGTATTTCTGACGAAGGAGAGCAAAGCAAGTGTAAAGGAATGCAAGTGGCAACGCTTATCAATGAATAAGCTCGACAAAACGATGCTGGTAGAACGAGAGACGCCAACTCGCTTTCCACAGCTTTATATGACTTAGGTATGTGCAAATGCGTTGTTGTGGTACGCTGACTGAGTGGGATATTAGGTGGTTTGACTAAGTGGATAGCGTCTAGCAAAAAGCAGCTTAGCAGCTTGAGTGCGTGAAGGTCATGTAATCTTGGAATTCAAAGCGTTAGCTCGATGTTGTTTTAAAGTTGGGTATGAGTTCACGACTTTGACAGGAAACGGCGTTTACTATTGCGTCAGGTCTTTCGTTTCGAAAAAAGACATGAAGCTCGATCAATGCGCGTTTTGACGTACCACAACGTTGTAAAGCTCGCAGCATTGGCGACCAGCCTCAAGAACTAGTGCAAAATGGCCGCAGTTGCTGGTCACGCTACGCGAGTATAAATCTTAGCTCGTCATCGGAAGGTCGACCAGTTTGCACTGATGCTTCGAATACACAACGATTTCGCTTCGAGGCTGCTATAATGATGGAGCTGTAAAACAAAATTGGAAGAAGTTCCAAGTTCGCATGTCTTCGCTTATTCACTAGGACCAATGAAGTGGTCCGTTGCAGTTCTAACCGCTTGTGCTATGTTTTATTCTTTTCTGTTCCATAATGCCGCAGACGTAATTGACTCCACATACTTACTCGAAATCACTGTCGTCGTCAGCATCATCCAATGCAAAACTTTCCTCCTCGTTGTCGTCCATGTTACCTTCGTTGTCATCACTTGAGATTTCATCACAGACGATGCGCTGTTGCGTACGCACTTGACGTTTAGGACGAGAGGCAACTGGCACAGGATCAGCTGCGTCGTCGCTGAATGCACTGTCTTCAGTGTTAGCTTCAAGAGGCGACTTTTTTGACTTCTTGGCGACTGTAGCCTTTTTAGCTGGTGCGACTTTCTTGGGTTTTGCAGCTGGCAGTTTTCTAGTAGGTGCTGTACGTAAAGAAACCTTCGGCTTTGCTACGGGCTTCGACACAGACTTCTTCTTCGCATCGTCTGACTCCATGGCAAAAGCATCATCCTCTTCATCTATTGCAGCCGTCTTGTCAACATTCGAACCGGCCATATCAACTGCCACCGCAGACTTAGTTGAGCGTTTTGCTTTCAAGGCAGAAGTAGAAGCAGAAGCAGCTTTTGTAGGAGAAACCTTGACTCTTCGAGCAAGCCGCTCCGCCAGTGAAAGCTCTTCAATCTCTTCTTCGCTTTTCTCCTTAACTTCTGGCGGCTGCTCCTTGGACTTAAAAAATGCAGTAATGCTGCCTGATTCTGACTCCTTGTTCGTACTTAACACCCTCTCTTTTGTGCCATTAGCCTTGTTTGCGGTAGATTCTTTCTTAATCGGCCGCTTTGCTGGAACTTTTGGCGTAGCCTTGGTGCGAGCTTTTTTCGCCACTTTCACTTCGAAATCAGAATCTTGGTCATCGTCATCGTTGTCACTGTCGTGTCTGTTCTTTTGCTTCCTCTTCTTTGTAGCAGCTTTCGGGCCTCTGCCGCTCTTCTTCTTAGGTGTGTGCGACACGATTCTCTTACGTTCTTCTTCTGTCTCAACTAGCATTTTCTCCAACGCGTTAAGGTCTGTGAGCCACAAATCCTGCACCGTCCTGCCTTCCAAGACGCTGTGCTCCTGCTCAAAACTCTGAAGCTCAGTACGCAGCTTGTCAACGCGTTCCTTGGTCAAGCTCCAGATCTTCATTGACAGTAAGTAGTCGTAGCCTTTGCTGGCATCGTCCATGTTGTTCTCTTCCTCCATAGATTCATCCGAGTCCTCGTCGTCACCTTTCTTCCTTGACTTCGGCACGATCTGGTCGTAACCTTGTGCTATCAATTCTTCAAGAAGCTCTTGCTTTTTCCTGTTATTCACGATCAGCTTGCCGTCGACAACTGACAGGATAAAACGAGCTTTGTTCGACAGAAGTTTGATCTGATCCTGCAACTTCTCCAGCATAGACTTCTTTCTGCGGACGTAGTACTCTAGACGCACACTGTAAAACTCTTCCAAAATTTCTTTGGGGCTATCATATTTCTTGATATGACCGTTTCCATCAAAAAGATGCATGTTCGAGGTCGACAACGAAGACTCAAGTTTAAACTTCTTTACAATTCCTCCTGGGGCCTTGGAAATATCACTCAACACCTTAGGCTCCATTGTAATCGTAAACAACACCTTCACGTCAGTGTGGTTTTCCTTGAAGTCCTTGATGGTGCCTGCCTCAAGCAGTCCTTCCAAAAACTGTTTGTACGTTTGGGTCCACAACTTGACGGGAAGCTCTGAGATCACGAGGGTGCTGTCGTCAATAACCTCATATAGACCCTGGACGATATAATTGCCAGTGTCGGTTCCACGGGAGTTATTTTTCTCCACAATATGACCAGTAAACCCACGGTACCAAGGAACAAGTGGAGTAACTTCCTGTCCGTTAATCATCTTGCGTAGGCTCTTAATGATGTCTAGCGGGTTGTAATTGGGAACAGAGCTGGACCAACCCGTTCCAATGCCGTCGCTGCCGTTGACGAGCACCATGGGTATAACTGGAATATACCACTCCGGCTCGATCGACTGGCCGTCTTCATCCAAATACTTCAGTACATCATTATCCAGAGGATCATAGATTCTACGCGTAAGTTGTTCCAAATTTGTGAAAATATAACGAGAGCTGGCTGCATCTTTGCCGCCCATTAAACGCGTACCAAACTGACCGATTGGAGACAGAAGGTGAATGTTGTTGCTTCCAACGAAATCTTGTGCCATGTTTACGATACAGCCCTGCAAACTCTGTTCGCCGTGATGGTACGCAGAGTGCTCGGAAACGTAGCCAGCCAGTTGCGCAACTTTGAGCTCAGACTGTGAGTTGTTGCAAACCATATTATATAATGTTGGACATCAATCAAAGCCATTGCATTCATTACCCATACGCAACACTTACCCGAAGGTTACGCTTGAAGCAGCAAAATAGCACTTTTCGCTGCGACGGCTTGAACCCATCGAGGACACTTGGAATCGAACGGATGTTGTCTGCCATGGAAAAAAGAATAAGTTCCTTGTTGACAAACCTGTCGAAGAAGCAATAAATAAAGCAGAGGTGTGTGTAAATACTAGCGTCTTCATAATATCTGGAATAAGGGAAACGCACTCTGTGTAGCCCATAGCATCGATATCGTAGTCAACGTAGGTCCCAGGTTCGTAGCCTCGCAACCAGTCTTTGCGATCCTCAACACGCTTCTTCGAAAACGCCATGTCAATCATGTCCGCATCACCATCTCCTTCGTATGTAAATCCAATCTGATGAGTCTGTAGATCAGAGAAGTATTCCTTGGTCTCGGCCGCCGTACTCGTACCTAGACCCTTATAATACTTAATCACCCAACCACGTCCTTGGTTTGTGCTTTCACGCCAGGTTTTATACTCAGGCATCGTGTAAAAAACTTTCTTCATTCGCCCTTTGCTGCACTTTACAATCGGAGTAATGAACTCTTGCAAAAACCCGTCTACAACCAGCAGTGATGGCCAAAAGTGGTGAATCAGGTTGATCACTAGACCTTTAATATGACTGCCATCGTGATCCTGATCTGCCATGATCATCAAGTGGCCATACCGTAAGCCTTTCGTAGACTCGTACTTCTGACCGTACTTAAGGCCAAGAATTTTGACCACATTTTGAATCTCTTCATTCTTCAAAATTTGAGTATGACTTGCTTCGCGAACGTTCAGCATCTTGCCTCGCAATGGAAAGACACCATAGTAATCTCTGCCAACGACCGCAAGGCCACCAACAGCAACAGTTTTGGCGGAATCACCTTCCGTTAGAATCAGAGTACAATCCTTGCTTTTTGCCGTGCCAGCGTAATTGGCGTCGTCCAGTTTAGGAATACCAGTGAGCCGTGATCGTTTTCCACTGCTGCCACCTTTTCGACGCAACTCTGCCGTCTGCTTGAATGCAGCAAAGGAAAGAATTTTCTCTACTAGTCCGCTTTTTTCCACTTGCCTCAAAAACTTGTCGCTAAGGTTGAAATTTGATCCAAAACCGTTGGCTCTTGTCGTCAGGGTTTCTTTTGTCTGAAGAACAAAGCAAAGAAAAAGAAATAGTACAATGTCGGTCGATAGTTATAACAGTCATACAAAAAGACGTGCGTACTTGAGAGTCGAACGCAGGATTTTCAATCAGTGCACTGACGTAGACAAACATGTGATTTTTGATGTAATTCGGTTTGACTGCGTCGCCCTTGTTTTTCTTCTTCAACACATTGACAAGCTTAGTTGTAATCTGGTCTACGATATAATTTACGTGCTGACCACCCTTTGTCGTACAAATGCCGTTGACAAAGCTTACTTGCTGGAAGCCGTCTTCACTCATGCCAACGCCAACCTGCCAGCGCTCGTCCGGCTTTTCAAAAATAACTCCATTCTTCGCAACATTTGACGGCTTGCCCTTGGCGGCTTTTGTCTGTTTTGACTTTTCGTTGCTAAAATCGTCGACTTCGTCACCATTTTCTTCCGGGTTGGAGTCTTCATCCTCTTTTGCGTCCTTCTCCGCTCCAATGGCACAAGACCCAGGATACAGTGCGACATATTGCGGAAACGACTTGATGGGAATTTTTTCGCCGTTCAGGAAAACATTGAGTCCTTTGCCAGAGACACCAGCTACGTCGTAAACCCGCTTCTTAAACAACGAGACGATGTCGTCGTTAAGAAAATCTAGTTTAAACCGCTTCAAATCAGGTTTAAACGTGATGCACGTGAAATCTTTTTGCGTCCACTTGGTGATCGAAGGCGGGTTTTTCTTACCCATGTTGCTTTCAAATACCTGTCTGTATCGTTGTTTCGTACTCGAGTCTGCTGTCTCCACAATAAACTCATTTGAAAAGATGTTGGCCAATTTCGCGCCGTAACCATTTCGTCCACCAGTCGTTTTCTTCTTGTTATCATCAAAATTGCTTCCCGTGAGCAAGTGGCCAAAGATTAATTCTGGCACATATACTTGATGCTCTTTATGCAATACAATAGGAATGCCTTTCCCATTATTCCAGACCGAGATCTCATTTTTCTCGACATCAATCGTTACCTTGAGCGTATTCATCGATTGATCTCGCTGCTTATTATCACACGCATTAACAATAATCTCGTCAAAGATCTTGTACAGACCTGGTACATACATGATCTTTTTCATCACCATTTTCTTCTTCTCGTCGTCAAAAATCCACATATTTTGCTCTACGTGCTCAATGGAGCCCACATATGTGTCTGGACGCAGTAGAATATGCTCTAATTGTGATTTTTTCTGATAAATCTGCTCAATACTTTGTTTGGACGAATCGGTCTCTTCCGTCATTATTATTTCCTCATCTCCACTGGCATTAATATCAAATATTGAGCCATCACTCTCACTATCAGATCTCGCGTCACTGTCCCACGCATTGATCTTCTTCTTCTTCTTCTGACTTGGTTTCTTCTTGGTCATCATCTTCTTTGTTTCTTTCGTGGCTTTACCTCCTGTGATCTTCTGTTTACGTGAAGTAGTAGGTTTCATCTTACTTTTTTGTGTCACCTAAAGTAAAGAGAATGTGAAGTAACAAAACATTACGACCAAAAGTAACATTGTATGAACACTGGAGTTTATAAAGGTTTTAAACAAAGTAAAGTAACAATAGCAAAAGAACAAAGTGTATAACGAAGGAGACAACGTACTTGATGATCTAAATCACTCATGACTAGCTACGACCGTCTTAGAGAGTAAAGGATAATAAAGCCACTTGTTGAATGAATGAGGTTGCCCTTTGCGTGCGGAATGGAAAAATGACGTCAAGTCAAAAATGAGAGCGAGATAAAAAACCTCAGTGGATCTTGAATTTCAAAATCAAATGACAAAAGTTGATACCATTGTTTAGTCTGGCGTCGTCAGAGGTGTGTCTGTTTGATCGATGGATGAAAGAATATACTTGAGTTAAGTATGCTTGCTGACGTTGCACGAACGTAACAATGTCCAATCTTTTGGCACTATATACTGGTTTTACAGTATATATTGATCGACCTTATATATAAATGAGTTTTGGTCATAATTATGATCTTTACTATCATATTCTGCACTTATGGCTACATCATGTATGACCTTGATAGAAGGTTCTTGCAAAGTCTTCAATGTGTTTGTAATCATAAGCTTAACGTTGAGATGAGATGGATATAAATGCTGATACTACTGTAATAGACATCATGTAGTCGGATGTTGACAGAAGAAGAGCATGTTGGAGATAAATCTATGTGCGGTGGTAATCTGGACTCGCAAAGATGGAGCTCAGGTGCTCTGCATGCACTTCCACCGTCTCCAGCTGTGTCTCTGCTAACCGAAGCAAGAATCTATTAACAACAAAATCACCACCACTAATTCAGTTCTGTACGTATAGTATTCATTAGTAAAATACAATAAACGCACGCAATTCGCTCCGGGTCAGTCTCCTGCCGTGCCTCGTCATATTCTTGACGCAAACGACGTCGCACATAGTTAGTGCGATCGCGTGTCGGCATCTTTCCTGCCGCCTAAAGCAATCAACCAGTTAAGCAATCGAATACACCACCATCACCATTCACATTTTCTCTAGCAGTTTATGTACAAAAACATAAGCAATGACTACGCACCCGATAGATAGCGCGATACAAACGTAGCGTTTCCATTCGCATGTAAAAAAAACAAATGCAAAGTGCGGTGTGTGTACATTGAATGTACATCACAAATACGTGATTTGGCGTTCTTTACACTAAATTCGAGACCTGTATCCATTTTCCAATAAAAATGCTGTTTGCACGTAACATTTGTCAAGCAGCCACTTCCTCGTCGCTGCTGTCCCGCGCCATGTCAATCGTTACTGACAAGAAGTATTATATCCTACGCTATGAGTACGTGAGCGATATTTTGGATCGTCGTGGACCTTTCCGTGCGGAGCATCTGGAGCGTGCGGTGAATGCCAAGCGCGATGGTCACGTCATAATGGGCGGCGCACTTGTGAATCCACCAGACGCTGGCGTCTTTATCTTTAACGTGGAGGACAAAGAGGTGATTGAAAACTTTGCAAAAAGTGATCCATACGTTGTCAATAATCTCGTCACGTCCTACAGTATCCGTGAATGGACGGTCGTTGTCTAGATCGTAAACTGTAGCCATTTTCCCATACGTTTGTCATCTGGCTTCCATTAATTTCACCAAATCAAAGTTTTCTTTTTGTCTTAGGATACGGAGGGGTGTCATCTTTAATTACTTGCTATGCTGTGTATGAATGAATGTACATGTTGTTGCTGTCAACGACAAAAGCAATAGACGTATGTATTAAAGAGAGATGTCAATGTTTTCTAAAGGCAGTACCGGTACACAACCAAGGTGCTTGGAGGAAAAAAGACTATTGCTGTGGCAAATAGAAAGGTTCGTTGTTGACGAAACGCCGCATCATGTCCAGTGAAGCCTCGGGTTGGTCCATAGGCACCAAAAGACCCGAGTTCAGCACCACCACGTAGCTCATGTTACCCGCCGCCTTGACCAGTCCCGCGACGCGACCATTTACTATCCAAGGTTGCCGCTTGGCCACGCGATACTTGGCTGTGTCTGTCCAGGCAAGTCGATCGATAGTTTGACCTACGCCTAAATTGTTGCAAATCGAGCCGTCCATATTGCCAGCGTAGAAAAGAAACTTGTAATTGTCCAGCAGATCACGAAACACGTCGATGGGCACGTCTAGCATCTCGTCCTGTAGTAAATGACGTACAACTGCCGGCGCTGACGCTGATGTGCCGTAGGAAGACCCATCTACCGACCTCCATGGTGTACCTGGTGGCACGTTCAGCGCTCGGCGCACGGCGTCGTCGTTGAAAAAGCTTGAAAGTGTTGTGCTCAGGTCCGTAAATGTGTTGCCTGATTGGCGAATGTCATAAATAAACGGGTTCCCCGCGGCCTCATAAATCTTCTGCGTGACAGACTGGCATACGTGGAAGGCGTCCACGTCGCGACCTTGGCGGTGCAGTTCTTCGCAGACGCTGATCTGAGCATTTGCGTCTTCATACTGCTGTGAATCGATTAGCCCCAAAGCGATAGCAAAGTCTGGTACGGAGCGAGTTTGCAACACAGGCCACATGTCACCATTACCAATGGCCACTCCCGTCAAATTAATGAAAATGTCATTCTTGTCCGGTACACCACTGTTTTTTGTGTGAATGTAGTGCGCGATCGACGAAGCATATTTGCCAGCGTAGGATTCTCCGCAAACATACAACGGATTGTGCCTGTATTCAGGGTGGCGCCTAAAAAACGCTTGGAGACCGCGATTAAGTTGTTCGGCTACTTCATCCTGCGTATTCACATGTCCTGCCTCGTCACGCACAGACGAGTAGCCAGTTCCAACAGGCTGATCAAAGAATAGCATGTGACCAATATTTGTCCACGAATGTTCGTGGGGTATCAGCTTCCGTTCCTCTGTAAGTCGATAAGGTCCCATTTCAGCAAGCAAACCAGTCATAGACGACGCGCCAGGCCCACGATTAAGCCACAACAGCAATGGTGTTAGTTCGTCAATCTGCATGGGTGCTCGCGTTTCAAAGAACCAGTAAAAGAGTTTGCCAGCATTGATGCTGTTCACTTCGACCAAACCAGCATACTGTTTGAAACCACACATAATATTCAGGCACAAGCCGTCCATGAGTTTTAGTACGATTAAATATAATCACTTTTTTAATCAATGACCGATTGCCACGACCAAAACAGAAGCTGTACAGATTGGAGCATGCTACTCAAAATGTCGTCTTCCATATCAACTGTTGTCTGCAACTCACCTGCTTTTCTAAAGGAATTCCAAACCCCGGCAGGAACAGCACTGCATCATCCAAAGTATTGTCTTCTGTCCAAAAAATGTTTGTAAACTCCTCTGCCTCATCGTCATATAGCTCCGACGTCCGAAACGCTGTTTCCTGTGTTCTGGTCACCGCTGTGGAGGTCAGTGTCGTCCCGCCGATAATGTACATTGCCATGGCTACGAGCAGCCCTGCAACGGTCGTAATCCGAATCATGCATTGCATCATCGTTACTTGTCCATTATTCCGCTCACGTCTCCATGTCCGTACAGGTTCCACAGTAGATGAGCCGGTGACAGACGCTACGGTATCTTTGGCTAGCGAGCGCCATAGCACCGTGCTCTCGTTAACTGCCATAGTGTGGGCTAGAAGAGTCGCTCACTTGTGTTGCTGCTACAGCAAATATCGTATTGTATCTTTTTTCACCCTAGAGCTAAGAGTCAAACCTCACTTCTCTAAGGTACACAATACACTACCAACCCTTCAAGCTTCGACTTGGGATCTTTTCAGAAAGTGACTTAAATTTCGCCATTCATGCAATTATCAGAATCCCCTTCGTATGTCGATAATGGCTTCAGCAGGTATGTATTTTAACAGTAAAATAGATCTTGTAGTTTGTATGGGTATTGAAAAGATACAAATGTCTTGAAAAGGTGTATAAGAAATGAAAAATATCTTGCGACTAGTTCGAAAATGATGTAACGTACGTAAGACAATATCACGTAACATCTTTAGCCTGTTGATGCATCCACCAGTTTAGCCAACACGTCCGTATTTCGTTTAGCAATCTCCATGCACTGTTGCATTGCGTTGGAAGATATGATCGAGCCACCAGCTTTGTATATGCAGCATAGATGACCTTCTGGACTGTATGAAAGGCTGAACACGGCACTAGCGAGGTCCTCTTCGTCGCTGGTCGGGTCAATCAGTACCGTGTCGTCTACGACGGCAAATGAGGTCGCGTAGGCGCAGTGTTCCACGCGTAGCGGTGTAGCATCTCCATCTGTATCAATAACATACACAACAATACATATAGCAGTTGTTACAATGATAACAAGTCAATGGTATTGACAAGAATAAGTGACGTACTTGGCACAATCGAGACGACATTGTCGGCCTCATTAATGGATGTAACCGGTAGTTTTAACGTTCGAAGCGCCGCCATGATCGACACGAGTGCAGCATCTAGCACGTTCCCATCATGATTGATACAATATACGTCGATCACAAGCTTCCATGCCGACTGGCCACTAACAATACTCAAGCTCTCCATCTCTACAACGCGGGAGCTGCAAAAAGTCACAGAATTTAGTGCAAAAGTACAAGAATGTATTGCCAATGCAATGTTAGAGCTTGCAACTTACCCAAGAATGATCCTAGTAAGTTGACTACCAATGCTTTGCGCTTCCTCCGACGGCCGACCAAGTGTAAACCGATTTGAGCATAGCGGCGACAAATGCACCTGAATAGCTGCAGTTCCAAGAAATGTTAGCGTCTGGTCATCTCCACATCTACAAAAACCGACTTCACACCAATTTCTCCCTGATCAGGTGTCTTTACTGCTGGTGTTCCCACTGCCAGTTTAATAGCCGTCACCACTGACGTTTTGCCAAGTTTGACAAGACTAGAACTAGCTGCTGTTTGGACGATATTTGTCTGTAATTGCACAGGGCGTAAAGCTTCAATCATACGTGCGTCAGTTCGTACTTGATTGACTAAACATTTACGCATATAGTCCAGTGGAAATAACTTCTTAAACACGTCGGCATGAAACGAGAGCGTCACATCAGTGCTATTGATTGTCATATTTTTTTTTCGTGGTTGAAATTCATTCACTGAATGACTTTCTTGTCGATAATGACATACAAATCTATATAACATTTCCAAACCATTCAATCATTTGATGATTGTATACTCTTGATAAATTCATCTCAACTACCCCACCACTATCAAGTCGTATTCAAACCGTCGCTTTCGTTTTTCCAATGCCACCCAAAAAGACCTCCTCGCATCACCACATACGACTGAAAGCGCAGGACGAGACGGATTCTCAACCGTCAAAACGACTGAAACGTCAACGCATGGAGCCTTTTTCTCTATCAAAAGAAGAGGAGACATCAAGTGGTAAGCATGTGATAAAGACTATTGCAGCAGCTTGGAACTCAAACGACAGATACCTTCGTCGAAAAAAGCGTGAACGTATGCACGAAGTGACAGCAGCTCAGGCAGCTTTTGAACAAGTACAAGAAGAAGAGAAAACAATGATGATGAGTCAACGTGAAGAAAAAAGTGACGAGGGACAGGTGACGACTGAAAAGCTTGAAGAAAACAGCTTTGTCGTTGAGCAAGACAAAGAGACTTGGATGCAGTTGATGCACTCACCAGTGCACTCACCAGTGCAGACAACGGGATTGAAAGTACATGAGTCATTGGATATTGACCCAACGCCAGAAAAAAGCACGCCTGCTGTAGTCATAGCGACCAAACCAAAGAAAAACGTGGCAAGGGGAATCGCTCAGAGCAGTTCATCCACATCTACGCGAAAGCGCATGATTTCCTTTTCCCCTGAACGCGAACCACAAGAAGGAAACGAAGCACTGGCACTGAAAAAGCTGGAGAAGAACCTCAAGACTAATGAAAAGTTGCAGCAACGTTTAAAGGCACCGACACCAGTGAAGTCACTTGCGCTGTCACGAATATCATCTCATGCAGAAGTAACTGAGACACAACGACCAATTAACTTCACGAGCCCACGAGCACGACGGCCAATGACATTCCAGAGTCCCCAAAAACGACATCCAATGACGTTTACAAGCCCTTCGTCACAACGGCCGGTCTTTCGAAGCCCCTATACTGCTGCGTCATGCTCACTTTCACAAAGTCAAACTGACGAACTTGATTACGATGCGACACAGGATGATCAAGAGAAAGAATTGGATATTTTGTCGACGGAAGCCTTGGTTTCCAACTCCGGCTTTGTCTCTGATGCCGTAGTGAAAAGAAAAATTGTCGAAACAGAGGAAGGTGAGGGAGTTTGTATCGCGGAAGATGAAGCACCTGTACAATCACAGAATGCGATAAGCCTCTCGCAGGAGTCTGCTGTATGTGCTGTCCCTGAAAAGTTTGCGTCGCTGTCTCAAGAAAGCTGTGACAGTAATGTATCGCAAACTGAAGCAGACGCATCAGCAGCTCAAACAGACGTTTCTTCTAGCACGTTCACAAGCACGTCAGTGATTGGAGACGTCGGATTATTTAATTGCGAGGCGGATGTGGAGTACACAGGTGGAGTTTATGGCGAAGGAACAGACGGGAAAGTGATGGCTGCTGTTATAAATGGGCAAAAGGTCGCACTCAAACGTGCCAAGCCGCACGACGGATTTCCTAGTCATGAAGCAAAGCGCCGCGCTGCACTCGAACTACATTATTTACGGCGAGTGCGTTACATGAAAGGTTTTCTACAGTGTCTTGGACTGTGTGATGCCATCGAACACACCTGTATCGCGCTCGAGGTGATGGACTGCAAGCTGAGTGATTATCTAAGGCGATATGGTGTAAACTCTGGCGGGTCAAAACACCGCCGCTATACTTTGTCGTTTGATGACACGAAGGCGATGCTGAAACAAATTTGTTTGTCCATGATCACGCTCCATGAAGATATAAAAGTTGCTCACGGCGATTTGGCCTGTCGGAACATTCTCATGCGTACGCCACCAGAGGGATACGAGCGGAGTTGGGAGCCAGACATTAAGCTTTCAGACTTTGGCCGTATTAAAGTACCGTCAGACGAACCTAAGATACTCGACAACTCGTTCAGTTTTCACAAAAATTCTGATGTTGGTGCGTTTGGACGAGAAATTCTGTACCGTTTGCTAGTTGGCGAGATTGTGCCCAAAGAGTACGTAGAGACGCGGAGTTTACACAAGTTGCTGCAAGATGTTACCGTGACACAGGTACCGCAAGCTGCTAAGGCTCGACTCGGGCCATATTACAGCTTATTTATGCGCTGCACGGCATGGGGAGTGCGTCCAACGTTCCGCGCGATCTATGAACATTTGGACGACTTGCAGTACTTCGAGACGTCTGAAAATGGGCTCTTTCCTCTGAAACCAGCAGGGTGCACTGACTCGACTTTCATGTCTCCCGTGGCCGAAGGTACTCGTCGCAAGACGCCGACATCCAGTGCCTCGAGAGCACAGAAGCGCGATACTCCAACAGGTCCCAGTCATCGTCTCTCAGGACCAAAGTCGCGACTCTTCTCTTCCAAAATCTTGAACGAAGCGAGTATTTCAGGCTTGAATAAGCCTGTAAACTGGCTAAAGACACGCTCGGTGGGTGTTCAACGAACTGTTGCGCAGCAAACGCTAACGCCGACCGCTATGCCAATGTTGACTAAGAGGAAAAAGACGCCACCGTCAGCTAGCGTGGGCGCCTCGCGCCGCTCTCTACAAATTCTCAACCAGATTCAACATCGCACGATTGAAAAGGGTCGCAAGTCTACTGAGTAAGCAGTGGTAATAGAAGTTCAGCAATCGTGTTAAAAGGATACAGAACTTGGGCGTCTAGGCCACTCAATCAGGTGATAATTAATTACCTGTGACAAGTTGGCATACAATTTTGCTGAGAGGTCGTGACAAGTTAGGATTGATGCACCAGTAGACTGTTGAACCAATGGTATGCACGTCATGCTCTTACCGGAGCTTAAGGAGGAAAGTGCGGAGCAATGCGTACTGTCTCTATATGCGGGTTCATCGCTATGCAGCGAGAGATGGGGGTTCTCAATGCATTTGGATGAACATCCAGGAGAGTGGCAATTATTGCAATCTGCCACCTTACTAGGATGTACATGCAGCAACTATTTGCAAGGCTATTGGTCACCACTTTTTGCAAAGCTATTGGTGTCTGTGATGGTAAAGACCGCAAGCTCTTGCTCGTTCACTCGCTGCAAGTTTTGCAGAGCTCTGCTGGTTATAATCGCGCGTCCAAGTTTTCTCAATATGGCGTAGTTCTGATCCAATATAGCTCTTCAAGTGAGGGCTAATCGTTACTCCCCTCCAGCCGACAAAGTCGTTGACATAAAAAATGTGCTTGAAGACGCATTGCAGGTAGTAGGTAGCCTGTCGTGAAGGGGTAATGATGAAGTCGTAAAGTTGTACTAGTTTCTTTGCAGGTTCTATTGGTCTCATGGTCGGCACAAAACGATGCAGCCCAGGAGAAGGTGATATACTAAAAGCTGTCGTTGTTCCGGTTCCAAGGGCCTGACAAATGAGACCATCAGAATGCAGTCAAGTGACAGAATGAGCGTGGCAGTGAAGCACACAACGAAGAATATATGGGTATGATGAACATGTAAGAAGAGCAACAGGTTTTTCGATTCTGAAGTCGTCGTCACGAATGCCAACAAATACTTCAATATTTACCAATGTAGCATGAGTCTTGACTGCGTGTCTTACTTACATTACTAGCAGACCGATTCGATGTCACAGCATTTGGAATTGCGATCACTTCAGCTCAACCTCGCTCTGGCAAAAGACTTTGGGAATGTAACCACAGCATTGATAGTAAGTGTCGAGAACTCGTTCTCCACTGAAGACAGTACCGCAATAGCATATACCCAACTGCTGCATGCCTCTCGCGCGGCCACCGGTCGAGCAGGCGATAGAACAGGCAAAGTCTCTCAGCTAACGGCGTCCCGCGCCACGCGTCATCGCTTCAGCGGTCGCACAAGTTAGTTCATCGGGCCACTCAAGCGGCTTCTGCGGCATACCATAAGCTCGTATGATGTTAAGCTGCATCAACGGAGAAACTCATGAGACGCCCACTATGGTGAACAACCTTCATGCTCAAACGAAACGATGTTCTAACGAGTCATACAGTTGCAGATAAGAGTGGAGATGTTTACGCTAGAACTATCGAGTACATCAGTGTAAGCATCATTGTCCATGAAATAGATGTTTCAATATGAAAGCCCCCCGGCGTTGTCCGCTTAACTTATGGCATTCCAAGCATCTTGTCAACCATAACGTTAAAATGGACAGTCTGTTCATCTCTCTCTCTCTCGTTCCTGGCATACCAACTGGTTGTAAAGAACGGCGAATCTATTGTCTGAATCTCGCACAATTTGTCAGTCATATAAATGCCGCAAGTCAAAAGCAGTCACATGCGACTGAGGTCAGAGCAGCTCTGCTTCATCGCTCCCCTATACGCATACTTCGTGCTTGTCTCCTAGCCTATCTTAGTGTAATGACTGACTTTACAGCGAGTGTGTACATGTGTGTGGTCGAAAGGCAATTGCGATGATACCACCGACCGTAAAGTCGTAGAAATGAGTGTCGCTTTTACTAGACAGCGTATCTGCTCTTTGTTCTTGAACTGTACATACACACGTGTTTTTTTACCTATGAACCACTTGACCAACGAGCTCTGACTATGCCGGAGAAGCACCTTTATTATATACCACCATTTGCTTTTACAGATGATATCGTAACTAGATGATGATAACCTATCAGCCTGTATATATTTATCACCTGTTTGTTTACTGGTTGATAGTAGATCAACTACCAGAACGAATCAATAGAAATAGTGTATATTCGAGTATCACGATTCAAAGCTAATTAATTGCTGGACGTTCCTACGAACAAAGCTGACAATCACTATCGCGTCTTTGTTAATAATCGAGGTGTCGCTAATTAAAGTTGATGAAATCCAATAGAGGAATAGCACAAAACATTCAGAATATTTAGCGGCTATCCCGTCTGCTACGATGTGTTCTTCCTGAACTCTATACACCCGCTAACGATACAACGCTGCGAAGCAGTGTCGCTACGAATGTACGATACTGCTCCATCTTCCGCCCTTGTAGGTTCATGAGTGTCAATGGGGAAGAGTTAACGATGAAAAGTCTTGCATTGCACACCAAGCCAAGTCTTGCATTCCAAAGCTAGAATTCTTTAGATAATTTTCAAATAACGCAGATAGTAGAATAGCCTCGAGACGTTGTGAATGTTTATATTGATGACAGTGTCAGGAAATCAAACTATTCGTTGTAAGCCACAATTTTCGATCAAACGTGCACTGAGACCGCCTGTGCTAAAAAAACGTGCCCAATATTTCCAATGCAAGCATTCGTAATTTGCTCATGCTGCCTTTTATCTATCGCACGTACATGTTGGATGAACGACCAGAAATTTGCCAGAACGGCTGGTTTTACAGATGATGAAAATTATTTTCATACAAAACTGGTACTCTCAAGCATTTATGTAGGCCAAAGAGCAACGACATATGGCGAGTGGTCAACAAACTGGCGACCAAGTGTCCTGTCACTTGATAATTAGCTCGCGCCTAATGTGTGGCAAGCCTTTATCGGCTTAGAAAGTCCCATCGCATTTGAGATCTTAGGGTTGTCATGGTAAAACGATAGGTAGTTCGTACATTCGCTCGCTTAATGTCAAGAAATTTCCCATCCAACGATGAATCATCTAGCCTAATGACTCTGGTTTTTCAGTTCGATGCACGATGAAGCTTGGAAAACAAACGCGCTTTTTGTAGTCATTCTGCAATTTGCCTCGTACTTCCAAGTAGCATTCAACAACATCTATTACATCGAGACAATACAGTACAACCAACAATGAAGACGTATACTGCTATCGTTGCTTCCGCTCTGATCGTGGCGTCCACGATAAATATGGTGACGGCTAGGGAAGAGTACCTTAAAGAGATTCCAAACGGGTCAAAATTCACAAAGGTCCTTGGACACAAAGGTGCATCGGATTATACTGATTTTGGTACGGCATTTCAAGAAGCAGGCTTCAAGTGGAAAACAATCTGCGATAAGCCTTTCCCTGGTACCTCGATAACAGTGGGACAAGCTTTCGGCGACCCATGCTGCACTTGGAAGAAGGGCGAAACTCCTCAATTCGAGGTAAGTTGGACTACAGATCCCGGTCAAGGAACGACGTGCCCTTCTAGTAACTCGGCAGAAGGGTCCGCTTCGACGCCAAAAGACGAGGAGTTTGGGGGTGAGGTCATCGATAAAGCCGGAGGTAAGGGCGATTATGGGGCCACTGACGAAGTCACTGATAAAGCTGGCGGCAAGAAAGATGGTGAATCAACCGGGGGCATTGAAGAAGTTGACTCAGTCGGGGGTAAGAAGAGCACTGGTGAGTATGGGGCTACTGAATCAACCGGGGGCATTGAAGAAGTTGACTCAGTCGGGGGTAAGAAGAGCACTGGTGAACATGGGGCCAGTAATGAAGCCGGAAGTGTCGCCGGACTTTTGGCCACTGATAGCGGCGAAGAATTTGCAGAGACGAAGGGAATTGAATCAGCCGAGAGCACTGGTGAACATGAGGCCAGTGATGAAGGTGAAGTCCTTGGTTCATCCACAGATGGCGGAAGCGGACCTGAAAGTCTTTTTGGTGCCGGTGAGGGGCCTGGGAAGCCAGGTGTTGAACTTGCACTGGGCACCAGCCTTCTTCCACCACTAGACTCAACCGACCCGTATGGTAAGGGGCCTTCTCCCTCGGGCGGTGGTTGTGCTGCGAAGCGTGCTCGTAAGTTACGTCATTAAACGAACTCACGTTTACCGGGGTCATCTTTGATCTATGGATGTTAATGTCGTCGAAGAGAGAATACAAAATATCTTGACATTGTTGTAATTAAACAAGCCAGCCATTTTTGAGATACATTTGAAGTCGTCATCAGGTAGAAGTAATTTTTATCAGAATCGTATTGTGGTCCGACAATATTACCTTACCCCTTGATACATGACTAATTTTCTTGTAGTATTGTGTCATTTCCTCACAAGATGCTACCATCGTGATGGGTATGACACCCGGTAACGATGATCAAAGGATTCATTCAATTTAGTGAGCCTTAGTACTTATGCAACGATACCGTAGCTCTTTGTAACGATGTTACACATCTACCATATTAAAAACAGCTCGCCACTTTAACTCAAAACGGCAGCGGTGTTGGTGCTACAATATAATGGCAAAAGCTATTGCTACCCTTGCTTTGTGCCTCTTACCACTGCTTTCCTTCACTGTACAACCACCCAAAGACATAGTAAATGCTGGCGCAGGAGTGTTTGTTGTAGTAGGAGCGTATGCTGTAGTAACAGCATCCATCGCAGTAGAAGATGCTTCCATCGTAGCCGGGGGAATCTGTGGCCGTCGACATCAAACTTAAGCATTATCTATAGTGTTTGACAAAACCAATGACGAACGGGTTGCATTCCGCGACCCGCGCTGTACCTTAAAAAGCTGCATCAGAGATAGTCCAGCGTTGAGGTTGACACAATGACAGACATGCGGATAAGCTTAGCAGAAATACACTGCCAAAGATAACGAAAGTGTCACAACAGCAGCCATCGACCGGTTGAAGGGATCTCCGTGCTCAGTCAATTGAACGTGTCATGTCCAGGGCACTATTGTCGCGTGAGACGTACACAATTGCGTTACCGGGCGTCTTGGTAAAAGTCGTCGCCTAAAAGTCAGGGATACCTCCCTTTGTTCACATGCAATACGAATCCGGGTGAGACGCAACGTTCGATGTCGTCGACGTTCCAGAAAACGTCACCTTTAAAGTTAACGAAACATCGATTTACCAAAAACTGTCACCTTACATAGCGTGGGTGGTCCGCAGCTCCAAACCGATCTTTAAAGAGTTAACTTCATGGTCGTAGCAGGTTCATTGGACGCCAGCCACGATCAGAGCAAAAGAAACAAGAGCAGCATACATTTTACGTAGATAGTAAGTCAGTGAGTGTATCTGAAGTGAGGAAGCTGTTTTGATGGTGCGAAGCGCAACGCTTGACGCTTGCTCCATTTTCGTTGTCTTGCCGTATCACACACTGTCATGACGTGGACGTCAGAGATGCCACTACTGACTGTCCGAACGAAAACCTAAGTGTCTGGTTTAGTTAGAGCAAACAAGCATTGCACGCCCATAAACAACATGTGCATATGCAGCTGTACATACATTAACGCTCATTTAGTGCCGCTTTGCATAACGATCCGTGGCCGAATCAACCGCATGTCATGTTTACTGGGTTTCGCCAATTCGTTACAACCCCCTCTCAGTCAGAAGCTACTTTGCAGCAAGGTGTACAATCAACAACAACTCACAACACATGAACTCTGCCATTGGTATTGAAGACCGAAGCAGTCATTTGTGTGGCGCTGAGTTATATGAACAACAACAACAACAACAGAGTTAACGGACCCTCTCCATTGCGTTTTCGGTCAGGAAAGTTACATTCGAGAGCTTGTTTCATGACTTTTTCAGCTTGTCGATTGCAATTGGCAAATACTCCGAAGATTTCAAGGCCGGATCCCATCAGGAACAGTCAATGCCTTTGTCCAAAGGTTACAACTTGCTGGCCTCTAACAGCTCATTTGCGTGTTGATCGTGTCAAACCACTGGATGAAAAAATCCATCACGACGAGCAGAGCCGAATGAATGCATTTGGACTGCAGTGTGATGGTGGACGTCAAAATACAATAGTGAGCGACTTATGTTATGCGTCTAACTAAATGTATGCGTGAAAGTAAAATCTTGAAACATTGCACATCCAACACCCCACCTACTCAAATCTTTCATCACTATACCCAACAATGCACAAACATTCAAGCAATCACTCTTATGGCGCCGTCTTGGTCGAGTTGCCAACAAAGCCGGCAGCTGCTTGAATGGCGCTAGTGTCTGATTTTACCCTCTCTTGTGCTGCCTTCCTTTCGGCTTTCTGCTGTTCTCTAATAATACGCCATTCTTGCTTCTGAGCCGCACGCTTGGCCTTTCGCTCTTGTTGTGCTTTGTGGCGAGCTTCTTTCGCTGCCTCTCGCTTGTCCTTTGTCATTTTGGCGGTCACGTTATCATCATCGTCGTCATCTTCATCACTCTTGTCCTTTGGTTTGACTTTAACACTAGAGGACAATGCATCACCCTTCTTCTTCGTGCTGGAATCGCCGCTGGTGGAAACAGCCCCCTTTTCGGTTTCGGAGGCAGCATATTTGCCTTTTGTTTGCTTGCTTTTGTCGCCTGCATCATCGGAGACGTCTGCGTTATACTTCACCGTACCAGCCTCATTCGGTTCCATAACCGCTAGATCTGTTAAAGTTCTTGACACTGTCGACTTGTCTAATGTCGTCGACAAAGAAGCTGAAGCAGCTACAGTTGCTGTTTCACCAAGTCTTCGTGTCACGCCACTCGAGTCTAAAACCGTGATATTCAAAACCGCCGCAGCGAAAGTCATGGCCCGTAAAAGATTCCGAGCAACCATGTGAAGGTAACAGTGTCAGAAGGTTTTTGACGCCAATTGCAGTGGTGATAGAACGTGTAACTAATACAAGTGCGTTTTACATGTACTTGTCTTACACATGGTCCCTCTACGACGAACGGGAAATCGTAGATATCATGGGATGGGTTAGTGGCACCAGACAGGACTCACCCGTGTCTGTCTACATTATGCCTATTACCATGTTGACCATTAGATCGCCATGTATTTTACATCATTAAGCCTAATGTCAATACATGGCGATCTAATGGTCAACATGGTCAACATGATCAACATACCGTTGTCGGAGATGCTTTGTTACAAGCACCCATTTTATCAAGTATTCACCGAGATTAAAGGCTTCAGGTAAGCCTGTAGTATTTATTTCCAAGTATTCATGTGCTGGTGGCATAGGAAAACACTGAAAAAACTGCCGTGGGTGAGTGTTTGTTCATGTGTTGGTGGCAAACGACCACAAAGTTGTGTGAACATTGTAAGAGCTCAATACCACCGTTCGCTGTCATAGATGCCTATCATATGCTCACGACGCTACCTTCCAGCCCCAATTTCATACATAGAGTACTGCAGCAATGGTGAGACTCATATCTTGTCAAGCTTAGACCACTTTTGCAATGGTAAGAGATATCGAATGCCACATTAACAAACTGTCGACGCTATAACATGCGCATAAAGATGGGGTCTGCTTGCTTTTCTTTTCAAACAATCGCTCGTGGTTCTAGAGATAATCTGGCCGTTGCGGTAAGACTAGAGATTGGTTGGTTATCAGCTTGGCAGCTAAGAATCCTAAACCTTATAAGGAGATATCTGTACTGATGCGCTCAGAAGACAATGATGAGACTTTATGCTACGCGAATTCTGCCCACACATTGACTCTGTGAGTGTTTCCACAGAAGTACTCTTTGGCTGCCAAGCAAGTCTTTGACCGTCGAGCTTCATGCAAATGTGGCCAAACTGGCAGGAGAGGGAACGGGACGATGTAAGTGCCAAATGATCGAACGCAAACGAATTAGCTAGAAAAAATACGAGCCACAGTACAGAGTCGAGAGATTCCTGTTCAAGCAGCGGAGCAGGCTCAGCTCGAGAAGTCGCAGAGCTGGCCGCAAGTCTAAAAAGTGCAACGACTTGGCGAGGCACCAATGGTCTAGGCACAAATCTCCGACATGCTGAATGTGGAAGACCTACTCCTACATGGACCTCAGCATGCTCTCAGGAGGCTGCTAAACATCTTTCGGAGTGGTGTACAAATGCCTGGGATTGTAAACGATAAGAGAGTAAGAATATCAATGAAGAGATCGGTTACGTTGAAATTCGGCATTTACGATAAGGCATCTCTAGACATCCCAGTCAAAATCCCCACAATCTAGAAGAGGAGGTAGAACGCTCAAACGAAACTATACTTGTTAATAAACTAAGTAGGCGAGCTACTCAGTTTCATATCACCGACTCATTGTAAAATCTCATTGACTACGCAGCGATAAGATTCTCACCAACATCCGTCGGATACCTCACCTTCTGTTAGAGCGAAGCGTTTTTCAATGTCTAGGACGCAGTAAGAAACAATCCCCAATAAGCTTATTCGCAATACTCCGCCGAATCCTTAGCAAGTATATCGTCTTTCAGGTCAGTGGCGGCAGCGCCGCCCCGTCTCGTAAGTGGCGGTGGTGTCGTTCGTCGGGTGAGTGGCAGTAGTGTCGTCCGTAGGGTAAGCGCCATTGGTGCCGTCCAGTGGGTGCAAAACAACGAGGTCCTCCACCGGGTCCGTGACTACGGCATTATCTGTCAAATCCGTGAAAGCGGCGCTGTATGTCGAATCTATGGCAGCGGTAGCGTTTGCCAAGTCCTTGGCAGCAGTATGACCTGTTGGTTTATAAATGTCACCAGTCGGAGCCTCCGAGGGGGCGGGTGCAGCGCTAGCGCTGTCGTCTGCGCACTTTGTGCCGTCTGTGTTGACCTCCGTTAGCGTGTAGTCTGGTTCATTGGAGCTCCACTTGCAACATGGGTCTCCTAGGGCCTCACCACACGTGACCGAGCCGCCTGGCCACGTCAGCGAGCATACCTTGAGCCATTCGGTGCCTTTATCCGAGAAGAGCGTGCCAAAGTCCGTGTAGCTCGTTTCCGAGTGGCCTAGAGGCTTGCCAAGGTTTAGACCGTTGGGAATAAGCTTCATGTAACTGGAGTATGCGCTTGCAGCCTGCATAAAGGTGGCCACGGCGACGGCAATCTGAACAAAGGCGAGCATATTTTTTTACTGCGAGTCTGACTACACAATCAGAAGTTGAAATAAGCAAACTCGCTTCAATAGCACTACACTGCAAAGACGATTCCAAAAAAGGACAGTTGTCGCAGTGACGGCCAGACGTTTTACGGATACTCGAAAGGCGATTGGCGCTTTGCAGCGCCACGCATTCTTATCATACGTACGGGGTCTATTCTCGGAAGCTAGATGGTACCAGGTAGAAGACAACAGGTGGATTCGTCTCTGCTTGCAAGTCATAACGATGAATTAAAGCGCAAACGAATAGTCGCAAAGCAAAGTAGCACCTGGGTGTGTTTCCGACAAGTTTATGCTGGCTTACATCTAGCAAGATGGTGATTTTGATGGAATTGAGAACGAACGAAGAAGTAGAAGCGAAGCACACTGTATATTGAATAGACAAAGTTCTAGCGCTCGTGGACTTGTGTTGTTGCACACAATGAGCCTATCCGCTCGTTGACGTGAAACTTGTTTCCATGCACCTGTATTTCTTGCAGTATATTCCATCATGGATCGTACTACCACCGATTCATCAGAATGCGGCCTTTTGTGGGCACAGTTTGCCGTTTTGGACGGTAGAAAGTCAATACTCCTCCAGATGCTGACGTTTGTAGCAACAATAGCTATCATTCTTTTAGTGTCATTTGCACGCCAGATACAGCATGAAAATAGCTCAACCGGATCAGGCCACTTTACGCCATCTCTAGCTACAACATTCTATATTGCTCATGATCTAGTGCAGCTTGCATCTAATTCTTGCTTGACATGAAACTCATCGCTGGCGCCATGTTCTTATTCATTTCACATACTATATATAGTCTTATTTAGGTATTAATTAAGAGTAAAGACTGAAAGTCATAAAAGGTCATAGAGAATTGCCGACTTATGCCGTTTGACAGGTAAATGCGTCCAAAAAGTACTAGTGACTGATACCGGTTTCTAAAAACCAAGTACTATCATTTTGATACTATGGCCGAATTCCAAGCCATTATTTTGGCTGGTGGTCGTGGCATTCGTTTGTATCCTTTGACAGAGGAGACACCGAAATCACTTTTACTAGCAAATGAGAAACCTCTTTTATGGTATCAATTACATTTGCTAGAGACGTCTGGTTTTACGGAAGTCTTGGTACTTACTGTCCGAGATTTATTGTCTCCTCTTCAGGATTATGTGACACGCGAATTTGATGGTAAAATTCATATTGAATTGTGTGAAGTAACGGATAATACCGAAACAGCCGATGCTCTTCGAGAAGTAGCAGATAAAATCAAATGTGACTTTATTGTACTAGCTGGAGACCTCGTGACGGACGTTGTGTTACATAACGTTGCGGATTTTCACCGAATGAACGATGCAAGTGTTACGATGTTACTTCAACAGGAAGCACCAGTCCGTAAAACCAAGGGACAAAAGCCGTGTCGTGATAAAGATATGACGGACTGTATTGCACTGGTTGAAGGTCAACGAAATGAAGAGAATCGTGTGATTTTAGTGTCTCAGGCAGTGCATATGAATGAAGATTTGTACATTGCCAAGAGTTTACTCAAACGTCGGAGTAATTTCGTCCTGCATACGGATCTCTATGATGGACATTTCTACATTTTTGCCCATTGGGTCTTGGATTTGTTACAAGAGAAAAAATACATTGCAAGCATTAAGGCTGATCTCGTGCCTCACCTTGTGCGTCGACAATTTCGTGGAGCCGATGCGTTACCTAAGAGTGTCAGGGAAAAAGCGACAAGTAAACAGGAGCTTGCAGCCTCCATGTCACTTGCAGAAGAGAAACATGATCCCGAGGACCTTGTGCGCTGTTTTGCTTACGTGCTACCGACGAATGCTTACTGCGAGCGTGCCGACACAATCCCGGCATACCGAGCCATGGACGAGGAAGTTGGTTCGCGTCTGCGTATTAAGCGGTCAAGATCCATTTCTAATTAAGGCATGACTTTGCTTTGAAGTAGCCGCCGACAAAGAGTAAGAAACAGAGAAGTGGGTGCTTGATATTTGACAAGAAATTGCATCTAGTTCGGCTTCACGTCAGTCAACAAGACGCGCAGTATTTCTGCATTACTACTAGCTCTAGTGTTCTCCACCACATAATGCAGATCCTGGCAGAATGCATGCAGCCTACAGCTCTTCGTGTACAGCCGACAACTTAGCCACCGCAGCTACAAACGTTTCCAGATCTCCCTTTGGTACCAGAAACGAAGTCGAGCCATCAATGAGCTTGTCTAGGAACTCCGAAATGGCGCTTTCCTTGTTCGTACCTGGCAGGGCTATAGACAATTGCGCACCAAAAGCAAAAAATTAGACATAGCGCCGTTAACGTACTTGCACATTCCCAGTCAAAAGCCATGCATGCATCTTACGTACCCGAGTACTTCATGTTGCGACCAGATCTCAGCACAACCACCTCTGCAGTCTCGTCACCAACGTAATTGGTCAGAGCTTGGAAGACCGGCGCATCGGGCTTGCAAAACAAGAAAGTGAATGGGTCGCGGCGGTACTTCTTGGCCAAGGAACGCAACAGCGTCTTATCTTCTTTGGCCACCACGACGCACATCTTGTTTCGATGAGCGACACAATCACGAACAGTGTCGGTATCAAATTCTTTCAATGCAACCACAGGTTTCTTTTTGGCCACTTTGCGTGACGGGAACAGAGGTACAGTAGGCAATGACTCATCCTTCTCCGCCGTCTCAGTTTTCGCCAGTGCATCACTAATGAACTTTATGGCCGCAGCTTCGTTCAAGTGACTCACATCCGATATAATGTACTTCTGACTGGCAGGATAAACGTAAATGACAGTCGGAATCTGGTCTTCAGTAAGTCCAAAGTGGTTGGCAATCTTATCATCCGACCCTGGCACAAATGCCAATTGAACTGTCGGCCTCTTTTTCTTCTTCTTTCCCTCCATGAACGATTCTGCTACATTACCCAGCCACTTTGGTACCTTTGAACTCTTCTTGCCTTTCACTGGACTTCCAAAGAAAATAGCTGATGGCAAATCTTTGTTCAAAAAAGTGTCCACCTGGTTAAACAAAAGCGTGACAACGTTGCCACCACTGACTCCGATCTTCTTTGCTTCATGTGACGTCATCACATACTCGACAATTTCTTGCGTAGTACGTCCACCACGATAGTCCTGGGGACGTTTCTTCTTTGCTCCAAACTCTTTAATCGTCGGATAGCCCTTGATCTGGTACTTGAAAGCAAGTTGCTCATTGGCCGTCACATCCACTGCACCCAGACGTGCCTAGTATATACATTCAGCATCACACACAAACGACCAATTACAATCCAATTGACGCGTCAATACATCAATCCATTACTATACAATAAACAAGTCTAACGTTACAAACTTTTACGTGAAACGTACGTATTTCTTGAGTCTCTTTGCTGCAGCTTTATACTCTGGCTCTAAGCTCTTACAATGTCCACACCTAGATATCATTAATGATACAATCACAAGTAGTAAAAAAGAGTCAGTTCATGGAATGGATACATATATCCATACATACAGTACTCAATAAAAGAGAAAACCTACCAAGGGGCATAAAACTCCACAAGCCAATAGTCAGGACTCTGAAGTACTTCCTTTTCAAAGTTTTTCTCGGTTAAAATCACTACGGAATCTCGTGGACTATAGTCTGCTAGTACCGTCGCGATGCAAGTACTAAGCAAGAGTAGACTCAAGTGGACACGTGGAGCCATTCTACGTATTGCTAGTACTGGGTGAATCAAGAAATAATACTAATCTAAGTATCTACGATCAACTTGTCAACCCATGACCCGACACCTGAAACTCAAAACCCAGGACCCAGGACCCAAGACTCGAGACCCAAGACCCAAGACCCAAGACCCAGACCCCAGAACCCGCGACCCGAAATTTCTAGAAGATATGGTACCGTCTAATACCTCTTATACTAAATACTATTTTGTTTTACCACATGAGTCTCTTAGAATTAATATTTGTTTTTGCTTTTTTGACTACCATGGGTAAGTCATGTCGCGACATGGCAGAAGCTTTACGGGACTGTATGTTGCAGCAAGAATGTATGGGTGACGGTACAAAGACATTGAAGGAATGTCTACATGATCGCAAGTATTCACACGAATGTAAGGTGTGCAAGTAGATAGAAAGCTAATACATTGTAATTGAACTGATTACAAAAAAGAGAGAGACTAATACGATGGTGATAGGAATACCGCGTGGCGTATTTTGAGTGTAGACGTGGCCAATTGGATATGAGACAGCGCATTCGAGGGCCTAAAGGAGGCACGTCAAAGCGTACAGAAGGTAGCTAGCTAAAAGCCAGTAAAGACAAGAAGAAGAAGAAGAGAGAGAGAAAAAAACATCTTAAAGCAATTGAATTAGATGCAAAGGATTAGACGTTTTGTATGTGAAGGTAGCACTTGTAACAGAGTGGACTTATTGCTTTGAACAAGTGAGATATCACACTCAAGAATCAATTGATGCAAAGCCATTCTAACGGTCCATTGGAGTTTATCATCAATGTGAATTGTGATCATCTCACAGAGTGACTCGATGGTTTCAAGGTAAACTCGAGAATTGTTGAGCCAGATGGAATTGTCTGCTACGGACAAGTCAAGTATCAGATTGAGAACGTCCAAAACGCTATTAACGTCGTGCGGTCGTCGCTGAAAGAGCGTGAATAGGATACTGATTGCATCGATGGTCAGATGTTGCACTTTTGGAACCGAAGATGAGAGTATTGCACCGAGAATCAATGCTAGGAAGATGAAGATATGCGGGAACAAGTAAGGTGGTGCTTCGTCCAAATCTCGTTCTAGCTCTGCCAGCAACAACTTTATCTTCTTAGTTGAAAGGTCTTCAACGTATCTTGATACAGTAGCTTCCAGGATAGATAAGCCTCTTGGTTTTGAGGTAGTGCTGTAAATGTGCTTGGCATTGTGGCTGAACGCACGTTCCAAATCGTCTCTTGCTGCAGCCATCTTCACCAAAAGCTTCTCTCGACTAGTCATATCCACCATACTTACAAACTCACTTAATGTCGTGCTTGTCCATAGTTGGCTACTTGAGATAGAGTCGGCAATCGTTTTCATTGCGACTGCGTGTTGCAGCAGAGGTTTAAACAACATTGGCTTCACCATCAGTGACCAGCGCAACCTCACCATCACCTCTTCATCCTGTGAAAGTTTGAGTGCGCTCCTTTGGGTTCTTACAGCTAATGCATGCACCTTTGCAGCACAGAGAAAGCTGCAACTTGCAAGCTGCTCAGCGTGTAAGAAGTAGAAATCAAATAGTTTCTCAACAGTCTCAAGTGATTGTACTGCCTGTTGTGTTGCAGTAAGTACCGTGTCACCTTCAAATTGAGCTTCCATCGTTTCGTTCACTGCATTAAGAAACCCCAACAACTTTCTTTTCAATGACTTGATAGTCTCATTTATCGTTGCGACTACTAGCGCGTGTCTCCATTGCAATAGCATCAGTGGATCCGTTGACATCAAATGGCTACATTCTAGCCAGTCAAATAGTATCCATTTTCGAAAACGACTGGTATGCTGGATTTGCTGTAGCCATCCCTGTACAAGTCGATTCACTTGAATTGAGTAAGCTTTCTCACTGTATTGCATCAATGCTTTTAATTTCATGGATACGGTGCTGTATTCGGGTAGATACGGTACGACGTCATCAATAGCAGTGATCAGCAATAAAGACCTCTTCTTCTGCTCTTCCATGTCCACTAATGCATTCTCCATAGCTATATCCTTCATTACTCGATCATTATTTAGTATAGAATCCCATTCTTCAGCTGTTTCAAATCCTTTATGTACCAGTAGCAAACGCAGCAACGTGTTATTAGTCATATTGTTTCTACCTCTTAGATACAAGACTACTTTATGGCTACATGTAGCCATGTTTCAATGTCACGCGCGACATTCGTTATACATGCTAAACATGGCTACATGTAGCCATCTATAAGCGCACTATCACATCCAGCCATCTTCTATCTATATCTCCATTCTCTATCTAATGCATCGTCACTCCCTGCTCATCTCCACTTTTAACTCCTTAAATCGTAATATGGTTACGATCAATCATACTAATCTACAAGAACGTCTCGTAGCTTTATGTCGTCATCGTGGCTTTATCTTTCCTGGATCAGAATTATATGGTGGTCTAGCCAATAGTTTTGACTATGGACCACTTGGTACGTCTTTTTGTGTATCAATCTCTCTCTCTTCTCTCTCTTCTGTGCCTAATGAGAATGACTCATTTGATACTTTTTCATAGGTGTTCTCATGAAAAAAAACATCATGGATCGATGGTGGTTTGAATTTGTACAGAAACGTCCCAACTGTGTGGGTCTTGACAGCTCGGTCCTGCTCAATTCGGCAGTCTGGACAGCATCCGGCCATGTTGATAACTTTACGGATCCCATGGTGGTCTGTGTACAATGTAACTCCCGCGTCCGCGTCGACAAACTGCTCGAGCTGAAGTTGCAGACACAGGACGAGATTGACGCTGTGGTGTCATTGTCGATGGACGAGATGGACGCCTTGCTCCTCCAGCACGACGTGGCATGTCCTAACTGTAGCCATCAACGTAGCTTTCAACCTGCCAGGAAATTTAATCTGCTATTTCGCACTAATATGGGTGCCACCGACGAGTCGTGCGATTGGATCTATCTACGACCCGAGACGGCACAGGGTGCTTACATCAATTTCGCTAATGTGCAGAGCACCATGCGCAAAAAACTGCCGTTTGGCGTCGGTCAGATGGGCAAAAGCTTCCGCAATGAGATCTCGCCTGGACATTTTTTATTTCGTACGCGCGAGTTTGAGCAACTGGAGTTGCAGTTCTTCACGCACCCAAACGAGTCGGACAGTTGGTATCTCTACTGGGTGAACCAGTGCTACGAATTTCTAACCAAGTACGGCATCAAGTCCGAGAACCTAAGGAAACACGAACATGCAGCTGAGGAACTAGCCCACTACGCGCGCGCTACGACGGACATTCAGTTTAACTACCCCTTTGGTTGGAGCGAGTTGTGGGGCATTGCCAACCGTACGAGCTACGACCTGAAGAAACATATGGACGCGAGTGGAAAAAGCCTTACATACCAGGATCCCGTTGCGAAGGAAGAGTTTTTGCCGCATGTCATCGAGCCGGCACTTGGTGTCGGACGTGTCATGCTTTCAATGCTTCTGGATGCGTACGACGAAGAAGAGGTGAGCGGCCGAAAGCGCACCTTGCTACGCCTTCACCCGGATATTGCTCCGTACCGTTTTGCTGTGTTGCCGCTTGTTAAAAAGGAACCTCTGTTAGAGGTGGCTCAGAAACTATTTGAAGATTTGTGTGAAAGTGCTAGTGTGGACTACGATGTGGCAAGCAGCATTGGCCGCCGTTATCGCCGCCAAGACGAGATCGGCACGCCAATGTGCTTGACTGTAGACTTTGATACGCTGGAGGATAAGTGCGTGACTGTTCGTGATCGCGACAGTATGGAGCAAAAGCGTGTGCCGATTGAGCAGATTCTTCAAGGTACTTCTGTGAAATACTCTAGTTTCTCCTCCTTTTAACTGTCGGCAAGAAAGGGAACACGTGACGGGTTGTGAACAAGTTTGAATAGAGAGAAACAGGCTTTGCTGACATCGATGGTCAAACGGTAGTTTTGCGTCTTGTGTTTTCACTTCCGTTGGAACTTTTCGCGAACTGGATGAGGACTAACGGTTGGGAATTAAACGGCAAATGTGGTGGGTGTCATCACTGTTAACAATAGTTATTGTTGTCGTCTGTGCTGACAGCTTGTTGCTTGGCCTACTCATTCTTCGTTTTGCCGTGCATACGCTAAGAGGTTGGAAGCATGGCTTGCAACAATGTACAACGGGAAAATGTCGTGTCGAGCAAATGTTTTCGTCTTTTGTATTTGAGGCACGAGATTCAAACCGACATGAAAGTTTTGAAACCTGTTGTGGATGAAGTCAACGTACTACGCTTGTGCCAGTCGCTAGGCATGACCCTGTCCAGCAAAACTGATCCAGATTCTATGCATAAGTTCGAGTTCGGTATTTTTGATGCCGATGACTATGATACCGACTTTGCGCGTTTTGTTCGCGAGAAATTACTTGCTCGGTATCCCAGCAAGGGGCAAGAGGATGGGCAAGACAAAGATGTACTAGAAATTGGTTGCTTGTTCGGCAAGCAATTAGAGGTGAAGGCTGAGCTTACTCGAATGGGGTTCTGGGATAACGGATGCGATGAAAGGTTATCTCTACAAGACCAGGGTGTCTACTGCTTGGAAGGGAATGCAGATCACCACCAGTTTGTCGTTTTCGCGTGGCTGGCCCCCCAGTTTATTTGAACCAGATGCCATTCGAGATACTCCAACTTACGTGCTTCGGCTCTTACTTACACTGAACCCCAATATCACGTGCTGTTTATCGCAGGAAGATTTTCGATGTGTAAAGAGTGAGGTGGATGTTATGTCTGCTAGTTCGTCCATGCGATGGAATTCGTATTCAGTGGCTTTTCGAGTTCAAAATCAAGTGGAGCAGCAAGACGGTTTCACTTGTAATGCAGTCACGAAAGTGTCGATCCCTAAATCTGATCGTGTTAAGGCTGTTTGGTTTGTAGATGGAGTCGTGCCGTCCGTAGCTGTTGAAAATTTGATCCCGTCAGCAACCGAGTGGATTACAGAACAAGACGTGACGCCTTGTAGCAGCTTTGCGCAGTGGCTTTGGGAGAAACACGAAAAATATTTGATTGAACTCAAACCTAGACTGCTTGATTTGACAACCGTACGTGATAATACTCTCGAAAGGTTTGATTACTTTCCAGAAGACGAGATAAATGCCCTACGAAAGAATTGCAGCGACGAATTTGAGAAAGTCAAGCAGCAATTTTGTTACGAAACGTACGAGAGGGCGAAGAAGACTTATGAGGACGCAGTTCAGGACGCCAACGTGTTGTTTGCTGTTCGATGTTCAGCAAACTCATCGCAAATGGATTCGGTACTAAGACAATACACGAGCTTTCTCCAGCAATGTAAAAACTTTGAAACAGTTGCGACACTGGAACCTCAGGTGCGCAATATGCTCTACTTGCCCGATAGGATTCAAAAGCACATGGTGCTACTGGGTGATGCTTACTCGCGCCATCTACCGAAGTTTATGGAGATGCTAGACGCAATTGTGGCTGGCGTCCACGTTAATGACACTGCAAACATATACAGGAGTTGGTTACGGCAAGCAATTCAAGTTACTCTCGGATGGATATGGCGAAGCAGCGACCAGCCTAGTTGCGACTTTCAGCTTGCAATGGAACAGCGCCAACTCACATTGCTGCCTATGTGGACAGATGCTGTTGAGCAAATTGTAACCAAGATGCAAGAAGTAGAATATGAGCGCCAATTGCAAGAATTCTTGCTGAAGCGTGATATTGGGCTGGGCCGGAATGAAGCAGCAGCAAAGGAACGTGCTTTTGACCGGTTTTGTGAATATCTGAAAAGTGGAAACGGTAGGCCATATATCGAGATCAGTAATGTAATGTGTACTTCAGATGCTGCTGCCGTCAAAGTTACATTGAACAAGGAAGTAGAGAGAGATCCAATGAAGATAATCTGCATGTATCAAATTGGAAACGGCGGCGCTGGTCTAGTATCAGAAATGGGGACACTGGAGGTTGAGCCAGGCTTTGTGGTACGTAAGCTTGCGACGGTTAAAACTGGAATGGTGGTTGGGATTCTCGTTAAAGATGACAAAACAGTAGTGCGCCGAAACTACGTGTCAACACAAACGAATCTGTCGGCTGAAACACTATATGAAGATGTGCGAACATTCCCACGTGCATGCTCCCTGTGCTCAATTCGAGTGAGTGATCGAAGGATTGCTTTTTTGTTTGGCGTTGGCGCGGAGAGCCTTGGTTGTGTTGCGTTTTGTAGATTCAACGAGTCGTATACTAGCGTTGAGGTAACGCAAAGGATCGACCTGGATGCATTATTCGGTCTAGCTTGTCCTCTAGCGGATATTCTGCTGACCGAGCGTTCACTGTGTGTTGTGGATAAGAACGGAGATGTTCAGTCGTTTGATCTACGAACTCGTCAAACCTCGAAGAAAACTTCATGTGGCAAGCACAACGGTGAAGATGACGGCGAATGGTTAGGCGGCTTAATGAGCTTCGCAGATGAACTTGTCGTAGGACGGGCTAAACTTGGTGAAAACAAGCGGCTGTGCATACGCTCCATGTCCAACGAGGATCATCGAGCACTCCCTTCTGCGGTTCTTGAAATGGATATGCCATCGACGGAACTTGTAGTAGGTAGCATGGGTGACGTACTGTACGTGGTTGACGTTCGTGGCGGCAATGTCTACTCGTCAGAGCTGAGTGTCACAGTTACAAGTGAAGCGTATCGCATTCAGCGGTATGGCAATGGTGCAAAGAGTAGTCAGCAAGAGATTGCTACCCAACACTGGTTGCGGCTGTTTTTTACCACGTATTTGAGAAGTTTCCTGTGCGAAGTCTTATTGATGTGTCAATGAACCCGGACACAGTGTTCTCTCTTGGCTTGGAGATTGCTGTCAGCGGGCATATTAATAAGAATTGGTTTGCGACGAAGTATGCAACATCAGTGTGCGTGCAATATCTCAACAATGTGATGGTCGATTTGCGTCGTCTCAACAAACCGCTGTGCGAATTGGACTTGGTAAAAAATCTTAAGTATCGGTGTTCTGAGCTGATTGGAAATGAGACTAGTCTACAAATCACGTCAGTACAGCATTTTCTTCTGACAATTGCGTTGTTTGTTCCTGTTCAGATATGTCGAGCAGAAGACAACATGCTCAAGCTGCTGCAAAACGGCCAAAATGTCCCAAAGAGCTTCAAGGGGTTGAGTGTAACAAGTTGTGGTGATAATGGTAATATCAGTGGAACTGACGCATCAAAAATTGCACAAGCCATTCGCTTTGGGTTTCTTTCTCCACTTCTGGAGTCGTGGAATGGTCCATGCGTGGTCGTTACGTCGATGGGAAAGCAATCTACAGGAAAAAGTTATTTTCTAAACCATCTTGCAGGCACTTCGTTTGCAATGTCAGGCTCACGTTGCACTAATGGAGCTTGGATGTCGCTTCGGTTTGTATCTGCAAGAGTGCTGCTTGTCATACTAGACTTTGAAGGTCTGGGGTCTTTTGAGCGTTCGGAACAGGAAGATGTTTTCTTGTCGGTCTTAAATGCATCGGTTTCCATGTTCACGGTTTTTCGGATGGAAAGTAGGTTTGACAAAGATATTGATGGATTGTTTTCACGTTTTCAAAAGGGTGTTCAACTGATTAAGAATGACCCACAACTTTTTCGTGGGTTATTGTACATGAGCGTTAAGGATGTGAACATGAATGACCAACTAGGTGTCGTTAATGAGCTCGTGGCAAAGCTAGACGCGATTTTTGTGGCCAATAAGAAGCAAAACTTTCTGACCGAAATGTATGCAGGACAGTTGGAAATTAACTGCACACCTCCGCTCGGTACGATTGATTACTATGAATGTATGAAGAATGATGCGGCGAAAGCGCTATGCGATCTTTTATTCACCTCTGAAGGTGCGGGAAGAGGTTTCTCAACAGGTAAGGCTTTCCTGGACTGCGTACGGATCGTCTTGGCGAAAATCTCGATTTTGGACTGGACTGTAATGGACAAAAGCACGCAAAGTTTGCTCGTCGCTGACACCAAGCAAAAGCTTCCTGGAATACTTCGTACAGGATGTCACGTTTCGCTGCCTCTGGTAGCCGACGAGACTATACCTTTGCATTTAAAGGAAGATGTTTTGCAAGTGGGTTCTTTTAAGAAAATTGTAGTTTCGTTGAAAGAAATGTGCGAAGCAAATCCTGGTTATAAGACCAAGTGGGTGGCGCTCGATGATGCCGTACCCTTGGACAGCGTCAAAGATGAGGACTTTGATATGGGGTTTGATGTAACTTCACTTTCCACTAGCAAATTAAACATGGTGCAGAATGCGATTGGTGTGTTTTTTCACTCCTTTTTGAATCTACGTGGCAAAGCGTATGATAGCTGTAAGCTTACAACGGAAGATCAGAGTGATTTTGACGCCTTTGAAGCCTTTGTATTGCGCCGACGAAAGAAGAAGGTGTCTCTCTGGCTTCACAGTTCTCTCGGTGATCATTTGTCAGAGGTGCGAACACAGTTAGAGCAACGCTACGTAGACCTGCTCACTCTTTACATGTCACGGTGCCAGCAGAGATGCAAACATTGCCAACTTGGATGTATGCACTCTGCGATGCACGCGCCCGAGATTACGCACAATTGCTACATGGACCACAAATGTCGAGGCCAGTGCGAGTATGGCGAATGCCAAACAAACTGTGAAGCTGCGCAAGTTCCTGCGTGCTCTCAAAGTGCAGGACACGAGGGGAAGTGTGAATGTGAGAAAGGAGAACATACTTGTGGGAAGCCTTGTGCACTTATTCGCGCGTCAAATTGCGACAAGACATGCTCCAAATTAGATGATCACGTTGGTGACCATCGTTGCTCCGTTCCGGTTCACGTCTGCGGCGTGGCGTGTTCTGCAACAACCTGTACTGCGACTTGTTTGCTAGACATTCAACGAGATCACTCAGTTCACAAGTGTGCTGAGGTACAATGCTTGCAACCGTGCTTAATGGACGGGTGCAATAATTTGTGTGGTGAGAAGAACCACTTTCACGGGCAGCATGCAGTGTCACGTGCCTTTATGGAGGAAAGTGGTATGGCTGGCGTGAGTGAAGATCCAGCGGATAATGGAGTAGTCACGCACATGTGTAGTTGCAGTCACGCATGCAGAGAAATGTGTACGGTGGATGGTATTTGCGAGCAAAAGGTTCACCTGAAGAGATCTACTCGCACGTACACAGGCGCGCGTGGATCATTCGAATACATTTACCAGGAGATGAATGGCTGCAAGAAGCGCTGTGCTCACATGAAACCTAGCGGCGAGGTGTATCATAAAGGACTTGGCCATACTTGTCTAGTCCCGACCAATGAAGAACATGACGTGCAGAACACTGTCCACTACTGTGACGCTCGATGCCCTTCGTGCAACTATTACTGTGACAAAGGCTTTGGCCACATGGGATTGCATGCTACTTCTCATGGTAATATGCGGAATACGTACTTCATGGCCAAAGTCAATGATATTGAGGTCGAGAATAGACAATATCGAGTTGGCGAGCGTGGCACTGCAGAGATGTGCAACCTTTTCTGCGCTAAGGTGGGACGCGGTCATGTTCATTATCTGTCCTGCGAGAGCAACAAAAACGAGAACTGTGTGTATACATCAGGTGCTAGCAAAGATCGTCGACGCCACTGTGTCCATGAGTTGTTTCCTCCGCCTGACCGAGAAATGGATGAGCTACTGCATGCTCAGTTCTGGACAGCCATCGGGTGGGAAGATCCTTGCAATGAAGAGGAGCGCGCTGTCTTTGCAAAGTGTGCGTTCCAGTGCAATGCACCAGAACATGAAGGTGTCGACAGAGAACCTTCTTACTGCGTCCTGGATGCTTGGCATGATTTCGAAGCTAAGGAAGCTCACGATGATGATTTTGCCTATGTCGACGGGCACAAGTTTGGTTGTGTGCACAGTATCGATACGGATAAATTCCACAGTATTTTCGTTCTGGACAGCTCTGGATCAATGGATGGTCAACCTTGGCAGGACCTGCTGTGTGCGTGCAAAGAGTTTGGCATTAGTCGTCTAAGTGATGGAGGGAAGGACGATGTAGTTTCCTACATTACATTTGATAATGAGAGTCAAATTGTTTGCGAAGGTGAGCTCTTACCCGAAGCGTTGAAGATAGTAGTGCCGTTCACTGGAGGACAAACTTACTTTCGCAAAGGGTTGCGTGCTGCTAATGAAGTTTTGTCACGCAACAATTTTGACGAGTTCAAAACCGCGTTGATCTTCTTTTCGGACGGCTATCCAAACGATATAGGCAAGGCCATTCGATTTGCTCAACATATTCGCTCGACGTACGCCAAGTATGACTTGAAAGCTTTCGTTGTTGGTTTTGGATGCGCGAATTTGCCGGTACTACAACTACTGGCAGCCGAGATAGGTGGCGAGTATCGCCAGGTATTGAATGCTGAGGCATTAAGAACTGAGTTTTTACGGATCGCTGCAGTCTTGTGCAAGAATGAGGCGAGCCTCGTGCTGTTGGAGTCGCAAACTGATGCTGCGTGATACGCGTGAACTGGCGTACGTGACCTTGTCAGTATTTTCGTGTTTGTTTTCCGTAGCGTAGCGTATTATGTAGTGACTGCAGTGAAATTAGTTAATGTGGAAGGAACAAATTGTTGAAACAGGTGACTGCGTTTTGTTTGCCATGGTTGCTGTGCTTGAACTTATCTCTGGACGTCGAAGCTGCCACTGCTGACAGCACAAAATAAAGATCGGTTGTCGTCTAGTGCATCGGAGTACCCATTTGTCTTTGCTATGCGGATCTTCTCATCCCATATTGTCTGAGATTGCAATACCAAATGGTTTATTCATTGGTCTGTCTGCTGGTAGATGTCATGCTCCATCACCTAGACGACGATTATCGCTGCTCACTTTCGCAGTATCTAGACACATTTTTGCGCTTACAGAGTATCTGTTACAGCTTGCCAACTCTGGTCTAACAATCGCGGCCAACTGCTGTGATCTATCAAGGCAGCTTGACTCGTAAATGGTAAGCGGACAGCAAGGCTCCAGTTCTACTTCATCAAGTCAAGTGCGAAACAATGAAGTTGAGAATGCAATTCAAGGTCTCCTTGCAAAGATCGGCCGCCCGAGTCTTGTTACGTATCACTTCTAGTCACGACTAGCACAATACGATGCCCACGCAGTCACTGCTCATCCGAGGACATCGCCAATTATACAAATAATACTGCAACTCTCCCGTGCCAGGTCCGAACTTGAGAGGTTGTAGCATCTCAATATTTTCCATCACATCGAGCGCATTGAACACGTCCGCGTGTTCCTTTTTCGCCATGATTAGCGCATCCTGCATCAATTGCGTTAGTGTCACCGATTTGGCCACATTGTAGAAAGAGTATACAGCGTAAAGTTTCTTGTGTTTGTCATCACCGATAATAGTCGACGGCAGGTGGTAAAAGCTGCAGACGTCTGTAATTTCTTCTGTGTTCGGATTTTCGACCACGTAGGTGTTCACTACCCCCACGCGAGGCACCATCCAGTGTGCAACCTCTTCTTCACTAAGCTCAACCGCAAGATGAAACTTGGTCAAGTATTCTCGAAGCAATTTCGCGACCTTGGAAACATCTATCCGCTCCATTGGCCGTAAAAACGGCGTCAGTGTGTGAGCTGGTAGCGTAAACGTCTTGATCTTCTGCGCCAGCGTCGTTTGTGGCGATAGCGGGGAAAATCCGACTTCTACGAGCTTTTTCGGGTTCAATGGTCGATGAAAGTATCGACATTGTGCTATAGGCATAGGCAGCATCACTCCAGCTGTGTATATAGCCTGCCACACATTGGAAAGGTTGACTCTTCGTGTCACCTCTTTAATCAGAACTGGAGCTAATCTGCGATCTCGAAGTCTCTTATGTACACAGAGAAAATTAATCTCTGCCATTTGTAGCGTCTCTTTATACACTCGAATCTTGACTGGAATACCCGATACAAAGGCCATGAGTTTATAATTAGTCGTGCTACGTACACCAATGTGCCAATCCTTGTGAAAGCCTGGAGGCGTGAGTGCCCATTGTAGAAAATTAACTGAATAGTCGAATCGAAACTTGCTGGCACTGTCTTCAACATAATTCCTGGCTAATAACTCATATACTTGATTTCGATCGGATAAGTCCATGAGATTCAGAATGGACCATGTAAAACCAGCTGGTAAATGATATGGGTCCTGTCTCACGTTCTGTAACATCTTTTGAGACATGTCAATTGGTCCATGTGGACAAGAAACTGACTTGATTAGTGTCTCATGGAATTGAGGGACAGGTTGAGTATGCCAGAAGCGATATGCCTTTTGTAAGTGTTCTTGTTTGTGTATCAATTGTATTGACTGTAATTGCTTGAGTAATGGATAAAACTCATCCTCTTTCTTCACTACATCCTCCTCCTCCTCCTCATCGTTTACTGTCGTCTTTCTAGTACGAATACGACCATTATGAGCTTGACGCTTGTCAGCCATTCTTATAGTCACGTCTTTTATTTTTGATTGATTGTACCATTTATTTGTTAAGTCAATCGTAATCTACTCAAACCTATCAAACATCATATTAATGGACTCGTTTATCATTGGTTGAAACAACATATCAACACTCTCCTCCTCTCCTCCCATACTAGAACCCTGTTTTCTTTCAATTATGAGCAGCTCACCTAGGAATGATGAATCTACTGCTAAACTCGAGCTTGTGACCGTAGAAGAACAAGAGGAATTCCTAGAGGTTATTAAACAACTTAATCTAGCGACAAGACAACAAGAAAAAACAACAACATCCGATCGAAACGCTTTCGTAGCTTCGAAAGACTTTAAATTCTGGAAGACACAACCTGTGCCAGCAGTGGATGAATTTCCACGTGATCATGGTGCTATTGATCCCGTAAAGAGCATACAGGATATAAGAAAGGAACCTTATACGATGCCACCAGGTTTTCAATGGAGTGTACTTGATTTGTCTCATCCACAAGAGATACAGGAAGTATATCATCTCTTGACACACAATTATGTCGAAGATGATGACAATATGTTTCGTTTTGATTACTCGATTGATTTTCTATTGTGGGCATTAACTCCTCCAGGTTATTACAAGGATTGGCACGTGGGTGTACGTAATGAGAAAACCAAGAAACTTATGGCCTTTATCTCTGGCATTCCAGTCAAAACAAGAGTTTATACTACAGTGAAACCCATGGCGGAGATTAATTTTCTATGTATACACAAGAAATTAAGAACCAAGCGATTAGCACCCGTGCTGATCAAGGAGATTACACGCAGAGTGAATCTTTGCAAGATCTGGCAGGCTGTCTATACTGCTGGAGTCGTATTACCCATGCCTGTGGCCCAGTGTCGATACTTTCATCGGTCTTTAAACCCAAAGAAACTCATTGAAGTGGGTTTCTCGAGACTTGCACCAAGGATGACGATGACGCGCACGATCAAGATGTTCAAGTTGCCCGAGACCACGGCAGTGCCTGGATTCCGACCCATGCAGAAGAAGGATGTCGCCCAAGTGACGGTGTTGCTGAAGACGTACTTAGCCAAGTTCAACCTCGTGCAACATTACGATCAGAATGACGTGGCTCACTGGATGCTTCCGCGCGAGGGTGTTATCAGTGCGTACGTGGTGGAAAACCCTGAAACGCACAAGATCACGGACTTTACGAGCTTCTACCATTTGCCGTCCACTGTCATTGGCCACGATAAGCACAGCAAACTGAGTGCTGCCTACTCGTTTTATAATGTGGCCACGTCGGTGCCGCTTACGGAGCTTATGAATGACACGCTGATCATGGCCAAGAAGGAGGACTTTGACGTCTTCAACGCGCTCAGCCTCATGGACAACGTGGAGTTCCTGAAGGAGCTCAAGTTTGGGCCTGGCGATGGCGACCTCATGTACTACTTGTACAACTGGCGCTGTCCGCGCATGGAAGGCAACAAAGTTGGTATCGTACTGTGTTAAATGAAGTGCACAGAAAGCTGCGTAGCCAAACATGAGATGGAATGCGCGCTCAGGAGATTGCTAGGACATCGCGAGAGATAAGTGTAAAAGGTAAGTGCAGACGAGAATTTAAGTCACGATTGGGGCCGAGCTTAGGGAGCGTATGGAGCGAACGAAACAAGAACGACTAAGAACGAGAAGTGCGTTTAGCAAATGATCCAGTAGCTCTTGATCTCGATGTTGGGTGACGATTACGTAGTTCGATGAAAAAGGATTGACTTGCGCAGTTTCTGGGATCACCGTGAAATACAAAGACCCCTGTTGCCGGCCTTGCTAAAAGAATCTAGTTTGTTGCTCGTCTGATGGCGTTTTACTGTATCTGTCTCCTATGATCAAGTGGGACCCAAAGCATGTTCGCGATGCCCATGTACCGACGAACATGAACGCAATTCGTTTGCTGAGCGTAGTGCCGGCATCACTTGCAAGATATGCCTACTATCGATTATTTTGCTGGTTGTGACCAAGCATTAGCGGCACCAATAGTGCGTATCCGTGCACGGCGTATCGCAGACGCGGACGTTTTCGTGACCTCCGATCCAAAAGCGACATAGCGTATAAACAGGTCAACTTCAGAAAGTATAAAGAACACCCCGTGCCCATCACACAAACTTCAGTTTATTCGTCTGCTCTCGAATGACAGCATGACACCCCGCACCAAAGCTCATCTTTGCAGAAAATACGACAGGCTTCTGCAGATGCTCCATGTTTGTTTTGATACTTGCGATGTGTGTGCTTGCTTGGTTGCATGTATGAGTGGTGCGTGGACGCTTGTGACAAGTAAAGTTCATTGACGAGACTCTTCCCTCGATGTATGTATCGACTTGGCAAGTCGGAAAGCGTTCGGCCTCGATGCTTGGTGGTAAAAATGCACACACGGAAGCGCGCCTAGAGAGAAAAGTTGTTGTCATGTTCCACTTACAAATCTCAGATAGGCCTTTGTGTAAGTATGAAGCAGAGGAACCGTCTTGGCAGGCTTTTCGCAGCCAGTAACATATCTCAGTAGCTCAATGCCACGGCACGATCCAATCCAATGCGCAACCTTTACAAGTAAGGTCAGGGTTCTGTGTCCTATTCGAGCTTTAGCGACCACCCACATGCCGTCGCGAATGAACAGGCGTTCCGGTCCCGCTCTCGGTCGACACACATCCAGACGTCAATCAAGCGGCGAGAGCAAAGCTCACAAGAGGAGTGACGCGTGATTGCCGTCCAATGGCAGGTAATGCTTGATGTGCTTGTAGGTGCTCATTTGGGTATCATGCATGGCACGTCCGTTCTACTCACCACTGAAAACCCAACAGGATTTCTAGCCTGAGCTAGACGCACGTGACTGTCACATGTGGGCTCAGTGGTACGTTTTCGTGGAAATCTCACGAACCTGTTTCTGACAGTATGGGTACATTGTACACGTCATGGTGACACTGATCCAATAGAAGTTCTCTCGACGTCACAGCTCCAGCCAGTGATGAACTCCAGACTAGTTGGTCATTGTTTAATTTCCTGACTACAAACCAAGTCGTGATCGAATCTTCTAACCTTTGGCACTCATGAATGGCTTTTTCGTCCCAGAGCCGAACGCCAGTGCTCGACAGCAAGATCCGCAGATTGCTGAGCTCAAAAAGCGCGGCAACTGCAATTATTACACGCTCCAGACACTAGCTGACTGTATTCGTCAAGATCTTCCTCTCTGCGTGAGTGTGTCATCGGCCACCAAGAAAGAGAATTTTGTAGTGTACAACTGCACTATCTCGAGCGTGACCACTAAAAATTCATGGAGCGTATCTTACCGCTACTCAGAGTTCCTCGTCTTTCATAAAAAGGTGGCTGAGTCATGGACTTGCGCGGACAAGGATTGCTGTGGCTCGTGCCAAGCTATCCGTGATGTCATGGCGGCTTTCTTTCCAAAGAAATGTCCCGCAATTGTATTAACTTGGTCTAGAGCTATAAACCACCGCAAAGCAAAACTAGAGGATGTGTTGTTGTATTTGCTTCGATGCGTTTTGCTTCCCGGCAGTGCTATGAAGTGCTTTCATGCACGACAGAAACTACCCTCTCATCTCTTGAAGTTTCTTGGTGTCAAGCATGATGCGGACAAGCGCTCACTTCTGCAAGTCTTTGTGGACAACTACCAGCCAGGCATGAAGAGATCAGCAACCTCCACAGACCTCTCGACGCTGAAGTGTCAGAGCACCATGAAAAAATCGTCAACCACGCCGAACTTGTCGTCACTTGGTACAAGAACATCCTCAGGAGATGTTCCTGGAGATGTTGATCAATGCATGATTTGTCTGAATGATGTGGAGTTATGCACTTCTAACGAAATAGGCACCGACTGCATTGACAGCTCTCCGATCATTCTTCTGTGCAAACATGCTTTCCATCGTGAATGCATCTTTGAATGGGTATTGTTCCAGTACCACTGCCCAGTTTGTAGAGCTCAGGTGGGGCCTTCCGCCGCCACGAACTACTGTCACCCAAAACACCAAGTACAATGGTGGCTTGGCGACTTTAAGGAAAACCCGTTGACTTCAGCAGCCGCGTTGGAGCTACCATAATGCACGTTCATACCTGATCAAACGAGAAATGGCGTGTTTATAAAGAGAAGTGCTATATGTTGATTTACATGTAACGTATCAAGCTACAGACACAACCCATTCAATTATCCCCGGACACTGCTAGCATCAATAGCAATCCAGCCCGGAACGATGGAAAACACATGGTCAGCAGCATGAAGTGGCATTGTGCTGAGCCGTGAAACGATTCTGTAGTACTTTTAGTGCAGTTACTTGTATGATTTCCAGTAACGTCAAAGGTGATTAGCAGCTTCTAACACTGTACATTGAATAACAAATGTCTTGTCCAACTTTCTCCGCTTTCATGCTAAACTCTGTCTAGCTGGTTCAGCTCACAAAACCTTCAGGTCCTTTTGTAAACAATTGCGTGGCGTGTGATTCGCTGCTGTTGCCACTGCCATTCTTCTGAAGTTAACCTTTTGAATCAAGACCACTCATATTTTCGCAGATAACAACAAAGCACGGTGACAGCAGAACCCACGACGACAGGCTCAGCTCAAGATTTGCCACCGTTCTTATTAGCCGACGGTGTCGTCATCCTTGGAATACTCGCCGAAACAGAAAATTGCTACACCTGCCAAGATTAGTATGTTATCGTGCACGCGGAGTTGGGGTTGAGGCGTTTCTACCCACCCTTCACTGGTGTGCATGGAATTGGTAGGTCGGCGACCCCAGTGACGAGATACTGGTCACGGACGATGAACCGACTTGTGCACGCACGCACGCCATCCCAATACGCACGATCCGTAAATGTATCATGTGAGATCAGGACTCCGCACCTTGTATTGCTAGATCATTCATTACTGCATGGTATCTCCTACTCCCACACAACAACGCACTCGTCCTTGCTCAATTTTTCTCGCCAAACTGTCACGTTTGTGAGCAAAAGACTAAGGTGAATGTTGCCATTTGATGGAGCATCCATCCATGTTTATATTTTGCACCAAACAAGAACATGAAGCGGCCTGATCTCGCTCGTCTGCAGCATCCGATTGTCGCATCTCATTCCGACAGACAGTCTCTTTGCTTCATGACAATTGGCTAGGCAAAAGATGCGTCACACGCTTTGCTGATGTCTATGTGCCGATCGTCATGACTATCTTTCCTGTCTCATTTCGCAGTCGACTGGGCAGCGTTGTCCTCCAATAGTTGCTTGCTCGATACATCTGTGTGATATACTAGTGCTCGATGGGAGCTTTTCAATACCGATTAGAACTCCATCATTACGCAATTTACTATCTATTGATCAGATCGATAACGATAACAAATCGACCACTATACACAACCGGCCCATTCGACTTAACTAGTAATCATGAACGGATACTATATGCTGCAGTTCCACGACACACCAACCCGGCAGGAACTAAAGCGACCAAGCTCAAAGCTGTATACGCTGAAAGAGCTGCGTCAGTGCGCGGGTAGTGAATTGCCGCTGCACTTGGATGTAAGCGCGACCAAAACGAAGGAGGGCCACGCCGTCTATAACATCAAGACGTCAAGCGTGTCAACGCAGAACCGGTGGCACGCATCGTATCGGTACTCAGAGTTTCTGGCATTCCGCAACCAAGTGGAGGAAGTATGGACGTGTCACGACAAGAAGTGTCAGGGTTCGTGCCAGTCGCTGCGTGACCTCATCGATGCGTGCTTTCCGAAAAAGGCGGGTCTCATTTCGACGTGGACGTTCATGGTGGAAGACCGCAAGAGTAAATTCAAAAACGTCCTCATCCACTTGCTGCGATCAGTGTTGCTTCCAGGCAGCACAATGAAGTGTTTTCATGCACGTCAGCAGCTGCCATCCGCTTTATTCGCGTTCCTTGGCATCGAGGACGACGCAGACAAGCGTTCACTGCTGCAGGTGTATGTGGATAACCACCAGGGTGGTATGAAGAAGTCTGCAAGCCACACTGGTCTGTCATCGCTGAAGCAGCCTAGCTTGAACGTGAAGACAATGAGTTCAATGAAAAAGTCGGCCACAATGTCGAACCTGACTCAGATGGAGCAGGAGGCGGAAGAGAAGGATACCATTGTCACGGTGGAGAATACGCAGTGTATGATCTGCCTCGAGGATGTGGAGGACCACGTGCATGTCACTGGTCCACAGGGTTTGGTGACACTTCCGTGCAAACACTCGTTCCACCGCGAGTGTATTTTTGAGTGGCTGTTGTTCCAATATCACTGCCCCATGTGTCGTGCACAGGTTGGACCACACGCCATGACAAACTATGCGTGCCCAAAGAATAAAGAGCAGTGGTGGCTTGGTAACTTTGAGGAGAGCTTAATTGAACCTAATTCGGAGTACGGCATCTTGTAAGAAATGAAGAAATACATAATTATTATTGCTTTGCATTGTCAGCAACAATCGAGAGATACAAGCAAGTAGACCTATATGCATGACTCAAGTAGTTGACATCAGTTGATATTGGAACGAAGACTTGCGGTCGTCGTAAGTGTGACGAATATTCGCTGGAAAGAGTCGCTTTTCAAGTCGTTTTTCTTACCAAGTGTTTTCGCGATTTACTTTTTGTAAGGAAAAAAGTGCTCAAATTCCATTGTCAAACAAGTGAGCGATCGGTTTTTAGCTTGGAGCTACTTCACTTATGAACCAGAATCGTCTTGAGAGAAGGGAAGCATACATTTATCAAATGAAAAAAGTAGCCATGCAGTTGATAGTCGATTGCTCAGCAAGCAATTGAAGGGGATGACTTGAGCATTGAGCTATTGCTGCTCAGTCTAGTTAGTATACTACTGTTTTATTTTCTGTGATAACTCTACAAGTTTGGGTCTGGACACTAGAGCTACAAAGTCGCTCATGGATGAGGTGTACAAAGTAGTGGAATCTCATTCCTAACGAAGAACATTCGAGAGTACGATTTGGTGCTGCAAACGACTTGAAGAATCCCCCTTTGCACATGTTCGACAGACATCACACACACACTCATACGGATTCAAATGATCTGCACGGTTAAGTCGATATGAAGCTTGATGAGGCTACCATTTGAATAAATATACTTACCTAACTAGATTGTACTTAGAAAAGTCTGAGCAGTCAGCAATCCGGAAAAGAATTGGTAAGCAGTGTCCTCACGACTTCAAACAGACGAGAAACAAGACATGGATAGATGGTACAAATTCTGATGGTATTTCTAGTTCTCGAAGGAAGATCTATGGCGATGGCAATTATCTGGGCTAGTTAAAAACCTTGCTCGTACATATAAAACCGACTAGTCCACAATAACCTTAGGTGCTCATAGAACTCATACAAATCTGACATAACCTTGGATGGTCCAACATTCAACCCATCGACCTTGAACCTAGAGTCTGCATTGCACCCTCGTAAGCGCGCTGACCTTCTTCAAATACAGCGGCAGCACGCAGGCGTAAGCTTCAAAACCGCGGAAGCATAGTAAGAAGAAAAATCAATCTCACTGCACCTTGTGCGTCCTAAAGTCATGGGTACCAGCCCAAATGCTAGCGACGACATCAATTTGACTGTCTCAAAACCAGCATCAATCACTTTGCTACCAAATCGAATAACTTGTCGTTTGATTTGAGTTGTGAGGCACGATGTGGAGCCCAAATCTTGAATGTAATTCACGAGTGTTTCAACATTGCAACTCAATGACCGAAGCAAACAAGCTCACTACCATGCTGCATATGTAAGGGACAGCCGAAAGCAACCAAACCACTTTAGTGGACAGCAAATGAATAATGGTGTGACGATAGGACTCAGGACTTTGTACAGAGAAACGTGCCGTGACCACTGAACAACTTGCAAAACGGTCGCACACGTACTGGTTGTCAAGCTTTTCAGTGTTAATATAAAAGTCGAATAGGTGGGAAAGAATTCCACAATGAAAGTTTGCCGAACCATAGAAGTTGAAGTTAGCATGTCAAGAAGTCTTTGCCAATCTAGTTAGGTAAGTATATTTATTCAAATGGTAGCCTCATCAAGCTTCATATCGACTTAACCGTGCAGATCATTTGAATCCGTATGAGTGTGTGTGTGATGTCTGTCGAACATGTGCAAAGGGGGATTCTTCAAGTCGTTTGCAGCACCAAATCGTACTCTCGAATGTTCTTCGTTAGGAATGAGATTCCACTACTTTGTACACCTCATCCATGAGCGACTTTGTAGCTCTAGTGTCCAGACCCAAACTTGTAGAGTTATCACAGAAAATAAAACAGTAGTATACTAACTAGACTGAGCAGCAATAGCTCAATGCTCAAGTCATCCCCTTCAATTGCTTGCTGAGCAATCGACTATCAACTGCATGGCTACTTTTTTCATTTGATAAATGTATGCTTCCCTTCTCTCAAGACGATTCTGGTTCATAAGTGAAGTAGCTCCAAGCTAAAAACCGATCGCTCACTTGTTTGACAATGGAATTTGAGCACTTTTTTCCTTACAAAAAGTAAATCGCGAAAACACTTGGTAAGAAAAACGACTTGAAAAGCGACTCTTTCCAGCGAATATTCGTCACACTTACGACGACCGCAAGTCTTCGTTCCAATATCAACTGATGTCAACTACTTGAGTCATGCATATAGGTCTACTTGCTTGTATCTCTCGATTGTTGCTGACAATGCAAAGCAATAATAATTATGTATTTCTTCATTTCTTACAAGATGCCGTACTCCGAATTAGGTTCAATTAAGCTCTCCTCAAAGTTACCAAGCCACCACTGCTCTTTATTCTTTGGGCACGCATAGTTTGTCATGGCGTGTGGTCCAACCTGTGCACGACACATGGGGCAGTGATATTGGAACAACAGCCACTCAAAAATACACTCGCGGTGGAACGAGTGTTTGCACGGAAGTGTCACCAAACCCTGTGGACCAGTGACATGCACGTGGTCCTCCACATCCTCGAGGCAGATCATACACTGCGTATTCTCCACCGTGACAATGGTATCCTTCTCTTCCGCCTCCTGCTCCATCTGAGTCAGGTTCGACATTGTGGCCGACTTTTTCATTGAACTCATTGTCTTCACGTTCAAGCTAGGCTGCTTCAGCGATGACAGACCAGTGTGGCTTGCAGACTTCTTCATACCACCCTGGTGGTTATCCACATACACCTGCAGCAGTGAACGCTTGTCTGCGTCGTCCTCGATGCCAAGGAACGCGAATAAAGCGGATGGCAGCTGCTGACGTGCATGAAAACACTTCATTGTGCTGCCTGGAAGCAACACTGATCGCAGCAAGTGGATGAGGACGTTTTTGAATTTACTCTTGCGGTCTTCCACCATGAACGTCCACGTCGAAATGAGACCCGCCTTTTTCGGAAAGCACGCATCGATGAGGTCACGCAGCGACTGGCACGAACCCTGACACTTCTTGTCGTGACACGTCCATACTTCCTCCACTTGGTTGCGGAATGCCAGAAACTCTGAGTACCGATACGATGCGTGCCACCGGTTCTGCGTTGACACGCTTGACGTCTTGATGTTATAGACGGCGTGGCCCTCCTTCGTTTTGGTCGCGCTTACATCCAAGTGCAGCGGCAATTCACTACCCGCGCACTGACGCAGCTCTTTCAGCGTATACAGCTTTGAGCTTGGTCGCTTTAGTTCCTGCCGGGTTGGTGTGTCGTGGAACTGCAGCATATAGTATCCGTTCATGATTACTAGTTAAGTCAAATGGGCCGGTTGTGTATAGTGGTCGATTTGTTATCGTTATCGATCTGATCAATAGATAGTAAATTGCGTAATGATGGAGTTCTAATCGGTATTGAAAAGCTCCCATCGAGCACTAGTATATCACACAGATGTATCGAGCAAGCAACTGTTGGAGGACAACGCTGCCCAGTCGACTGCGAAATGAGACAGGAAAGATAGTCATGACGATCGGCACATAGACATCAGCAAAGCGTGTGACGCATCTTTTGCCTAGCCAATTGTCATGAAGCAAAGAGACTGTCTGTCACACGTGATGGAATGAGATGCGACAATCGGATGCTGCAGACGAGCGAGATCAGGCCGCTCCATGTTCTTGTTTGGTGCAAAATATAAACATGGATGGATGCTCCATCAAATGGCAACATTCACCTTAGTCTTTTGCTCACAAACGTGACAGTTTGGCGAGAAAAATTGAGCAAGGACGAGTGCGTTGTTGTGTGGGGAGTAGGAGATACCATGCAGTAATGAATGATCTAGCAATACAAGGTGCGGAGTCCTGATCTCACATGATACATGTACGGATCGTGCGTATTGGGATGGCGTGCGTGCGTGCACAAGTCGGTTCATCGTCCGTGACCAGCATCTCGTCACGGGGTTGCCGACCTACCAAGTCCATGCACACCAGTGAAGGGTGGGTAGAAACGCCTCAAACCCCAACTCCGCGTGCACGATAACATACTAATCTTGGCAGGTGTAGCAATTATCTGTTTCGGCGAGTATTCCAAGGACGACGACACCGTTGGCACGCCGTCGGCTAATAAGAACGGTGGCAAATCTTGAGCTGAGCCTGTCGTCGTGGGTTCTGCTGTCACCGTGCTTGTTGTTATCTGCGAAAATATGAATGGTCTTGATTCAAAAGGTTAACTTCAGAAGAATGGCAGTGGCAACAGCAACGAATCACACGCCACGCAATTGTTTGCAAAAGGACCTGAAGGTTTTGTGAGCTGAACCAGCTAGACAGAGTTTAGCATGAAAGCGGAGAAAGTTGGACAAGACATTTGTTATTCAATGTACAGTGCCTCGAGCTGCTAATCAATTGACGTCGCTGTCTTTATAGCTCGCCAAAATGCTTTCAATCTCGTCAGCCATTTCCTGAGCAGACGGCCGTTTGGTAGGATCGTTATCCCAACCTCGGATAATGAGGTCTTGCATTGGTTGAGGATAATCGCTCATTTCCTCAACGGAAGGCCGAAGACCTTTTGGCACCTGCTTATAAACATCGGCCTTCTCAAGCATCCAGAACGGCTTTACCCGTGCTCGCAACGCCCATAGCACCAGTGACAAGCTGTAGATATCCAGCTTTTCATCTAATTCCAGGTCCTGGTATTCTTCCGGGGACCGCCACTTGCCCTTGGCGACTGAAGTCGTAAACGTACACTTCTCACTACTTGGTACACCGTCTATTAAGCGCGGTCCCGTGTATTTTATACGATTAAAGTCATTTAGCTTCAAGGTGCCATTGGCATCGATCAAAAACTGGCGCGGTTGCAGATCAGAGTGCGCGTAGGGCCCTCCCAGAGCATTGTGCAGCTGTACAACACCTCGAGTAGCATCAAGTGCCAACTTCAAAGCATGGTGAACTGAAATCGAATCATTCGACATAAAAAGCAGTTCGTCAAGATGATGTGGGAGGTAATCCACCACCACCGTCGTCATACACCAGCCCACCAGTCGTACAATATTTGGCTCGTTACGGATTGAAAAGATGGATGCACACTCCTCTACATGACGAGAAATAATGTCGGAACGATTCATGAGCTTCTCCTTTACAACTTTAACTGCTACATCCTGTCCTATATATCGACACAAAGAAACATCCACACCCCATCACTTGTTATATCATATAAAACATTACTTTTACAAGCAGTCTCTCCTATTCAACAATACGTGCGTCTCTATACCGTTCCACGTAGTCTTGAATACATTTCGCCAGTATCCTTTGCCCACAAACTCGCCATACTGTAATTGATCCATATTACCACAATTCAGCTCCAGTTCTTCGGGTTTAAACAACGCCACTGCTGCTGAGAAATCACAGCCGTCCTATTATTGTATATATAACCCTCATATGAATACAATCAACCAGTCATATCTCGAATCTCACCTATATACATCACAATCATACCTCAGTACGGTATGTCTCTGGATCTAGCCACCACGCTTCTTCACTATCTCTATCCGCTATATCATTAACAATGATATCCTTAATCTCCTCTGAGCTTTCAGATCGTAGCAATGACGTTCCTGATTGTAAATGCTGCACAATGGTCGAGATATTCCAAAAAAAAAAGCCAATTACACACAAGACGGTGCTTACTTTCAATACAACCGGTACTTGTCGTTGCCAGGACAAACGAATCGCGTAGGAACGGGCGGTGCGAGTCGAGCGTCTCATCTTGAGCTGTGGTAGCGATAGATTGGACGTCAAGTAGAAACCATTTCTAAAGAGTTAGAAATTCTCCCAGTAGTTTTCGTGACACTACAAGAAAACTTGTGGTGCAAACACAATAGTGCAATATTATTGTAAGCGTTTTCCCATACTATTGTATTGAAGCTCATCAACTACAATAACTCGTCCCACTTGTTCTCTCTCTCCACTCGCATTAGTCCATCAGTTGTACCCAGATATTGACGTTCCATATGACTGTTTATGACCCACGATCACCACGTTTCCATCCATCTCGGTATTGGAAATATACTTGTTCATCTGTAGGTCTTTTAAATCTCTTACACGAGCGTGAAAGACGTGGTAATGGTCACATTCTGAACGTTGCTTGTCAAAGCCATGGAAGTCTCGTACGTCGTCTTGAGTGTCAAGTGATTCTAGAAGGTCATGAAGGTTGTGTGAATACATTACAATGGAATCAAAGTGGAAAGTTGCTTGCCTCTGGTTCCGATGATCGGAAGGTGCTGATTTGGAGCTATGAGCAACAGAAACAACTTCAGGAGATTCCAACAGGCCACCAGCTTAATATATTTGGTGTTTGTTTCGTTCCGGGCACAGATGATCATGTTATAGCTACGGGAGCAATGGACCATGATGTTCGAATCCATTATGCTCCTTTTCGTGAAGGTTCGTCCAAGATTTATCGAATTCATCGAGGTCGAGTGAAAGATATTGGTAGTTCATGGGCCGTGCCCAAGATTTTTTGGACTGCAGGAGAAGATGGACTAGTGTATCAATTTGATCTTCGAGCTTTGCCAAAGACTAATGGAAGGTGTGAGATTCCTGATACGTCGGGGGCGTTAATTAATCTGGGAAGGGACAGGAACGGGAATGTGCTCAAAGCAATGAAAATGACAGTGCATCCATTTGACCCGACCAAGGTCGCACTTGCCTGTGGGGACTTTTATACGAGATTATATGATCGGCGTATGCTGGGAGTACAGCAGTATGCTAGAACTACTGGAGCTACAAGTCCCGTAGAGATTTTTGCGCCACCACATTTACATTTGGATGCGTTTTGTGACAACAAAACAAAGAGATTTCATGACAAATGCCATGGAACGAGTATTCAGTTCAGTAGTGATGGTTCGGAACTCCTTGCAAATTATCACAGTGATCACATTTACCTGTTTCAAGTGGGCTCGGGCAAGACGGTAGTATTTAACAAGGATAATAAGAGTAAACCTGTGATTCAATCGTTGGCGTGGCTAAATGGAGCGCATATGGATGAGCCGAGATTGCCACCGGAAATACATTTGGAAGGCGTGCAAATGCTGCATGATCGAGGAAAGGAAGCACTTGAGAAGAGTGAGTATACGCGCGCGCTGAAGTCTCTGACTGTGGCTTGTGCTGCTCGTGGAGTGACAGAAATGGCCGTGGCACGACGCAAAGATCTTTATCATGACTGCGCTAAAGCTTATCTAGAAAGACGGTGGAACGCAGATAGCTATTTGGCTGCTGTACAATGCAAAAAGGCACTGGAACTCGACCCGAATGATCGAGAGGTTGAATTGACGTATATCAAAGCACTGAGTGCAGGACGCCGACAGCCACAAGCAAAGTGGCAGTCTCGGCGATACAAGGAAAAGTATCCAGATCACGAGGCAGACGTTGCTGCGCTCTTGAACGGTAGTGCATCGGCTTCAGGCCGCGGCCGAACAGCCCAGCGTGCCTTCCACACGGATCGGTCATCGGATGAAGACGAGTCCGATGACAGCGATGAGGAAGTCCATCATGATAGTCAGAATAATGACCGAGAAGACGGCTTACCTGACAATGACGACAACTTTTGGGAGGGTAACTTGGTGAGCAGCATGCCGGTGAATTGTGACGTTCTCCGTCGGTACATCGGGTATTGTAATGTGCAAACGGATATCAAAGAGGCGTCGTTCTTTGGCAAAAACGATGCGTACATCATAGCAGGGAGCGATGACGGACGTGCGCTGGTGTGGGATAAGGCAACTGGAGAAATGGTGAATGCAATTAAAGCAGACGCAGACATTGTGAATTGTGTTCAGCCCCATCCTTTTGACGCGTGTGTGGCGACAAGTGGTATCGAAAATGTAATTCGTCTCTGGAGTCCGACAAGTGCCGAGGAGAATACTCCGACGAAATCAGAATTAGAAGACATTGTGACGAGAAATCAGAGTCAAATGGATGACATGACAGTTTCGTTTACAGGAGCACTTCACAACATGGTTCGCCTTGTTTTCCAGTCAGGTGGAGATCATCAGGCCATTCAAGAGTGTGCGACCAGTTAAGAAAATAGTCGGTTTGCATTTCATATGCACGAGTCGGTAGCTCTATCTTGGTGAAGCAGTAACGTAATAAATTGCAAGAGAGAGCCCAATATTCACTTGAAGACTTTGTCAACAGCCTTGTTACGGTCAGTTCGTGTACAACTTTTCTGTCGTTACTGCTTGGTAGTCTTAGGTGCCTTCTACAATAGGTTGTCAGCAAAACAAGTCAAGAGCCTCAAGTGCTTTAGTAGCTTAATGTCACTAATAACAGACGTATCGCTTATTTAAAATCCGTTCTGATACTGGTCAATGACCATGTAAAGCGAGCAAGAGTCGTAGTAAGTGTGGATCATTCCCTTAAATCTAGTCTTGAGCTCTCATTCAAGAGCTTTTGAAAGCTGATGGAATGGCACGACGAATAAAATTGCTTTTACGTGAGGTTTTTAATGTTTTTTTGCTTTTGTGTGTGTTGGTAAAAGCACGTTAAAACGGCAAAAAAACTGTTTTGTGAAACAACCTCTAAGAGTCGATATATTATTATATTGATAACGTTAGCGTAACAAATGGAACAGGGAGGTTGTGTTACGACAGATAGGTTTCATCATCAGTTTTGCAATCGTTGTTAGAATAAGGTGTCAGAATTATAGAAATACCTCTTAGACTTAATTAATTATTATTACCATGATATGGATCTAATCATAGCAATTTTATTGGTATTTCTAAACAGCCATGGACCGTCGAGAGCTGCGACCCAAGCGAGAGCTGCTCACGCTGCTTCAGCGGCTCAATGACTGCGTAGGTGTCTCTGCACGTCATGTGTACACACATCAATTAACTCCCACTGAGCTTCTACAGCGTCCGCTCTCTGAGACCCGTCGGTTATTACCAGAGCTCTGCAGCTTCGTAGACTCCCTCGTGCCAGTCGTAACTGCCAATAACAATAACAATACTATTGCTTGTCTGCCCTCATCATTAGTACGACGCGCATTGCACCATCCAGATGCTCAATGGCTGAGTCGCAGTGCACGGCAAAGCGGCATCTCAGCGCTACTATGTCAACAGTTAGTGCGACTTGCAAGACAGGACTGTAACAATGACAACCAAGACCGTGATTATACAATGTATTGGCCGGCAGCAGAGCTTACTATGCACGTGATACTGGACGCACTGCTTTCACCGTGTGTTGAACGACTTGGTCAAGCCCCTGACGCTTGTAAATGGCGCTCACTGCAGCCTAAGCCCAGATTCCATGCCATGACGTGCTTTCCAGTGTGGTCGGCCGTGTTACCATTCGCAGCACTGATGGGCATTCGCTTTCCGGACGTGTTTCAACAAGTGCTGCAGTCTCGTCAATGCCTGGAAAAAAGAATCTACCAAGTAAATTGCAATTTTGCATTAGTTACAGGCATCTGGAGACTTGTGGAAGAGTTGGATAGAGGTGACAAGAAGAAGCAGAGTGCAGTGACAAGAGTGATGGCAAGTTTGCTGAGCTTTGTGAGCGACAGGATACTGCTGTGCTGCAGAAATGTTAGGGATGATAAAAAGCAGATGGACTCACACCTTGAGGACCAACTATTGGAAAAGTTTTTTACTGGGATGCAAACGTTCTCGTTCAAGAGTTGGCGAGCTGATGATGTGCTCAAGCAGACACTTGTTAGCGTATTGCAAAACGCATTGGCTAGTATAGCATGTGAAGCAAAGATCAGAACTGTACCGCAACGAGTTGTCGTTTTTACAGCGGCAGCGTGTATGATTGTTAAGGACCTTGCAGTCGATATTGTTTCGATGGTAATGAAGCAGATCAATGATATGGACACCTATAGCGGTGAAGATCGACAGCCACTACTGGCGTTTCTTGTCGGGTTCTGTGCTCATGTCGACTTGGTGCCTCTAACATCGGTGCTTGAGGTACTAGAACTGCTAATGACATCGTACAAGGCAGTAGCTCATAATGCTAACTTTGAACCACTGAGACAGCGGCAACACGAATTGGTGTTTTATATCGTATATGTGACATTGTGTCGACACGAAAGTGTCGACATTTTGCGTCGAGAGGTCAGTTCTAATGCAGTAGCAGCAATGAAGCTTCTGACGCAGTTTCAGATGCAGCTTTGCAATGAAATAGCTTATGAGGACTTTCAAGTCGCCGCTCCTGTGCATTGGATGGCTCGCGTCTGGAAACATTGGGTTTTCTTATCTGATACAGAAGTACAATCCTTTGTGTCCGAAGCCCAAGAATATGATACGGAAACCGAGCAAGAGTATAAAAAGAGAATGGCAACATGGCAAGCATTGGAGGCACGGATTGCATTTAAGCTCTCGTCCTTTTCGCTCTTTGGGCAGATGAAAACGTTGGTAAAACCACACTTGATATCTTCATCATTGACAGAACTGAATGATGAAAATGGACTTGTGGTACGTGCACGAAAGCGTCGGCGGACAGGAAAGACGTGTACGACAAACGTAAATCCTGAGCATCTGGAACGCTCATTCAATGTGTTATTGCTTCCTGATGTAATGGAGCGCGTGTGCTCGTATATGAGCGCCAAGCGACTTTGCCGAATGGCTCTCGTATGCCGACATTTTGCAAAGCTAAGCCACCAAGCATCGCTATGGCGCCAACTCTATTTACGTATCGGGTCTTCTATTGGTAAAAAGCAAAGTCTTTTGCCTGCTATGCCGGTAGAATGTCACCACGGTGAAAGTTACAAGCACAATTGGCGTCAAATGTATCAGGAGCGTTGGCAAGTGCTACGAAGACTGCGTCGTATGCAGCGTCGCGTGATGAAAGCGAAGCAATCAAGGAGACGTGAAGAATCGATGACGAGCAACGAGGTCTCCTCTTCTAGCATCCATACTGCCATGTTTGTCCCACTTCTTTGTGCGTACTGTGGTTGCAACCAAGTGCTTAAATCTCTACACGAACAAGACATTCATGAAGCTCAACACAAGCGATTGACATGCATGGAATCTACCTGTCAAGCATCATTCAGTAAGTTGCACCAATTGAAACAGCACATGAAGGAACATGTGCATGTAAATGGTAGCCATTCAACAATCACGTGTCGCTTTGTCTGTAGCTATGAAGGATGTAAGAAACGCTATAGCTCAGTTAAGCGAATGGCTACACATTATCAGCAAGAAAATCATTTCGATGCAAGTCGCACTTAATCAATTGACGATCCTATGATTGTTCATGTTTCGAATTCATGCTATTCTATAGGTTTTATCACACCATACAGTCATAACAAACAATTGTTCAGAACGCGTGGAATTCCGTCGCTCAAGAGACAACCTTCCTGTAACCTCCAATGCCACCTACGACAACAAGTCATGACTATGGCCCGTTACTACCTCGACAAATTCCTTCGGCAATCATGGATGAGCATGATGAAAAGACAGTTGCATTGATTACAACATGTTCCATGATGTTATCAATTGCGTTGATATTACGACTTGTTCATTTCTATGTCATGCAAAAAACACGACGAAATCGCTGTCACCGTGTGTATTTCTTTCCTCGTTCCTATTCGACACTCTCACTATCATTTCCACTAGTATTATATACTCTGGACGTGAGTTTCTTTCTCATCCTTTGGTATGGAGTAAGTATTACAATGACATTATTTAATAAATGGTTCTTACGTGTGTGGGCAAGTGGGGGGTACCCCTTTGCTACAACAATGACATGTATCAATATGTTTATCAAGTGTCTATTATCTCGACTTTTTCATCGTTGTACAAGCTCAAGTCATCCTGACGTCATGATGGCACTACCGTCACGAATATACTGGAAAGTAGCAGTCCCCATTGGTGTTTGCACTGCACTGGACATTATGCTATCAAACTTGTCATTGTGCTACATTACAGTCACTTTCTATACGATTGTAAAGTCGGGAGGCAATGTATGGAACTTGGTCTTTTCCATTTGTATGGGTCATCAACGTCCATCTTGGTCACTTGTTGGAGTCATTGTGCTGATTTCAAGCGGCATTGGACTGGCGAGTTACGGCTCAGCACACTTTGTTCTCAGTGGCTTTCTATTGGTCTTAACAGCGTCGGTCATGGGGACGTTGAGGTGGGTCCTAACTCAGTCACTATTGCAATCGATGGAAGACAAGAACGGAGCTATTAAGAACAAAGTACTAGCCGTCGTGTACTACGTGTCACCGGCAAGTGCGATTGGACTGCTCCCAATCGCGCTGTTTACAGAGGGAAGAGAATACACGACATCGCGCTTTGTGCTTGACTCGCAGCTCCTCATGCTATCACTGATCTTTATTTTCATTAGTGGATGTCTCGCGTTCGTGCTGATTTTCATTGAGATTTTGTTGGTCAAGAAAACATCGGCACTGTCGTTGGGAATTGCCGGCAGCTTTAAAGACGTCACCCAAGTACTCCTCGCAGTCTTTATCTTTGGTGACCAGCTCATTGCGATCAATGTATTTGGCCTTGTTGTTGCCACCTGCGGAATGCTTTTCTACACGTTCATCAAGCACACGTCTGCAAACGTTACAAGCGACTCTCGAGATGGCAATTCAAAGGGATATCAACGTGTTCCAACCTCGACGGTGGACTTGAAAGAAGACAGAGCCATGTCACTAAGTGTCGCAACAACAGGAAAGAAGGCGCTGTACTCGGTGTATGGCGTGGAGCTCGTGCGACGAGAAAGCAATGAATATTATATCGCACCAGGCAGTGTTGCCCATGTATGATTGATGAACAAATATTTTGTAGCATTTGGCCAGCTAGCTGAATCGGTCGTGGCTAATTAGACATAAAAAATTTGGACAAAGGTACTTGGGCTTCATACACGTACCGCTAAGAGCTGCTAACTCATGCGTGGCGCATGCGGAACATACTCACGCAAACGCCCATCGCGACACACGCTAAAAACACGACCAGTTTGGCCTGTGAGTGCAATACCGCGCACTGCATCATACTGCGGACCGGTTAACTCAGTACAAACGCGGGGCTTGTCGCCAAGGTTGCTCCAATTGCAGCACACACCATCGCCATGAGCGGTCCAAACACTAGCAGAAGCTGGGTCATTTACTGACGAGGCTGAGACTGCGATGCTATGTATTGGCGATGAACTCCGAGACAAAGCGTGCAAGGGTTCACTGCATCAAGTTAAATTGTACGTGGTCAAAAACAGCCAAACAATTGTTTGCCGACAATAGACGTACCCTGTATGACGTAAATCCCATGCTGTCAGAAGACCGTCCTCACTACCAGTGAACAGCATCGGCAAAGAAGAAGTTGCAGTAGTAGCAGCGCACGAGATGATGGAGCCAGCACGTCCGTCAACGTTGAGTACCTGATCGAAGGGCAACAACATGTCAGTCTTTCACCTGCCACACCCTTGCTTTCAATCAAACGTACTGCTTCACGAGCACGGACGTCCACACCCAGCGTCTCTCCGTTGTCGAGTCCAGCAAAAAGCACCTTCCCGTCCGTCTCAACCTCGTTCTCGCTGGTGCACGGCGCGTACTTGCCTACCGCCAAAAGCTGCGCAGTATCGTCCATAACTGACAAACAATGCACAGGACTCTGATCATCGTTAGCCCACTTAGCAACGACGTCTTGCGTCCCACAATTCCATAGCTGAATGAGTCCGTCAGTTCCGCATGCTACAACACTCAACACACCGTCAACACAAGCAAGGGATATGGTAAAATAAACACAAAGGTATCTTACAGAGTACATTCCTCCCTCTTCCAACGATCGAGACATCCTCAACTCCTCCTCGATGTCCCTTTAATACTGCGGCGCAGCGTCCATGGACACTCCAAATTCTGATTGTAAAGTCCAGTGATCCTGTGAGCACTACCTCTGAGCTAGGAAAGAAGCAGACATTCGTGACATCGGCCACATGGCCACGCAATGGCAGCATCTGCGTCCTGTTCTGGCTGTCCCAGAGCATGCAAACACCGTCTGTGCCTCCAATCACCACATATCTCTCATCCTTCGACACATCTAGGGCGTATAGCTGCAGAGGCATGGATTGTGGCGTCTCAACGGCCCCCCGCACAGCCAATAACTGACACATCTACCGTCTCTCTCGGGGCTTGGAACACTGTGCGCAGCTGCTTCGTAGGTAACTTGGACGTCTTCATATTCACTTGTACATCAATCCACGAGTCTCCTTTGTCCATTATTTGCACTAGATGTGGCACATTAGCGGCGTCGAAAGGCGTAGACAGTGGTAACTGATACTGACAACTCGGACTAGACTGCACCTTAGCAGTTGTGCGCTCGTTCTGAGCAAGTTCTTGAGCTTCTGGAGTAGAAATTTGAACGGTACGTTGGTACACATCTAACCAACAAGAATCATCTGCTACATTCCAGTCTGGTTGGATCTGCATGTACATTTGCACGTCGAATGACGACGTCTCGACGACATTTTCTTCCTTCATTTTCCAATATATAAACATATTCCTTTATCAATTCTTACATATGATTGGCTGTAACGATAATGGCTACACTAGCGGTTGACCATATATCGTGTATGCCACACAAAGTTAATGTCTACCACAAAATAGTGTCCAGCTCCATGGTTTGACTTACTATGAGCCTCGTAGATTCACCCGGTGATCAGAGCGAGAATTTGGAGCTCTTGGCGCGCATTGAGCGACAGCTGGACGTCCATTCGGATAATAATGATAATAGAAGCACTCCATCAAGTACTACCACTATTTCTTCGATTGAATCTACATCTTCTTTCTCTACTGAAACCGTTCGCGATCTATGGACACTCGTACTTGATGTCGTGTTTGCTCCGTTATGGCTACGTCTTCGGGCTGCTCAATTGCTTAGTATTTGCTGTGACAATGACTCAAATGACATTGTAGTCATTCGTTTGAAAGAAACGTATAAACTCCGAGCCATTGTGAGCTCTACATGTCAAGCAATTGAAGAATTAGACCCTACCGACGCCACACAAGCGGCGCAATTGTTTACATGGCTTGATTTTCTTGAGCGAGTCTTGTTGGCTACACACAGCAATGTATGCAGTCACGTTTTATGCAGCAGTATGTACGCAGGCATGCTGACTAAAATGTTGAGGCTCTTGTCAGCTTGTTCGACCAAAGTGTTTGCTGCGACGACAATATGTCTGGGCCTCTTTCATTTCCATGAGAAGAAGTGTGAACGTTTAATATTGGTGGGTGAAGTATTGAGGGATATGAAGGATGGTAGAGAGTATTTGAGTGGGGCACTATTGCACGTCATTAACTCGTGTGGGTGTCCGTGTCCGATGGAAAGGGTCATTCATCTCTGGAATGCACTACAGGTATGATGTTATTGAGGGGTTCGAGGCAACTTGTATGGCAATTGTTTACGTTCTTTTCTTTCATTGTGTGATATGTGTATGATGCATTAGTTGTTTGGCGATATTCTAGCTGATGAAACAGCTTCAGAGTTGGTGTTTTTAAATGACTACAAGGTGCTAATTGATCTCATCATTCGAGAGTGCACGGATCTTCCACAGGAAGATATTACTCGTCTGCATTTTATGGAATTGCTGAAACAAGTGATGGATTCCCCTCTTTATCTTCAAGCAAAAATGTATCGTAAACGAGAAGTATTGGAGTTATTAGAGTCGCTGTTACAAGCTGGAGTCGAAGAAGAGTCGACTATGCCAGAGAATGTTGTCGAAAGTATCAAGCACATTCTGGTCCGATATATTGATTTGCTTGACTAACAACATTAGGCAAAAACATGTGACGCGAATGTAAACGAAAAACACTAAATTTGAGCGACTGATACCGGTATTTACTACCGTTCCTATTCCAAAACTGTCGGCTCGTTGTCGACTTTAGAGTGGTCCACTTCTCTCTCTCGTTCCACAGAAAATCTGCGGCTCGGAGCCGTTCAGAGTAGAATTCACGTCTTTCGTCTCAGAATGATGTTACTCCGTAACCGTCACCTTGGAGTCACATGTGGACACATCATTCAAGAACAGACACAGCACCGTCCTGTCCTTCAAACACGTTCATTCTTGACCGTATTTCAAAAGTATCTCGAAGCAAAGAAACGTTATGGTGTCAAGAATACGCTCTGGAAACTTTACAATCTTGGTGAGGTGAAATTTGGTCGTTTTGTAGGTGAAGATACGAACGGGTTCAAATACTATGAAGATCCAAGTGAATTGTATGGTCAACATCGCTGGACGGAGTATAAAGTGGACTCGTGGGATGAAGTAGAAGGTACACTGATCCCACCAGAGTGGCACTTGTGGATGCATCATATGACGGATTCCGTACCGGGTGAAAATGGTCAGGACCCAACACAATGGGAAACTTCCGACATTGTGACTCACTCAGACGCACCATTTGCTACTCACTTGGGAGAATATGGACCCTATTATCCCAATAAAACACTCTATCGTTCACGTGGATATAATGTTGGTAGTCTAGCAACGAAACCAGATGAAGTTGATCAGTATTATCTCCAACCTGGTCATTTACGTCGTACACGTAAACGCAAGCAGCATTTTTTTGCTGACGTGGATTATAACAATCCACAACATTCGGATGAATCTCGTGCACAATCGCTGCGTCCTGCTGACGTGAATTAAGAAACAAGTGAGAAAGAATCGGACGTCTTTTGGATCATCGTGTTTCATCTGCTTTATCGTCGTCATCACCATTCTCTTCTTCTTCTTCTTCTGTTCTTGGTCATTTGACATTTGTCAGGTGATACATGAAAATGAACACAAGATGATGACTTGCAATAACAAGAGAACCATGTGCTTGAATATTGTTTCGTTTTTTAACCTGCTTGATAGTGTACGTCTCTCGTATTTCAACTTGCTTTATCATTCCTCCATCATCATCATTAAGAACCAAGTTGTTGGTTTAACAGAGAAAATCTGCGTGACAAAACAGCTACATCCACCACCTCCGTTGACTCAGCGCACTGCTAAATACATACACACCCTCCTGCTCGTTCTGCGGTTTAAATGGCAACTTCACTACTAGCGCCCTTGCCCTCCAGGTTCAATGCAATAAGCGAACCCGAACGCGCCATATTCGTGCTACCTGAAGACTCTGACGCCGACGATGGACGTTCAGATGAAGGAACTTCGCCGTAATCGCTGTCATCAACATTTGACAATTGCATTATAGGCACTGACGACACGAACGCCGATCCACACGCTGATGTAGCGGCGCTGTCTCTTGTTGACGTCGAAGAGATCGACGACTCGGACATGAAGGAAGCAGTCGACATGGTATGCGAGTTTTCGTCTGAGGTTCGCGCTAAAGTCGATATCCTTTCTCCTGACAAGTTTGGGATCGTGTCGTACACTGATCCCGTCCGTTTGCTACGACGAGCCATGGGCGAGTCCGGTCCCATGCTCTCTTCTGATGTACGAGGCACCATTGGCATTGGACGAGGCCGAACCGGTGCTGGAGGTGGTGGGAGAGGAGCCAAGAAACTATGATTGTCTTCGTCAGGTCCCATACTTATGTCCATCTCGTTCTCACTCACACTACTCTGCGTAAAGTCTGCATACACCGTCTGAGGTGATTCATTAAGTGATTCCACATTCATCTTTCCATGTGCGTTCGTAGCCGTAATTAGTTCAGCGTATTCATCTGGTGCAGACAATTTGCGGCTTCTAGGAACACGTGACGAATTGTAAAGTCCTCGGCTACTAGCGTGGCCATTCCCGATCATGCCCGTAAGATGAAATGTCGTGCTGGATGCAAATTGAGAATTACCATTGCCATTTCCTTCTGATTCCCGATAATGATACGAATAGCTGGCCATTTTCCGGTTACTAAACGTGGGACTCAAGCCTCCTTTCGTATTAAACACGCTGCTGTCCGTACTGCTAGCAACGCTGGTATTAAGTTGATTGCTAGCTGTGCTTGTTCTCGCTGATGACGCGTAGCTGACATCAAATCCCTTGGAGAGTCCCAATTCATCTGGTGAGAGTTCAATGGACATTTCCGGCATTCCCAATTCGTGTTCTTTCTTAAATCCTCGATGTGCAGGAACGGTTAAACACGTCGCTCCTGCAGGAGGAGAATGAACAGATTTACGATTCTTTTCATGACGTTTTCGTCGTGAACGTAGGAATAATAAAATGGCAATGACAAGGACCAAGACACCAAGACTAACCCCAATGGCAAGTCCAATATCACTCCCAGTCTTCTTGTCATGCCTGGTTTCTTCTATCACTGGTGCAGGAGTCCGCTCGGATGGAGGAGAAGAAGAAGCAAAAGTCTCCTTCTTATCACTTAAAGTTGTTTCAATTGGTTCGACTGAAGCTTCTGGTGTTTCAAGTACTGTCGAATCTTCCAGCAATGAAGAATCGTTACTGTTAGACACGATGGAATCAGAAGAAGAGAGACTAGTACCATTCGTATTATCAGTAGCAACAGAAGAAGAAGGAGAAGACGACGACGTAGTAGAATACCCACTCGTAGCAGCATTTATTTCCGAAGAAGTCGCTTCATTCGATGTCACTGAATGAAGAAGACTATTGACTAATTCATCCGTCGAGACTTGAGTACTTGTTTTCATGATAACTGACCAATTTCGATTGCAAAACTACGGACGGTCGAAGCGACGAAGAGTAAAGACACTCACTCAACCAACAACACTAGTAATTACTATCACGCTCTTGTCGAACTGAATCGAACACGAAAAAACAAGTCAGTTAATGACTCGAGTTCTTTTTGCCCATCAATCTGGCACATACAAAGATCAAGTAGTTTCGACCGTTCGAACAAGAGGTTTTCATGACCACGTGATAGAAACAAGACGGAATAAAACCACCACTGCTTGGACCATCAAAAGCAGCCAGTAATCACGAGCGATGACTGACCATGTGACCACACTTTAAATACAAGACGAGATGAGGTGTCTTCAATACGAAACTCAAGTGAAAAAAAACAGTCATGCTGTATGAACAGATGGTAAATGGTAAGAAATACCATCCGTGAAACGCCATTTGTGTTTTTTCCTTCTTAATTATCTTTTATTCTGTAAGCAATGGAGGTATAAAAACCTATCCGAAGGTTTTTCTTGAGAAAAGTTACATATGTACGTGTGTGCAAGTGTTATATAGTGTGGTTAAAAAAGACCCAAGATTGACAACGTACGTAAGAAAAATGAATCGAATGTGGGTTTAGATGAATCGAATGTGGGTTTAGATGAATCGAATGTGGGGGGTCAACAGACATTATCAAGCCTTACCACGCTATTAAAGTTAAAACACACCTAACTTTAATATTAAAAATTTTAAAGACGAAAACCTCTTTCATGTGAAAAATAAAAAACCTTGACCAAACTTGCGTCGTCTTACATTGCTCGAAAGTCCTTAAACTTATTTTCAATGTCTTCTTTTAGCTCCGGATCAACGCCATTACGTACACCAATCAGTGCTTTAGCCACTGCTTCAGAAGCACCAATCATTGGACGCAATACGGCAACAGGTACAGCACGTATCACTGACCGGACGTAACCTTGTGAACCTGTTTTCTTGTACTCCACAAGAGGTACAGCGACAATTGTCTTGGCAGCTACGTGCAATTCACGTGCAAATGAATCATAAGCCTGGACAAACCCCTCCACAGCAGTCGCTGGTTGTTGGGTCAAGTACTGACGGCCTCCAATACCTCCACCTGTGTCCTGTGCATTGCGAATACCACCACCGCCCAGTCGCCGAGAATTACGAGCAATACGACTGCCAGCTTGGCGGTATTTAAGCCGTTTACGGCGTAATGCTGATGATGACGACACAACATCATCCGCATGCTCTAGTAATGCTTGAGTACCTTGTGCCACTTTTGAAGCCGTATTCAGTGTCTCGATCGTTACGGACTTTAGAAAACTCGATGCACCCTTTTTTAGGCCACGCACAAGCCGTCGGTCACGTCCATAATGCTCCATTGGAAGCAAGATCAAGTCTGCCGCACCTGCGCCGATATTTACGAAGGGGCGGAGAGGAGGCATTGACACACTAGCAACACACTTGTGAATCTGATGCCGTGAAATGTCCTGAACCCACGACACTAGAACATGCTCGCATAGAGCTGCCCATCCATCAAGTCCACTCATTTGTACGCGTCGAAGCACCAGTTCCATACCCTCAAGAACAAATAGATTGATCACTTCTAAGTAGTCACCAGCACGAAGCGCCGCGTAGTCAACGTGGTTTGGCCGGTAGTCAATTTTTATTTTGCACGGCTTGATGTCAATGCTCTGAAAGAACCAAACACCCAAACGGACATCCTCCCCCGCTGTAGGCAAACTCTCACCAATAGATTTCATCTCCACTCCATCATTGTGCAATGTAGACTCGACATCCTCCCTGTCGTCAATCTCATACCTCGCAGGACGCATGTTCGGCGCTGGTGGATTCTCAATAGGCACAAACTGCCGTAGAAATTTCACGACCTCTTGATCGAGGTTAATGCGCAATGGCAGCATGCGAGCCTTCAGACGATGTTCGTCGCACAACTTGGCACCTGGTCGCACAGTCGTCAGCTGCAACCGTGCCATTGAGCTGCCGCTTTCGCGCGGATGTGTCGCCTCAGATTTCCAGTAGCACATGATCTTGCGGATCTGCGATGTTGAAATATAGTCGAGCAATTCTATATCACCCACTGCAAGCACCATGTGAGATGCCAGTGATTGGGCCTCGGCATCATTAAACATGTCCAGACGCAATTGGATCCGAGTCGCCACCAACTCGAGCATTTCCTCTGTCTTGCGACCACTCTTCCTAAAATAGCGCTTTCGCGGTGCAGGCATGATATCTATCGATGCAGCCCGCATTGTTCTTGTAGCTGGATTACGCTTCATAAAGGATCCAGTAGGTGCGCTTTTGGCACTAGTAAATAGAGGTGAGCTGCGATCTTTTCCAAATAGGTCACCACCATCCGAAGGAACATAATTGTCGAACAGCACATCCAACAACTTCTCTTTTTTTGCGGTAGCACTGCCCGGATGCTCCGTACTATCATCATTGAGCACATCCGTATCCTTTGGAGGGTGGAGTCTTACAGCTTCGCTGGCATCACGTGTCCAGTCGCAGCCACCGAAGAACCGCATGCAAATGTTAAAATTACGCAGCAGCACGTGCTGTACAACAATTGGAGGTGGCGCCACCACTCTCCGTGTCTCATTTTCTCGTGTGATGGATCGTATGGTATCTTCGCATTCTTTTTCACCAAACGATAGGGATGTCGCTGAGCCACCGATCGGGATTTCGACATGATGCGGATAAATTCGCGACGGTAAACCCGTCATGGCGGGACCGCCATCATCAGACCGCACGTCATCGTAGAACCAGCGTGCCGTAGGCTCATCCGGTGAAGAGACCGACGGCATCCCAAACGACGAAGGAGCACCTGTATGGTTAGTAGTTGACGAGAACAATGCTTGTCGTGTTGGCACAGCACGCGGAGACGACGTCAAGAAGCGGTTGCGCCGCTGTTTCTCTTCGCCCTGTTGCCGATGCGCTAGCCCCTTCGGGTCAGCACCACTTTCGCCATCATCGCCGTCTACGTCATGAACTTCATGGCCACTGGTCGGTCCCATGTCAAGTAGTCTGTTGAGCCGCGAATGAAGATCGCTGTCAAGCGCAAAATCAAGTTCAATCTCCTTGCCTTCGTCCTCACCGGCATCAATAATCGACATGGACATGCCGTTTGGGAAAACGTCGCTGCTATTTACGCCGTTCACTTCCGCACCGTCGATTACGTTTGAAGAGTGGCGAACCATGCTTTTGTTCTCCATGGGCTCCATTTGGTGCGAAAATGACGATTCCGTCTCCTCTGTCTGTAGATCACTAAGCTCCACTTCATCAAGCCCGTTTTGCATGCCCCAACAATTCTTCGATGCGGCCGGAAAAGCGCCCACTGGGAAATGGTTTTGGCTAACATCGTCATTATCGTTATCATCATCAGATTCGTACGTGTCGTTGCAACTTGCGTTTGCTTGCCCAGAGCCTCCCTGTGGGTTCATGGATTGTACAAACGATTGGACACGAGACCTCTCATCTACTGGCTCAAACAAAGGGATCTTTTCCTCATATGCTACGCCTGTGAATGTGCCTTCGTCTTCGTCAACGACACCAGTATTTGATTCACGTGCAAGCCATCGCGCTGCTTGTTCGTTGTAAAATAACTCTTCTCTCTCAGGAGAGAAACCTATTTGCTTTGAACCGCTTGGCGAGCTTCCTCTAGCCGCAGTAAACCAAGGATTCTCTCCAGCTGCTGCTTGGGGCGAGCAATCATTCTTTCGATCGGGTTCCATCAAAAATGCTCCTGCAGACTCGTCCACGGTGCCATCAGACGATCGCATCTCAGAATAGTAATCTTCGATAACCAGCTCGTTAATACGAACAGGTTTTAAGGATTTTCGCCTCTCGGCTTGTTGATAGTTTGATCGTAATTCTGAACCAGATAGCTGGCCATCGCGTTCAAGACCATATACCATACGATCCTTCTCCCTCTGAATCAAATCTAACCGTGTGCGCAGCAAGCGGGCTTCAGTATCAGTTGCAACAGTTTTCCCAGGAAAAATCTTCTTCCCGCCACCAAAAGCGTCTTCATCAATCTGATCCAAGACATTTATAGAGCCGCGTTCGTCAACACCGTTCTCACCGATGGTAAGCTGTTCAATTCGTACGCTGCTAGTGGAGCAATCTGCTACTCCTTGTGCACCTAAGAATTCAGAAGAAGTGGCGCTAACCGATCGCAAACCATTTGCAGTTGCAGGGCTCAAATTTGTGACAACTGAAGCGCTAGATGGATCGCTTCCTTTCTCCAGGCCCACGTATGCAGTAGTATCACGTGGCTCCGGTTTAATTGCAAGCTGATCCATCCATACCAAAAGCAGCTCAATTAATGTGTTAAAAGAGTCAAAGCACGCGTAAACATTGGCCGTGCCTAAATTCAATTCCACTGACAGCTCTGGTGATACTAATGAGGCTGAAGCGTTTCCTTTAAGCTGGCCCCGTGATCCAGGTGCAACATTATGTACAGGAAGAGGCACCTTCGCGCGTAGAAAAATGTCCACAAAATCCATCGTGATGATCTGCAAGAATCCAAAATTTTCCAAATACGTAAGCAATGAAGGGTATTCTGCATCCAGACTATTACATCTTCCTTCAGTGAAAGTATCTGCAAACTTGAGTGCCTTTTTATTCGAAAATTTAGTGCCACCACGGAGAAAAAGGTCGTTGCCAAGTAGGACGTCGTCGATGTCGTCGTAGCCTGCACGTGCTTGCGTTAGAAAGAGCTCCAAGTCGCCCACGGATACTTTGTATCCCTGCATAACAGCACCTGTGACAACATTGGAAGATATATTAACCTTACCTAAGACGAGGATCACGCGCGATGTCACGGTCTGTGGCGCGTAATCGACAATGACGTCGTAGAAATTAATGAAAAGCTTCGTAAAGACAGTTTTGGGAGCCGTTGCCAGAGGGACAGCATTGTAGCTGCCTCCACCCTCAATAGTTTCAAAAAGCTTTGTACTTTCCTCATCTGACGTGCTCGCCGAGTCTAGCGGAATTACTGGGATCGGGTATTCCATCAGCACTAAATTCAGCATTTGTAATAGCCATTTCGAATGGACATCGTAGCGTAAACTGAGATGCGAGAGGTGCAATTCCACTTTCATATCGCGCATCGCGTTGGTTTGATCAGCAGTGTCCACACCCATGAACAAAATGGGTGCTTTCGACACTCCAAAAGGTGTCCGGTACATTATTGGCACAACATTGTTTGTGCGACCATCTTCTTCCAGCAAAGTAGTGTTTTGGGCTAGCACGTGGACACGAGAGACCAATTGACCCATCCATTGTGATACCTGAAACACCTTTAGAGTCTGAAACGCAAAATGATACGTAAACAGAACTCTCTTCGACTCAAGCTCATCTAGTGTTTTTTGCTCTGTCTCAATGATTCCAGACGGGGTTGGATCATGAGCAGACATCGATGAAGGCAAGGAAACGTAATCACATATGCGAACATTTCCTTCGCGTAGTGTGAAGTTCATGCTCATGTAGCTAGGTATCAACCGGTTTCGAAGCGCAGCCGCAGCGAGTATCTGGTTGTAGCTGTCGACATCGATAGGATTAATCATTAATAGCGCGTCAAACAGCACCAACAATCGATCAAGCGAAGACTTGTAAACAATTGCGTTTGCACGGGGCAAACCAATTTCCACTGAGATAAGCGAAGCAGCTGCTGCTGCCCTTTCGTAGGACTCTGTACGCCCCAAAGCATCCAGGTTCCAACCGTTCAACCCCACTCTCCCACCATCGTTGTCATCGCCATTAACATCGTCAGGTGAGCTGCTCGATGCACCATCAGGACTTTGACTTGAATCTTGAGACAGGTTCTGTTTGCTAGTAATTGCGTCTTCCAACTCTTCACGCGATGGCACTTGACGACGCAAACGGAGCGTACAAACGTCGCCAGAGCGTTTGTCACTACAGGCAGTAATAAGAACGGATTTTTCCAGGCAGGAACTGCGCTGGTTACCATTTTCAGGAGTCAACAACGACACCTTTGCATTGTCAAAAGAAACATTAAACTCGGACAACCATGGAAGTGAACACCCTTTCCTGTTTTGAGGTGGTATCAGTGCACCTGCTTTAGCGGCTTCATCGCTATCATCCCCAGCGCGTGGAGAGTATGACGCAACCTTGACGCCTTCTAAGGTCATTAGTAGCCTGTCTTCGCACAATCCCCGCTTTGAGGACGGGCCAAAACGAATAAGGTCGCTGTTGACCATAGGAAACCGAAGTGTCACTTGCATGCATTCCGTTGCCAGGTCGATAGTCTTTGCAAACTCCTGAGCGCCTTTTTCCAAATCTACCACTGAAGCTACTTTTCGCTTTGACGTATCTTCTTCCAGTAAGGCTAACAAGCGATGCGCTCTATCTAACAGATACATATCCCATTCTACAAGAATAGGCTGAACATTTACTCGCACTCCAAGTGACGCAATTCCAGCTGAAGTTTCGCCAACCACATCGAAATCAATTCGCACTTGAGCAGACAAATTTGCCGTCAAATTTGCTCTTTGCCCGGAAACTGGAGAGACATCAACACACTTCAAAACACATGCAGACAGCATTGCTGCTTCATTCTCTTCGGCATCTAGCGACATTCGAGGAAGCGTCTTTTCCGTAATCGTGAACTTCCCGATTGTAAATGCAAGTAGTAAGTACTGTGAATACGCCAAGCTTGAAAAAATTACATCCTTGAACGAAAATTCCAACCGCTCGAGTCCATCTACACAAGGCAAGGTCTTTGTCGGTTTAACAGGAATACGGGAAACATAACTGTCCGTCATTGAACCTCCATCGTTATGCTTAACCAGTGTATCCTCCCTTTCTTTATTTTCGTCATCGTCATCGTCAGGCAAGTCATCATACAGGACGATGCATTCGCATTCAAGCAAGTGAAATTTGATTCTCGACTGCAGTCGGCGCGCCGCTCGGCTCTGGGCTGCTATCGTTGACGATGACAGCTGACTTCGATCGTCATTTATTTCACTTTCGTCAAAACCATACCGAGCCGACGCATACATGGACTGGCCCATTGCACTCAAGCTTTCAAACGATGCACCTGGTGCAATGGAACTAGCAAGCCCGGATTCACATTCGAAAAAACCATCATCGTCATCATCTTCGATATCTGACAATCCGTGGCTCTCGACACTTTCCGCCAAAGATAATTTCCCTACATCAATAGATACCTTCCCTTCTGCAGGTGTCGTTTTCTCTTCAGTCGAGCTTCTACGGCGACGTGCATTTTTTAATTCATCCTGCGTTTGTCGATATTGTAGGAGCAGCTGCTCAATGCGCTGGAATTCCTTCAATGATAAGTTGAGTGCTCCTCCGCCCCCATCGTTCTCGCCATCATCACTTCCAGTCATCCATCCTGGTCGATCGTCACAAATAGACTGGAACATTGTCGAGATATATCGATCTTCAAAATGGTATGCATTTAGCTTAACCGGATCCGTCGAAAATGCATCTACAATCTTTTCCAGTTCCAAAAAATACTGAGGCTGTAACACAACCCGAACAGATCGAACAAACACATCGGCATCCATTGCTGGTACCTCTAATGCCTCGTAATGCGACAGCTTCACCTGAATATAACACTGTTTGCTTGGATCGCTTGCAACGAACGGATGCAGAATCATGTCGCTGTCATTTGTACGGCGACGTTCATTCCATCGGTCTTCGCCGTTCTCTTCTTCACTACTCAAATGCAGGTCCATACTGACTCCACGAAATTTAATGCCCTTTCGGGATATACCAAACAGCGTACTTGCTGCCATTGACTGCATCCTACCATCCGTCGCTTGCAAATCGTGGTCCAAACTACTTCGTCCGTAGCTGTTCTGCACTTCTGATGTCGACTCGTCCATAAACTGCGCCCACTGTAATTTGCACAACAACGCAACGTCTCGTCCATTATGCATTTCTCCCGTCTCCAACCGCAAACAAATGTTTGACAGGGTCACTTTAATCTTGGACGTCACCTGTTCAATCCAACTGGCTACAAAATCAAGTCCTTCCTGTGAAACTTCGTCTACTACCTCAGTCATCATCGGTTTCCTTTCCTGTCGTCCACTGTCCTCCTGATTCTGCTGTAATGCAGCGTTAAGAGCTAAGTCATTTCGTCTAATCTCCTGCGTCTCGTGCTTGTCAAGAGGCACGAGGATAATCTCAATGTCATCAATCTCGACCAAACAACTCTCACTCATGATGCTAGCGTACGAAATGGATACTCGAACCGAGCCCAAGTATCCTTTTTTTACCTTAAACGGCAGTCCTTGCGCTTCACAGAGCTCAGTATTAAGCACATCAGCATTAAGCAAGAGATCACAAAGTTCCAAACGCCCTGAGCGCAAATGTACGTCCAACTGATCAAGATCCAGCTCATCTGCAGCGAGAAAGCGACCAATCATACGCTTCAGCACAAACTTATACAGCCGCTTTAGTGCTGGGTCTGTCAATTGCTTGAAGAATTGCATAATCTCCTTGTTGAATTTTAAATATTGTTCACTCAGTTTTAAAATACAAACACTTGCGTTTTAATGCGTCTTAAGGTCCGAATTAAGACCTTCTAAGTAAAGAAATAGCACGAAAACGAGTAAACCTAAAATAGATAAATTAAATTGGGCACTTCAAGGACAGGTTAGAATAGAGTGGTTGACACAAGTCTGTACTGTATAAAACGTAGAGAATCAACTAGTAATTGACATATAACGTGTCTCACCTGTATTTTTCAGCTTGTTAGAAGCTATAGACGGTCACTGGGATCGTAGAGAAGGCACTATTGGACACCACGTCGTGCCGTCTGCTGCTCCACCTTGAGACTTTTTTGGGTTGTTCTTTGAAGAATTTGATAAGTCTTTTTGACCAATAAGAAGCGTGGATAGTGTGGTGTACAGTACTTGGGTATATCATTAAAACACATACCCTCTTATAATTGTTGTAAAAGTGCGTTGGGCTGCAATACTTCTTTGTAGCGTCGAGAATCTAATATCATATATATAGATATAAGAAGGTCGTAATGGGTGGAGGATGCACAACTAACTGTAACGAAAGGGCACATGGTGTACTGGACTTCACTTCACTTCAAGTTAATTCTATCCAGTTTCTCTATGTTTATATACTAACCAATCGACACAAACCTTTATCTTAATGGGAACCCCATAAGCTATTGGGACTAAATCCTGAAGATTTAAACGTAGGACGGTCAAAATCGGTCGCAACCCCTCAGATTGTATGCCAACATAGTTTCATAGCCAAATACGATTCCATACCATCCATTCAGTCTTCTTTCGCTATAGCAATAATGCTCCGTTACCTGGAACTGCCTGTGCAAAGACATTCAAACGCGTTCTGGTTTAACCCGAATGATGTACCACATCTTGCAGAGCTTCTTCTCAATACGACATATGATTCTTGGCACATGAGCCCAAGAGCAGTATAGGGTGACCCAGCTCTGAGATGTTTTGGAAGCCATGTGCAACTCACGTATGCGCCGACGGTGGCGCTAATTGTCTTCGTAGGGTGAATATTAAAGCACAGAATTTCGTGAAACCTCACTACATGCAAGGTGACTTAGACTTATTGCGTGATGATGTTCGTGAGTTTTTTATTGCCAAAGGAACGACGGTCCTGAATGATCCGGACACTTGGACATGTGGTTGCAATTGATCTACCAATTGCAGGAGGAAATGTACAAGCACCAAGATACGTACAGTCGTTTCACTGTCGTGATCTTTGGATCCATGGGTGGACGTTGTTTTGACCAGGAGATGCAGAACGTCAACGCGTTGGTCCGATGGAGAGACAAGTTCCAACAGATGGTGGTAATCAGGTGGAGGTAGTAACATTGCATCCACTTCTTTCAGACAACAGAGCTAAAGAAGAAGTAGCTTGAGTTAACTCGATGGTAACTTATAAAATAAGATCAATCGATTAATCAATCACGTTGTACGTATTAAGCAATAACTGGAAAAACACATCTATGAATTCGAAAGGCCTTAACATATATGATATGATGTATTTGCAACACAATACGCTTCCTAAGCTAATATTTGCTTTTCTATTACAATCTCGTGCCTATTGTTGCAATACAAGCGGCATTTGTAGAGAAATAAATGACTGGAGCAAAGGATGAAACGACTATTTCAAAATGTCATGACTCTTTTGTTGTATTCTGAATTAGTCGCATGACAAGAAGATCGTAGTTATATATGAACTATAAATGGGAAGTACAACGATGATCTAATCTTTCATTTTCAGACTAAAGTTTCTAAATCCAGGCGGTCGTAGCTGCCTTTTGTTAATGAGACGTTTACAATGAGTATTTCCACTATTCAACAAACTGGAAGTGTATTTCATAGTATTTCGTTAAACAAGATGATACATTGTTACATTCTACTAACCATCTGTCGGGACTGATATTCCCAGTATTTGATGCATGACGAACCAATTCTGTGTAGGAAAACCACACCGCACGTAGCTTTGTCGCAGTATGGAGAGTATTTTCGTAAATGCTGTAGATTGCATTGCCTTGCAAATCCACCCTTGCGTTTCATGGTATGAAGCACTAAGAACGTAGCTGCGAAACAAAACCTGTGTCTACTACACACACATACTTACAACTTTACTCGATCCTTTGCAGATTCTTGCATTGTTTCATCTGATAAGCCACCATGACGCTGTTGAATCCCAAAGCTCATATCATGGAGACGTACATGGCGACGTGAATCATCGTGATCATAAAACGAATCCACGACACCAAAAGCATAGCAATCTTGCCACCGCACCTTTTTTTTTACCATGACCGGCACGTACTTGGTGGCGACCGACTTTTGAAGCTGTACAATGCTGACAAAAGGCATGAAAAATGCACGTAACATGCTGCCGAGCTACTGTAGCTACGCTACTTATGCACTATGTGCAGAAGAAGTAGTCAGACTACTGTAGTAAAGCTACGTATGCACTATGTGCAGAGGAAGACAAGCTCAGAGAGCTTCTACGTCTTAGGGTGCTCAACCCTCCTAGGCTAGCTCGTGAGCTTGTGCCTATCGGTATGAACAACCGAGTCTCAGAGAGACTAGTATCAAAGATACTGATCCTTAAAAGGAATAGAATGCTCAAGCTGTAAGGCTTACAGAGCAGGTTTGAAAATGATTTATATTTATGTTTATCTTCTAACACTAAATATAGAAACACCTATCGTATACTTAGTGCTAGTCACTATTACTGGCTCTTTAGCCTATTATTATTATGCAAATATGCATAGTCACTATACTTTAGATAAGTATAGTGACCACGTGGCTCTCTGCCACGTGGGTCACTATACCACGATGTGGCCCTTCGTACTTCAGGTACGGTCACATCACCTACTTTGTACCCAAGGTACAGCCACACCACATTGGCGTGGCAGGTGTGTATATAAGATACACACCTTTGTGTAACCCCGTTACACTCTTCCCCACCAATCCGTGGGACCCGACGTACCTACGAATTTTCGCACTTGATTGGAGGCATCGATTTCATTCTCTTCTCATTTTGCTTGCCTCGCAGTAAGTGCTTGCACTTGCGTCTGAAGCTCCTGTGTTTTTAACACTTGCTCTTTGAGCACCCGTGCATTGCACACACGCTTTATAAGCATCCTTGTGTTACGACACTCGCTCTTTAAGCATATAGTGTATCGCACTCACGCTAAAGCATTAAGTGTTACGACACTTGCTTATAAGCGTTAAATGCCAAGCACTTGATATTATTAATACCCCTTGTGTGTTCACAAACACTTGCTTTCACAGCACAAAGTTCCTAGCACTTGTTTTTAAGCATTACAGCGTTCACAACACTTACTTTTAAGCATTACAGTGTTCACGACACTTGCTTTAAGCATCACAGTGTTCACGAACACTTGCTTTATAAAGCACTTGTCTTAATAGCGCTAGCGCCATCATGGATGAATCAATGCGTCACGACATTTTTTGGGGACGATGACAGTGACGTTGCCTCTACGGGCGGCGGAGCCGAGTCACCTTCGGGTCAAAGTGACCCAAGATTAACACGCTCACCGAGCTAGGGACGTCGATCTCAATCTGTGTCTTTCCCTACAAGGGAGACAACCGAATGCGCCAAGCGCCTCCTCTTCCCTCGCGAGAGAGTAGAGACGAAGAGGTAACCAACCCTTTTGACGATGGACAGCGTTGTCAACTTGATGAAGAGGCCCAAGCGGCCGCTTTGGCACGGCCCAAACAATTGTTTTCACGACGTGATTATGGGTTCATGCCCCGAGGCCATAATGAGGAAGCTTGACGAGCTGCATCGCAATCTTTGCGAACCTATGTCATTGTGTCCCATGCCCGTACGGTCTGCGAGAATGCAGATAGTGTTGTTCTTCTTGAGCGGCTCCTTACTCCCCAGGCTTTTACGATGAAATCGTATCAGGAGCGACTGTCACGACAGTCAGGTGGGGTACCCGTGCACCCACTAAACGTCATACCAGTGGTGCTTGCTCCAGGTGAAACGTTTGCACAATATGATCAACAGTTTACCCGTTGGGTAGAACGAGCATGTAAGCTCTCAAGTTTGTCAAGTTTGCGCTTAAGCGCTAAAGCGCAAGACGTTTGGTTAGAACGTCTTCTGGCCTCAGAGCGATAACGCTCAAAAGACCGACGGTGTCGATCGACACGGTCATCGAGCGATGACAGGTGAGACCTCACCGATGCAAGGGCATCACGCTCCAATAGTGTCAGGTGACGCTCAATCTCATAGAGATAAGAGGCCAATGGGTTATCGACCTCCTCCGACGTTGATTGATGGCCAGGGTCATCAACAGTTCCACGTGGAACGCCTCTTGGCTCGGCGTCGTCATCAGGGTCATGCTCAATACTTGGTGAAGTGGAGAAGTTACTTCCAGTCGTATGACTCGTGTAGAAGTATGAGGTACCCCTCCGGCAGGATTGCCCTGACGCCGTTGACGCTTTTGACCAGGACGGTCAGAAGCGACGACAGCTGTCGTCGGACTTTTCCTAGCACTAGGTGCTGTGAAAGTAGGGTCAGTAGGCTGGCTTTGCCTCTGACCTTCAGAAGAAGCCAATGTCGGTACATCATTAGAGTGAGAGGTACGGGCAACCGCTTTAGAAGCTTGTCCCCCACAAGTCATTGACCTGTATGTGGTAGGTAATTAACATTTAGCTTTGAGTTTAGCGAAGTCAAACCGTTCGGATCGCTTAACGGCAATTGAGCACTCTCAAGCCAAACTGCGATGTCAGATCGACCTCCTGGTACGCCTCCAGAGTTCATATGCACCTCCGGTGCCGTACTACCCGCATCCTTCGGCCGGGGATGTGGGGACAACCCCCTCGAAGTCCACCGAGGCAGGGCTGAGATATGGCTTTAACAAGCCCACGTATGACACAGGATATGCTCGCATCTTCTTCGGAAGGTTCAGTGTATAGGCTAAACCTTTCTTGCTGATGACCTTGAAAGGTTCAATAAAACGTGGTCGTAATTTAGTTTTATATGCCGCCGAGACGGTACGGGTAGGTAAATTCCTAGCGTCTAATAAACTAAATCACCCACTTTGAACTCATGTTCGTTTTTCCTGCCTTTGGCATCTGCATGTTCCTTCTGAACATCCTGGCTTTCAGCCATAGCGTCTTTGACGCGACTTAATGCGTCAAAACGCGTTGATAGAAACGCTTCCACCTTATTGCGCATCGCAACAGGGCTGATATCAGCCAAGACTTTGGCTATCTCTCCCCCCACTAAGCCCCGATGTGGCGGTAGGCCAAAAAAAGTCCATAATAATGGACTGCCGCAATCCCGAGAATACAGGCAAACTCGCCAAAAGCGCAGCCATGTTAGGCGAGGGTTTCACCATTTGACACTTTTCACACGTGTGTACGTAGGTACCAGCCCATTTGTACACCTCAGGCCACCAATAATACATGCTCACAGAGCTGTAGGTCTTCTCACGACCTAAATGACCACTAAGTGGTGTATCATGAGCCTCATAAAGTATCGGATACTTGAGGTCCTCATCATGAGGTACCACAACACGAGGTCAGTCATCCGACCCTTAACTATCGTACCACAGACCATCGGTCAGTGCATAACGATGTAATCTCGTACGATTACGTGGTGAAAATTCACCTTAGAGTTTTCAAACTCTGCGCTACCCAGCGCCTGCAGAATGGCAACACATGCCTCATCGCGTGCAACGCCACACGAATACGATCCGTTACTGACGAACTCACAACAGTGAGACAAGCAAGCTCATAGTCAGGTCTACGCGATAACGCGTCAGCCTCGTCGTTAGGTGCATGCACCTCGTTGTCCTCAAAGACAACATCCATTTGTGACTTCACCCGGCCCTCCAGGGTCAGTTCCTCGTCAATCATGTCACTTGGACTCATGTCCTGACATCTTGGCTTGCAGCCACCAACACCACCCACAGTGTTTAATGATGTAACATCATTCTCATGACACATGTCATATTGCCATCTAGTGAATTCTCAACCACAATATCGACAGTCATTGGGCCTCGCCCAGGACTATTGTCCTCGACACTTACAGTGTCTACAAAGTCAGATACTCCGACATCCAACATACTGACCGACTCGGTCCAATATCCGCGCCAAAAGCGCTTTTGCTTCCTAGCAGAGGTGGGTCATGACTCTCCAGAGCCCCACCAGAAGCATTGCACGTTCCGCCTAAGGTCTTCGACCTCCAATCAATCCATGGCTCATGACGTTCTAGCCATGCCTAGAATGAGGTCATACCTCGCATCCAGGTTTAAGACCAAATAGCGTTCCATGCTGTTAAAGTCCAAGAACTTTACATTTAAGTCCATTGGGACTTTAAGTACCGTAACACGCGTACCCGTCGCTAAGCAAACTGTGACTGTGTCACTCTCACGCGCTACAAGCGCTTCAGCATACTACTGACTACCTTTCACGGTAACACGGCGCACATAATTGCCCGATGCCCCCGAATCGATTACAATGATTTATGGCTTATCATAGCCCTTAAGCGTCCCTTCGACGACTAGCAATCCTGGCTTGCATTCTCGTTCCGTTTTTGAGAGTTCGGATCACTTTGGTGCTGGCCCTGTTTACTTCTACCTCCTAGAGGTTCAACAGAACTCAGTTCTTTCCCAGTAGGGCGCCCCGCGCCTACCTGGAGTCCGCCGTTTCCCCGCGGCAAACCAGAAGGTTTACCCATGGGGCGTCGGCCCTTTGAGGCCAAATATGCCTTTTTTGCAGGGCATTTTGCCATCAAATGGCCTGTGCTCGTGCAGATATAACATCTGCGCACAATTTGCTGCTCCGCAGCTTGAAGCCTAGCTTCTTCATCCTCCACTTGACTACAGTCCATGGAATCAGACGAGTAGTTATAAGTGGCAGGCCTAGCGGCCTTAACGTTGGTCTCGGCATTCCATGCCACTCCAACAGCTTCTTTGAATGAGGATGTGTTTACCCGGAAGACTTCCGTTCTCCTCCATGAAGACCGTGACGGTCGCTACCTCAGGCATAGGGTCTATGACCATGGCAGCAATGAGAGTTCTCAACTCTTGTACATATGCCGCAAGCTCACGCTTGCCTTGGCGACACGCCAAAAATCGCGATGAATTACGGTGTGCTTGGTTTGGCGGTGCATACTGCCAGGTCATCTGAACTTTCAGATCGACCCAGGTTGGGAATGCATCTTGCAATGATGCACCAAATGTGAATGCCCACTGTTTGGCTAAGTCACCTACTTGCCCGTGACAAAGCCCACACGGTACGGTTCATAGGTGATGTCGGCTATAAACATAGCCGACTCAACCTGTCGGAACCAAAGCATAAGGTTGTCACCTTCTTTGCCGTCGAACTTATCAACTTCCATTTGTATGGGTTTTGGTCTGCGGACCACTTCTTGCGCCATAGTCGCCATGGGCGAAGGCGCAGAAGAAGGCATCTGTGCCTTTACATGCTCGACTAACATTTGTGTGGCAGGTGTGTATGTAAAATACACACCTTACTGTCTACCTCTTTGAGCCTATGACGTAGCACACAAGAATTGATGTGAACCAACACAACGTGCTGTCGTTCTTGCGATTGAGCACGATTATTACCATAACTGCTCATTTGTCGTCTTGTCACCACCTCACAGAATCTGTTGCTTGACAAGATGATCACCATTTGCGTCCACTGCACCACGTCATACCTTCTGATCACCTTGCTTAGCCTACATGTTGCGTTGTCGCTTTCCATAAAAACCTAATGTAAACTAGTAGTTTGGCAGTGACAATAAGCGATGGTCCTTGCACGTTTAGCTGTCTGAAACTGACGCGTCTGTATGACCGTATATCCTTACTCCGTTGACTCGACAAATGGCAATCCTGGATTTGAAGCAGACGGATTTAACAAGGTCTTTTCATCACAAAAATAACTCATTCCTTCAGCACGTGCTGATTTCACACAACTGCATCTCTTCCTCTTCATCTCTTGACCCTAAGTGCACTGAAGGGCGAGTAAAACTACTGTGAGCTGTCCTTGCATTATGATGCCGTCTTTTGCTTGCTATGCTTGCAATCTCGGGCCTGAGTTATAAGTGTGTTCATTAGCGGAGGTTGGGAAGTGACCATTGCCAGGCACTTTGGTCAATAGCGTTTCTTTAAGCATATATATACCAGCTCGAGAAGCCCACAGCTGTAATGCTGCTGAGTTTCGCGAACGAGATCCGAGCTTTACTAAAATATCGTCAGGTCAGTGCATTTTGTCCAGAGTAATAAGGTGGCGGTTTCACTCAAAATCGCTCCAGTCTAGAGCTGCTGCAAATGAGTCTAGGAACAGATAAGCTTGCACTAACATCCACGTAACATGGCATCATTCAATCAAACCGCCAGCTCCACTAATTTATCGCGCACAAGCGTCTGCGTTCACGAAAAGACGTTTCATCCAGCAGCACTGCCGTACCTGCTATGAAGGGAACCATTGCTGGTTCTCTACACTCTGGTAGTCTATCGAGAGCTCAGCCACTTCGTACTCCAATGCACAGCAGTCCACCAAACACGACGACTGCAGCCCTGACGCCACGAGCAGTAGGTCTCCAAAGCAGCATGTGCACTTGACCCAGACGCAGGTGCACCCCACGTCCTTTCTTTGATTGGCATAAAGATGCTGACTTAAATCGAGACGCTGGACATCCGTCGGCAATGATACGCGTCCAGTAATATTTCTCGCCTAGCATCGTGCGTATGCTCTCTCTCCTCGTAGTCAACAGCCTGGCGTTAGAGGACGCGCTAAAGTCTATACTCAAGCACGAGCACGAGTTTTTGACTTGAATAAAGACTTACGCTGTTGTACTTCTCGGATGCGCAGGAGTTCGTCACTCGCTTACAAAATGACATCGCCATGACTGTAAATTTTCTAGCAACACTTCAACGTAGACCACAACGAGTCCTTGCATATGTCACTAAATGATTCCAAGTAGAAGACGACAGAGTTCGTTTTGCCCGAAGGGTACGTCAAGCGGTACGTGTGTCCATCCTTCAAGCATAACAAAAGCAGAGCCATTAATACAATGGGGCATATATTAGTTTTCTACACGGACAAGATTTCTTAATGCAGGTAAAAGTACCATAATAAAGGTACACACTTGGTTTATGACATCTCGGTACGTTCGATTCAGTCATGGTGCATTGGGGGACTGTGTTTGTGACGGTAACAGCGGCAAGTTTCGTACTTGGGCGACGTGAACTGCCCAAGCTCGGACGCTTTATAGGCCTCTATAGTGGACGCTCAGTGGGCGCTATTCTTCGTGCCAAAATGGAGTTCTTTGATGCCACGAAAGATAATGATCTTGTCAAGCTTCAGCGTGAATTTCAGCGTGGCATTGAGGAGCTCAACGAGATTCGTTCGGAGCTTACGAGCGTTGGTAGTATACGAAGACCTTTACAGCCTATAGGGAAGTCTTCCAGTGTCACGTCGAGTAGTAGTGCGGCGGCATTTGTGCCTACTAGTGTATCCATGTCACAAGCATCTGGAGGACGCTCGTGCGTTGCACTGGCGTCTACAACCGAGTACGAGGCGCAGAATGAAGTGCGACGTAGTGATGAAGCTAAGTTGGCTATAGCTGAGTTGAAGTTGGTAAAGCAGGGCAAGTTTGCTTCAAGGGTCGAGAGTCAGGAAGGAGGTGCGGATTACGTATCTGCAAGCATCATGGACAGTTTGCTGCTTGACCAAACAAAGACAAAGCAGTAGAAGATGTAGGATTCGATTCATACCACATTGCAGTGATTCTGTTCATTGAACAGCCATTGGACTGAACGACGATTGCTGCACGTATCAGCACTTTGACACCGAGATTTACCATTATTAATCTTATCTACTTCTTAACTCATTATTGTGCAAGATATCATTCAGGACAGGCCGTGGCCTAGGCCACGGGCCAGAACCTAGATCACGGCCAATCCTGCAGATCCTTGTTCTGGCTCATTTCGCGTAAGGACAGTCGACACCATTCATTTCAACGTAAACGGACTTCAATTGCGTCCATGAGTCGATACCTGCAAGACCATTTTCACGCCCAATCCCAGACTTCTTATAGCCACCCCATGGGGTCTCTACAGGAGCAAGATTATAATTGTTGATCCACGTGGTCCCAGCCTCTATCTCGTCAATCACACGATGTGCCCGCTTAATGTCTTTGGTAAAGACACCCGCTGATAGACCAAAGTTTGTGTCATTGGCGCGAACCAGCACTTCATCCTCAGTATTGAATGGCAGAATGCACATTACCATGCCAAATATTTCTTCACGCACAATAGTCATCTCATCAATACAGTCCACAAAGATAGCTGGTGACAGGAAGAACCCTTTCCTCGTGGCTTCGGATGGTATGATACGTTCACCTCCACCTTTCAGCAAAGTAGCACCTTCTGCTATGCCCCTTTTTATGTAGCCCTGCACTAGTTTCATGTGTTTCTCGTGAATCATTGGACCAATATCCGTTGTCGGATCCAAAGGGTCTCCAATGCGCAGCTTTAGGGTGCGCTTGTGTATACGCTGCACAAATTCATTATAAATCTTCCTTTGCACAAATACCCGCGTACCATTTGAGCACACCTGCCCAGATGAATACCAATTGCCCATCATTGCTCCGGCCACGGCATCTTCAATATCGGCATCTTCAAATACAATCATAGGCGACTTACCTCCAAGTTCCATTGTCACCTTTTTCAAACCCTTGGCAGCTTCAGCATACACATTCTTCCCAGTCTCAACTGAGCCTGTAAACGAGACCTTGGCAATATCTGGATGTCGTACCAAAGCTTTTCCAGTCTCACCTGCCCCCAATACTACATTAAAAACACCTTCAGGTACACCTGCTTCCAAGTAAGCTTCTGCCAGTTTTAACGATGTAAGTGGCGTCTCTTCCGACGGTTTAAAAACCATTGCGTTTCCAAACGCTAAAGCAGGCGCAGACTTCCATATTGCACTCTGTAAAGGGTAATTCCAGGCTCCAATACCTACTGTAACACCTAATGGTTCCCTCTTAGTGTAGGCCCAACTACCTCCAGTAAGCTCCAAATGCTGCCCACCAATCGACGGACTTATGCCTCCGTAGTAATTCAAACAGTCCGTAGCACTCAACACATCAGTAACAGCTGTCTCAGCAATAGGACGCCCTGTATCCAACGTCTCTAGTTTTGCAATCTCTTCCGTTTGTGCCTTTAAAATGTCGGCAGTTTTACGTAGAATTGTACCACGTTGTGCTGGACTCAAACGCTTCCAGTGCTGCTGGGCAGAGTGACTAGCAGTAACGGCATCATATACTTGGGATTGACTTGCAGCAAAGACGGTTGTCTCAGGTGCTAAAGTCGCAGCATTCAATAGAGTAAACGATTGACTTAAATTCTTTGGCGTCACGTACTTGCCATTAATAAAAGACTTGACTACACGTGTAGCCATTATGAGAGACAAACAATAATAAGACGGGCGAGTCGAAGAAGCGAACATCAAAACCCATACAATTGAATGAATATGCAGAATAAAAGGATACAATCAACTTTTTCTTACAATTTTGAACCATGCTATCCTTCCGAAAGGCTTATGCTGCATTGCAACGTACGTCTTGGACGCCATGTCAATGCTACTGTCGATCGAATGGTTTTGACGTCCTCTCTATTCCTTTGCACACATGGAAGATTTGTTGCGCTTACTAACTCGCTCTCATTGCTTTGGTACGTATCCAGTCGGAGCTTTTCGTGGTTTCAGTGCGCTGTTGGACAATGGCGTCGTACCAAACCGTTCGACACCCGCTGCTGCTTCAGTACCAGTGATTAGTCTTCCACCTGATTACAAGCTGCTACCGGATGATGTACACTGCTTTGTAGGGCTCAATGGTAGTGGTAAGACACAACTTATAAGCAAGTTACAGGACCACGTCAAGGCGCAACAAGCTCAAGGAAAACTGCCAACATCATTTCGTCTTGCAACACTAAGTCTCGATGCTCATCGAGAATTTCAGGAAAAATATGGACAGCACGTGGTGGCAGATGTACTAGGAGGCATTGGCTCCCCCAACTGCACGGGATCTTATTGTAAGGCTCGGGCTATTCCCCGTGTGGGAGCAGCAGGTGCGACACTTGTCGACGGGAGAAATGCGAAAACTTTTGCTCGCTGTATCGCTTTTGGAGACTCCAAGAGCATCGGTGCTGATTCTTGATCAGCCGTTCGATGGATTGGATGTGAAGGCGAGGAGACAACTGCAGTGGATGCTTGGACAGTTGACGAGAGGATTCACGAGACTGCTGGTAGAGACAACAGGAGCGAAGCACGAGGCGTTTGCTTTTAGAACGCAGGTGCTAGTGGTTGCAAATCGATTGGAACAAGTGTTTACAGAGATCTTTTCGCATACGATTCTGTTAAAGCTCGGTGACAATGCAAAATTTGAAATGGTGGCTTGGCCGGGAAATAAAGAGGATGACACACGCAAGAAGGCAATGACAGAGCATCTTATACAGTTTTACACTGAAGAACAAAAAAAACGAAAGAAGATGGCGGACACGGAACTTGTGTCACTAGTGGAGCAACTATTTGTTTGCAAAAATGAAGTTCTATTCAAGGACAAGCAAACTTTGGCTCTACAATTGAATGATGTTTCAATCGCATATCATAACAAGACGACCTTACTGAAAGATGTGAATTTTACGCGTCAAACCCACCAACATTGGGCTCTGCTTGGGCCGAATGGCTCGGGTAAGAGTTCCCTGATGCGTGTATTGATGCAGGCACCTGGGCACGGTTTGATTAAAGGTGAAGTTATGGTTATTGGCGAGCAAGTGCATGTCCCTGGCTTGTCTTTTTCTAGTTGCAATACCGATTCTACGGACCCAAAGCGAAGACTTGAAGCGATCTCAACTGATCAGCACATTCAACTTGTGCACCAAAGTTTACAGTCCGACAAGAAAGAGGACCAAACTGCATTCAACCTCATCCATAGTAACGCTGCAAGTCCTGAGGCGGCTCGGCTCGCTATACGCCTGCTAATTTTGCCTGATGCTGTGAAGATCCGATCTTTAGCTCAGCTCTCGCAGGGAGAGCAGAAACTTGTGCTGATTGCACGTGCGCTAGCTGCACGTCCAAAATTGCTGATACTGGATGAAATCACGCATGGACTCGATCCATTCAATCATGCTCACGTGCTGCGTGTGATTGAAGCAATCGGGCAACATGCTGCACAGCAAACTCACATGGTGCTTGTCACGCACCATGAAGAGGAAATTACTCCGTGTTTTTCAAGCATTGTAGAAATCCAAGACAAACAGCTTGTCGAGCGTTTCTCCGCATCGAAAATTTAAGGGACGAAGGCACGTGCTCAAACAATCAATGTAGAAGGCATTCGAGTGGTACTAGCAAGCGTCTTTCTCCACGACAACTGGATTTTGGGCAAAATTGTGCAAGCAAGCAGAAAGCCTCGGACGTCGCTTATGTAGACTACGCTTGTCGCTAGTCTTCACGCCCACCACGAAAGTCATAGTATCTAGAGTAAGCTATATATATGTCATGGTTTTACTGATAACCCACATGTAACTCTCATGGACTTATAATTGAGCTTAGAAGGAGCAATATGACGAGTAAGCTTTCTATGTCGCTTGAAAAAGACTCATCTTTTAAGGTCTGACGCTCCCAAAACCAACGCTCTGTTAGGAAAAACATCGCTTGAGTCAATCCAGTACTCGTGCATTGTAGATTTATTGTGCTTCCATAACGTTAAAATAGTGTTAAAATCCTCGCGAGCAGAAAGCAGTCTTTAGAAAATGGATTCATGTCAATCGGTCTGGTGAATTGCATTGAGCACGGATTCTTGTAACGACACGAAGAAAACCAAGGCGTGTCCACAGTTAACGAACAACTCGATTGTGAGGCATCAGTCCTTACGAAGTGCCGTAGAAAAGTCGTTGCCCGTCATGTTCGTCACGTAGATTGACGGCTGTCGCGCCAATTGTTTCGCTTGAAAGAATGTAGTGGCGGCGGCGGTTCTGACGGGCTAAAAGGGCCACACCCAACACCATCGCAGAGAAAGCGCACACGAAAAAGAGCGGATATTGAAAGTACGTGTGATCACCTGCCAATCCGTCGATCGACTGATCCAGCAGCGACATCTGTGCGACAACGCTATCCTCGATCAGTCCACCATGAGGCACAATGACATCGTCACTACGAGCACAAGTGGGCGGATGGCGCCCGTTCGTGCATGTACACTTTGCTCCTGGTCCCTCGGGACAAAATCCGTAGCCCCCGCAGAAAGGTGTAATTGATGCATCCGTAATGTAAACACCCGCTGACAGCCAGCACGGGTCAATTGATGGCTTCTCCAACTCTGCTGTACCGTTGCCGAAAAGCTTTGATGGCTCGCAAGCGTTTGTAGCCGTAGGTTTGCGGGGCTCAGGAAAGACAACAGCGTTGCTGTAAAGATCGGGGTTCAACAGACATCCTTTGTCGCTACCATCCGCAGCGCAGTTGTAAGCAGGAAGTTCGCCAACAGCGACACAAAGATCACGGTTCAGCGGTTTATAAAATCCAGTCACACTTGAGTCCATCCAAGAGGCACGCGATAGAACCGCATTGACCAAATTATTCACTGCATCGTCAAAGGTGCCGTCTATATCTGCATTGACATTCGCGCATTGCAAGTTGTCGCTTTTCCAATTGCCGCAATTCCGTAACTGCCGACGAATGGGCTCGGCGCTTGTAGAAATGAACGACGTAATGGCGTCATCACTCCACGAAGTTGCGCGCAGTTTTGCCCATCGCTGTTGAACAAGGGAGGCAAACTTGTAATTACATGCGAGACGCTTCCAGAACGTGTAAGTCTTGTAAATCCAAGTCGTTTGAGCACCACCACGTCCATATGCCAAATTAAAATCCCAGACCGGGCCGGCATTAATAGGTTGGCCACGATCTTTGAAGAAGTAAGTGCTGCGACGATAGGCGTCTGAATTTTCCGACAGTTCCGAATGCAAGAAATAGTCTACAAATGAACCAATGTCAATGTGTTGTTCTAGCTCATCGGGATGAGTCATATTATCGAAGAGGTACTGGTATAAGCGAGGAAGAGGCCCTGTCTTGGGTGATACAAAGTAGTCACGCATAGTTTGTGTTAAGACTTTGGGTTCCGGGAATGTCAAAACAGGTCTTGCTCCAGATCCAAAGAGTCCAGTTGCTTCATTCAATACAAAATTAGGCGAATAATCACCATAGCCAAGTGGATTATTTTGCCACGCCCAACCACCAGAGAGTTCTTCTTCAGTCTGGCAAGCACTGTTTAATTGTGCCAATCCCACTCGATTTGGTGTGTATGTAATTTTTTCCAAGGCCAAATAGATGCCACGATATCGTGGGGTCCAATCATTCGCACCTAATCGATCACGAATAAATACGACAACATGGCGAGTACGTGGTGAATACCGATTTGTACCACGAAACATCCAATGAGCTAAATGATTTCTCATCAAACTATCATCAATTGTTGGTCCATTCAATACAAAAGTACGATCAGCTGGGAACCCAAGTAAATCACCGTCTTGATTCAATTTAATCGCCACTTGATGTTTTGTAAAATGAAGACTTGATTGGCCACGGTAGTGAACATTACCTGAATATATGGCAGTTCGATTGCCATGTACACAATTGAGCATACTATTACCATTATCAATGACTTCAATTTTGGCTTCAACAGGGTCTCTTATGCAATCAGGCGCTGGAAAACGAGGTTGATTACAAGTCTCCATTGGTAATTTGATCGTCGTCGGCGATACAACTACAATCGGTAACTCAAAACACGCTAAATGATAAGTGCAATACATACACTCCAAGCAATTAGATATGTGTTTTCTCTTGATTAAGAAGAAATGCAGATCAATAAAGGAGGATACGCACTTGTGTCAACGATTGCTGCTTCCAGTATCTTGCACTGCAACTTGATTAGTGGAAGAAACAACACTTGGGTCGTTAGAAGCTTCATCGCTTAGGATTGTTTCTGCCTTCTTTGGATCAAATTCGCGAATGAATTGAAGTCAATGTTTTGCATTGTCATACGAAGGCACTTCTTCCCAAACGTTACATATCCATTGGTCTACGTCATTTGGTAATAATTGTACTTGAATAAATGTGTGGTCCAAGATTCTTTTTGTTGCTTCGATTGAGAGAGAAATTAGGTGCTATTTAGTATTGATTAAATTGTTTTGCAAAGAGCTTTTTTGAGCGTTGTATCTTGTTTTAGCGACGTGCAAGAGTGGTTTTAATTCTCGTCGTTTGTTTTATGTTTTGTGCTGTATCCATATCTATATCATTTTAGAACTTAAAGCGCTGTGACACGTTTCATAAAATGAACAAATGTTACAACCAGAAGGATCTAGAGTAAAAAAAAGCCTCACGAACAAGGATGAAGGGTGAAGAACCTTCACTTTGCCGCACTCAAGCGCTTCAAATGCACGATCGCAAGATATCATCCTTCTGACTGACAATGTTTTGATGAAACGGCTCACTAGCTATGCAAGTTCGTCATACCAACGAAGGCGCGTGCCGATGCAACTATCGAGCCATTTCGTGGACTAGTATGGGGAAGGTTGCTTAGAAAATACACAACAGCAAGAAACGATTGCACGCAGTCATCTCCACCCAATTCGTTTCGTAGATCCACATAGCGAGAAAGCAATCCAACCAGAGCAAATGCATCCTGAATCAACTCCATGCGGAGGTGATCATTTAACAACCTGTACATGTCGAATGATTCTCCGCAAGTTCTTATCTCGAAAGTCTCTTGATGGAGAAGCCGCGCCAAGTAATAAATAACCGACCGACAACCGTCTGGGTCGCTGGGTATGCCATTAGTGCTTTCAAGAACAAAACAAATCCCTTCAGAGGGGAACGACGTGATGATCGAAAGCAACAGCTTTACAATCTCGTGTTGCAATGCCCGAACACTGCTAGCTTCATCCTCCGAAAGATTCTCTTCGCATAACAACATCTTGGCGCATCGGTTGAACAACAAATTTGTTTTTGACGCGGTCTTCACTTCGGCAAAAATTTCTGGAATGCGTAGCAGTTGAGAAAGCAGCCCAAGAGCTTGAGCCTTGATGACAGGAATACTTGTTGGTGCCAACAAAATGCCAATTATTACGTTGCTTGCTAATAGCGGCTTGAAGTCGGGCGTCAACGCAGGCCAATGTGCTAGTCCAAGGTCAACCCAGAAACATAACACGCACAGGCCACTCTTCACCACGACAGGCTTCTTAATATTGTTCTTTACAGACCGACAAAGCGCACTCAGCAGCCTAAGCCAAAGCTGCTTTTGTTCTACAGCAGCCTCAGCTAATGAAAACTGCAGTAAATCGCTTTGTACCAGAGACTTATATCGTGACTGAGTCAATAGATAGTCATCCAACGAGGTAAACGTTAGTCCAGGCAGCGTAATTCGCGGGTGCTCGATACTGTTAGTGTTCCGCTGAAAGTCAGTATTTGCACATGACGATACACCAGAGGACGAAGATGCAACCAGAAGAAAATGTTGAAAATGTATGCTGTGATGCATTACCGCATGCATGACGCGCAGCACACAGCAAGTCACGGTCCACTCCAAATCTGTTGGCACCGCCAGATAATCGATGAGCACTGGTGCAAGCGCGACAGCAGAAACGTCTCCTGTCAACATCCTCCCCATCACATCATATAGTTCTCGTGCACGTTCCGTTGCCAAAGTAGTCTGCATGGCATTTGCCTCCATTGCAGCACTCAACACTAAAGCATGCGCTTGAGTTGAAGCCCTCCCTGCCACTTGGGAAAAAACACTCTGTGAGAACGGAATGCTGCCAGGCGATTGCTGCATCGAGCCACTCAACGAATTTCCTAGTGAGCTCTGTAAGAATTGCGTCGGGGTCGAGCTGTGCCAACCTTGCGGGGGCTGCGTTCGACCATCTTCCGCACTCTGCTTTGCCTCCTCTTTAGACCTCACAACTACAATTCCGTTCAATAGCGTTAATAGATCTCGCGAAGTCCCTGTCAAGAAATATGAAATCAGACGCGCATTTTCCTCTTTTAGACTCCTGCTACCGCGTCCAGTCTCCTCTTCCAGGCATATCTCAGTTTGGACAGCAGTTTCTACCACGGGCACTGATGCCTTGTCAACTTGCTGCTGAGAGTACTGCTGCGACGTGACTGTAGATTGACTGGTAGCTAAAATACTCTTTTTTTTGCGTCTTTTGGAGGCCAGAAGCCTCCGCTCGGCGTCGCGCCGCTTGCTCTCGACCAGCTGCTTCTGATGCAATTCTTCCATCTCCTTCATGACACGCAGCTTGGCACGCTCAGAGTTTTGCAGCTTCTCTGATACAAAAGCAACTTTTGACTCGAGAGCTGCTACTCGGCTCTGCATCTCACGCTCCTTCTTGTCGCTCTCTAGACGAGTTTCCGTCTCAAAAAGAGACATGCTGGCGCGCAGATCAAAGTTGTCCTCTTCTGCTTCCTGCAACTTCGATGTCAAGATCTGCATCATGCCTTCCACCTCACCCTTTTCATGCTGTAGGCGCTGCAGCACTTCATGCAACTGTTCGCGGTCGTCTCGCGGCGCACCATACATGGCGACGGAATAGTGCGGGGTTGCAGTGACCATCACTCTGTGTCGACATTTGACAGCTCATACTAAAATCAAGTAATGTATATCTGATAACATCTGAGTCGCCGCCATCATCCTTAATTATTCATTTGTCACACACATTAGCGATGGAGGAGATAAAGGTGGCGCAGGACGTCACAGATATAACGGAGGAGAGCATGGGAATGACACCAGCGCCTGTGGAATCAGATGAACAGTCCATCAACAGACCACTTTTTGATGAATTCTATGATGATTGGGCCTCCTTTGACGCTGCGATCGCACGTGCGACAGCGGCATACCATCCGATCCGCAAACGATCATCGTTGACCTTTGAAGTGTATAACCGCACTGTATCCAAGGGCCGTCACGATCGCAAGAATATTGCCGAATTCTTGTCAAAGACATTCAAGTGTACACACGGCATCAAGTTTCGCTCGCGTGGCAGTGGAAAACGGATGCGACACAAGCTGCGTGACATTGGTTGTCCATTTCACGTTTACGCGTCAGCAGTAGAGTTTGGTCTCACGTACCGTATCAAGGTGCGTACACACGACAAACACAACCACCCAATTGGGCCGGACTCGATGAAGATGATGAGTGGTACACTCCATGAATCGGATTATGATTTGGCCACCGCTACAACGAATACTCACGGAATGGAGCACGGCATTTCGTCCGACGACGCGGCGGAAGTAGCACAAGTAGATTACGACAATCAGATACGGGAACAACTAGTCGAAGCTGAGGCCGAACATAATCAAGGAAATGCGGCGGCACAAGGAGAGGCAGAAGCAGAAGCTCCGTCCGAGACGTACCAGAATGCTCAGACGCAAGGACTGTTTAAGGCTGAGGCAGAAGTACAGACGCTGACAGGTCCTCGGATGCATGCTCGAACACAGGAAGTTTTGCATCCGCAACACAACCACGCGCATTCACAGCCCCAATCAGTGGACACGTCGGATATCGCTAGCGACAGCGGACATGATAGCGAATCATTCAGAGTAGTCTTGGATGGTGCAATGGACAGCACTATGGCAGATGATGTTTTCTCGGGAGCTTCTGGAGATCATATTACTACAGCTGATGCTGCTATTGCAACTAACAACACCATGCAACAAGCAGCTAGCTCTAACGGTGCTCAAGCGCCTGCTAAGTTTGAGGAAACGATGACTTTTGAGTCACTCCGTAAACGCATTGCTGACTTTGCGGAAGAACGTGACTGGAACCAGGTAAGACTGCCTCTTTTGGGTCTGGCAAACCTTGATAGCACTGACCTTTTTGCTTTTGTTGTTCGATTCCTTTATTTGACTGCCAGTTTCACACACCTCGTAATTTGCTCCTGGCTCTCAATGGTGAAGTGGGCGAGTTATGCGAGATTTTTCAGTGGAAGGGCGAGGTCAAGAATACGGAAGGTAAGCGAAAGGTTTTGCTTGCGTGGTGATGATCATGCGAGGAGATAGTGGTCAAAGATAATGTTTTTGTTGAACTTTGTGATAGATTGGTCTGCACGTGACAAGGAGCATCTTGGGGAGGAGATTAGCGATGTGTTAATCTACTTGGTGCGACTCGCCGACAAGTGCGATGTAAATTTACCCGCTGCCTTGAACGACAAGATTGCCAAGAATGCGCAGAAATATCCCGCTGAGCTGGTGCGAACATGTGCATTTTCTTACGTGTAAGGATGCGCTTCACGTGCTGTTGACCAACAAAATTTGTGGTTTTGGCAACAACAGGTCAGAGGATCGTCTACCAAGTATAGCGAGTACAAGCGGATGCGTATAGCAGAGGAGTCGACTTTGTAGAGAATCCATAGTAAAAATTGAAGGCAAGATACGTATTGAGTGTATAAATGAGTTTGACAGGTATGGTATGCGCCTCCGTCAAATAAAGGCACCAAATAAGGCCCCGTAGTATATTGAGCACGAGTACACCACTGCGTAGGCATCCAGCGCAATCGAGTTGGCATGCAACGCGTTGCAGTCTATCGTTCACAGACGACCCAACAGTGCAAAATATGGTCCGACGCGGCTAAAGTGCAACAGAAAGCTTGCAGCACGCTCAGTCACCAAGCTTATATGCAACCTTCACATTATTGTCCGGTTTTCCTAATTCGGCACCTGCTTGCCTCCGTCTGCTCAGTCATGTCTAATCCTCTGGCGCGTCGCCATCTACTAGACGGTTTTCATTCTCAAGTTTCTCGATCATTTGCAGAAACTCTTTCTCTTCATTCACACTCACGACCTTCGGCTCCATCTTGACAGACATCGTGCCCTTCTTGGCGGTGATGTGCTCCTGCACAGTCTCGATGGCTTCCTGTAGTTTCTGTATTCCCTTTTGCTTATCCAGCGTACTAGTAGTCATGACGTACATGGGTGGCGCAATAAGCTTCACCTTGACAAGTACGTCCTCCGTACCCACATCCTGTCCAGCCTGTAGAGCAGAGCGAATGGCTTCAATGCCCTCGTACGTGAAGCAGGTGACTTCAATGTCTGCGCGGATCTTAATAGGTTGCGGAGTTAGTCGGCGACGAATCTGAGTTTTAAGAGCCGTAAGAATCTCGGACGAGACGTCCAGGTCTTCAAATACCGCGTCATCCGTAATGCCCATTTTAAATACATCGTAGCAATGCACATACTCAATCTTCTTTTCGTCGTCTTTTACAGTTTCAATCTTAAACTTCTTGTAAAGTGGCCAAGCGACCTTTTCGTACAAATCTTCAATTTCCATCTGATTCTCCTGGGCCACTTGACGCAACACACCGTGGACCGTCTTTGCCTTATTATAACGCTCTTCACACTTAGCAATATCCTCAGGGGATACGCGACGCTTAGACAGATCAATATAGCCCTTCTCCTTGTCGACACGCAGGACCATAACCACCTCGTTCTTTCCCACGCGAATGAGTTTATTAATGGAGCGAATACGGCGACGAGAGAGCTCAGATAACAAAATCATGCCTTCGATATTGTTGTACTCGAGCAGCGACACGTACGCGCCCATTTCAGCAATGGAGCGCACGTTTACCATGACTAATTCATCGATTTCGGGGAACTTTTGCTCGTAAAAGCGGCAATGCAAGTGTAGAATTTCCTGAGCTTGTGACGTCTCGTCACTAGTTGCGACAGCTGTACTACTAAGTGCCTCCGCCATTTTAGCTAAATAGGAGATTCTTTTCACTTCTGGCGTAAAAGACCTAATACCAACCACTAATTAGATGAAATCAAATAACAGGAAAACATCGTAAAATCATGTGGTACACACTTGTGTGACTGTATTTACCAAAATCAAACATGGGATAGCAGTAAAGCCGAATGCGAATCAAGCAAAAATCAAACGTTTGCAAACACAAAGTCGTGCTAAATTGGCATACATGGTGCATTAAAGCTGGACTAAAAAGGCCAAAGTCTACCAAATCATTTGATTAGACGTTGATAACTCGCGCAAGCTTTTGAATGCGGTTAAGCAACAAATCGCCCTTCTTGATCGCGTCCTGGTACTGCGCATTCTTGGCATCAGGACGATTAGTCTCAATCACACCAGCAACCTTGTCAATTTTGGCATTCAGACGGCCAGCCGCTATGAACCGTGCAAGCTCTGTGTCTAAAAATTCAACGCTTACACCAAAAGCGGCTGCCATTGATGCAATGGTCACACTGCGGTAGGCTTCCAAGAACTGAGCATAGACAAGTACACGCAGCTCGCGATACAAGAAGCGAGAGTGCGTTGAGAGGTACTTGTCGCGTAGAATATACGGCTGGATGTCCACCATGGCGATAAAGAATTTCTTGTAATCGCAGTCGTACACTCCGTTTAGAAAGCTTGTCAGGAACGGAATCTCGTTAATGACCGCCAAAATTTCGGGTGAGTCTACAATCTTCTTCTTCAAATCCACTCGACTCATGCTGAGCACACATGTGATAACGCAGTAGAACACCATTGTATTGTATGGCATCAATTCCGTTGCAGTGAACGTTGCCACCGACTCTTGAAACAGCTTGGACGCCTTCGAAAAGTCGCGTGCCATGAGCGAATAGCATCCTTCGTACACTTTGAGACGGTTGCGTCGGTCCCAGTCGCCTCCTTCATCCACCAACCTGCAGTAATATCATAAACTCATCCTCAGCCATTATCCTATACTACAGCATAATTGCGCCTTCACGTACACTGCAGCCTTTTTAATATGTTGTTCCACCAGCTCAAGATCGGAGAAGAAAAGGCCGATGCGGATAACGTGCAGTGCAACCAGAATTTTTTGGTTAATAGACTGAGGCTTTTCTCCAGCTACAGCAAAAGCCTCCAGCGCCTTGTCTTTATCGCCAATTCTTGAGTACATCCTTGCCTTAGTCAGGAGAGCTTCTAGAACTTCAATGTCGCCTAAATTCTGCTCAGCATCGGCCAGACGTTCATCTAATTGTATTAGCTCGTGGGCATTCTTGTCACTCATTTCGGTTTCCAGTATCGTATCCACGGGCCACTGGAATTCATGACACACAAGACGATAGAAAGGAGCCATATTATTCTTTTGAATGATGTCTATCATTTGTTGCTTGGCTGCTATATCTACGGTCGAGTTGGTCACATGTTGGTGTTGCAACTGGAAATACAGCTGGCTTAACTGCATATTGGGCAATGTGCTAAGTTCATCTTCAATTTCTTCTGAAATGTTACCCATACTTGTCTGCTTTTTCACCATTGAAGCTTTTGTAGTGGAAAGGTTGGTTTCGTTAATGGCCATGAAAGGAAGAGGGGTTAGTGAAGCACGGAGAAAGATTTTGGTTCTAAAGACTTCAGTAACGCAATGGGGAGCTCCTCGTCAAAAATGATGGATGCATTGATCAGGTTGAAAAGGGATTAACCCTATAGGCACTGTCTTAAGTTACATAATGACCTCGGAAGTATCAAATAAACACGGAGGTACGTTCAATTAAGACCAATTGAACAATAATGATGAGGACGATAATAAAAAGCATTACACCATTGTTGTCTTGATATTTCAGTTTTTTAACTGCGAGAAATCCCTTTGATTAATGCATGGCAAATCAAGCAGCTCTACCGCTGCGCTCCTCTAGATGATGCATGCCATGCAAGTTGCTACGTTACGCTTTCTAGATGGCTGGTGAGTAGAATACATACACAGCACCAAACTGCTCTCTTGGATGGCCGCTGGGCATACCCGTAGCAGCATCAATGCGGCTTTCAATCTTTTTCAACTGCTCCAGTGACTGTTCCTTTAAGTGATATGCCTGCTTGAACTTGATCGTGACCTTTACCTTGTGGCCCTTATTTAAGAACCTCTTTAGCTGTTCCACCTTCATATTCAAGTCGTTTGGCTACATCATGCAATAACAAGTACAGAAAACATCAAAAACTTATGGTTTTAAGTCGCTTTACACAAAGAAACCTTGATAACTTACAGCAATCTTTGCACCGATGACAACCTCCTTGTCAGGCTTTGGTCTCTGCTGTTTAGACGTCTTTTTGTTCGCCTTTTTGAGCTCGTAGTACCGCTTTTTGGCATCAAAAAGTCTGCAAACAGCCGGTAGCTTACCCACAGGTGACATTTGCACGAGATCAACACCCCGACTCTGTGCATCCTGAATAGCCTGATGAATGGGGATGTCGGTGCGCACATGACCACCTTCCTCAACAATGTTAACGACTCGTGCAGTGATGTGCTCATTAGTGACACCCCACTTGGTTTCAGCTGATACAAAGCCACGACGTAGTAGTAAATGAGGGTCATACATCATCCGACGAGGATACAATGCTGCACGAACAGCAGGACGAACCAAGGACAGCATTATGAACAAGTTGTCCAGACTATTATTGTGCAAACAGCTCCAGTTGTTTTTAATTGGATAAAATATAGACAGCTTAGTTTTTCAATTTAGATAACCTTTCAAGCTACATACGCTTTGTTTCTACATTATATCACAAACCGTAGAATCTTATCTTATGCTCTTTGTCCCAGAAGACTCAGAGCGCTCGTCATATCGCGGCTACGTGCGCGTAAACGACAATGAGTTCATAGTTCGGGTATCAAACGTCAAGTACGAAGCTCATACAGGTCGCATCATGCTTAACGATGCGCAATTCGACGTTGAACGATCTCTGGCGGTTCATTTAAAGCCTCATAATGGGACTCTGAAACTTCGATTGGCGCAGGCATCGTCTCTTGAAGGTTTTGCAGTAGAATTGGAAGAGCTTGTTGCTATTTATTGCCGAAACCACATCAACAGTCAAGCAGAACTACCTAGTGACAAGTATTACGCGAGAATGATGGCTGAATTAGACGTTGTGGGCTGGAATCACTTATTTCAACTAAGTGATGACTTGCGCTCGCTAGAACTTGAGACAAAGGATAAGGCAGGGCGAACGCACACGATTCGGATGATTTTACCGTTGCAATATGATCAAGGGCTTACTATAAATCCAGAATTTATGGTTGATGCCCCCCGATCCTTTCGAACTGCAGTGGCCTTTCGACAACAATCGTCACGTGTTGTTGGATGAAGTGCTGAAGCAGTTTCGGTACTTTTTGGACAGGTTTCAGGGTTTTTGGGATGTGCTAGACGCACTGGATGCAGCGACATGTGTTTTGGAGCCGCATAGTCCTGATAGAGCCACGGGACGACGAAGGTTGGCTCTCGAACGGTATGCTTCGGTGCAGTTTGAAGTGGACCCAGCACACCCCACTGCGATGTTAGAGGGCCTGAGTTTTTTTGGCAATGAAGCGAGTGTGAAAGTGCTGCGCGAGCGCTGGAGCAGTGCACCGAGCCAATGGGATGAAGCAAAGTCATTGCAGAAAAACCTAGAGAACATTTTGAAAGTCACATTTCCATCGCCGCAGATAACCAAGCCGGATCAGTTTGCGGTGGAGTGCGGTATTTGCTATTTATATCGTTTGGAAGACGAGGAAGATGAGAAAAACCAGGAATTAAAGCAAGGATCTGGAATTGCTTTGGTGCAGCAAAAGACGATGCCACAACAAGGATCTCGTATTCCGGACCGACTCTGCGAGAACGCGAAATGCAACCGACCATTTCACGCGAAATGCCTCTTCGACTGGTTGCGTGCATTGCCTACGTCGCGTCAGTCTTTTCACACTGTCTTTGGTGAATGCCCCTATTGTCGAGAAGCAATAACCGCCAAGTTTTAGCCTGGGTTTTAGTGTAAGAGACCTAGCGACAACATATTAGCGGTAAGTTACGGACAGCTCGGGCTACAAAGTGATTTTGTGTGTCATCATTGCTCGTTATCCAGTTAACAACATTATCTTTACAACGATTGCTACGCATGTTAAAGCTCAGTATGCAGTCGGAGCTGATTTGGACTTGGTTGCTTCCACACGTTGTTTCTTGCGTGTTGGTTTACTCGAAAGTGCTTCCGTTGCCGCGTCCCCGTCGCGGACAATATTAATGGAGCCATCAGCGTTGATACGAATACGCCGAGACGGTTTACCAGTGTCGCGGTCATCATTTTTATTGCGATGACGCCGGCTTACTAAAGATTCTTCACCACGTCGATCCTCGCGAAATTCTCCATAAGGATGAGCTCGCGTGCGACCGCTGCCTTGTCGTGATGAAGACCCAAAGTCGCGATCATTACGATGGCGACTGCTGCGCGCGTCATGACGCTGGTTGCCTCGAGAGTGGTACATGCCCTTCTTTGGGATCTTTTCAGGCGGAAAGTCCTCGTCGGTAGCCTTCCGTAGCAGTACTCTCCATTTCTTATCAGGATGTTGCGTCTGACTGCCAATAAGTCTGTTACCCATATACCACTGCGAGCGATAAAAGGCGACATCAAAGTTCTTAACCTTCTCTTCTTCATCCTTCGTTACCATAGCAGGATTATTATCAGCACGTAATTCCACATCTGCCATATCAACATCTTCTTCGAACGCTGGTGAACTTTCGGTTTTTACCTTCTCCTTTTGCTTCGAAACTTGCCGCGGCAAAATCTCCTGACCCAATGCAATAAGCACTCTATTAGCGGTAAAATTGTCTTGAAAAACAACAGTACACGAACTGTCATTGAGCCACTCTACGTATGCGGGACCGTACCCAGCAAAATACTCCATGACATCGCTTGTACGAACTTGCTGAAACTTGTCGTCCAGCGAGTACATGTGCAATGCGTCCTCACGAAATGCCACTGCTTCTCTTTCCTCGGCCGCCTTAACGTCGCAGCGTTCACGCGCGACCTTAGCAGACGCCGGATTTAGGCCTGTCGAAATCGCTTGCGATCGATCTTCTTCAGCAGAAAGCCCAAACTTCTGAGCACGAACACGCAACTTTTCTCGGTCGCGCTGCCTCTCAACCCATTCTTCCTGCGTAAGTCCCTGCTCGAGTGCCCTAGCTGTCTCAGCAGAGTATTCTACTGCAAATTGCGGCGTGTCAAAGCGCTTCATGCGATGAATTCTCTTGCTTTGTTCTTCTTGACTTGTAATATCAATACCCGTCGTAAAACCCGGCAAAATTGCTCCCGTCCGCTGCAACTTCCTCACTTCTCGTGGATCTAAAAACTTCTTGATATCTGGCGGTACGAATGGCGCTCCAAATCTCTCCGCTCGGCGCTTCGAAGTCGCATACTCAGTCTCATACTGTTGCCGCTGCTCAACCGTCAGCAAATCTTGCTTGCCCAATGGATCAGCTCTCACCATAATTTTCGGAGAAGAAAATGCAGCCCCCTTAGCAGCTGCAAAAGCCTCTGTTTGTCCTTCATAAACTCCAGAAACTTGAACATTACGTAGAGACACGGACGAGTCCCAAGAGGTGAATGCAGTCTGCGTGACACGAACAAAGTCCGGGTCTTGACACGTTGCTAAGACGTCGTGCCCCACATGAGCACCCACGCCAATCGACAGTAAGCCGTCCTTGACGTCCACCACAATCCAATACGGGATGAATTCTTGAGATGAGCACGTACGACCCGTAAAAACCCGGACAAGATCCACCTCTTTGCTAAATCCCGAGGCCGATTTTCTCCATATCAGTTCAGTGTTTCCACTCGTTCCAACCGCCACTTCATACTTCCATTCGACACAAGAAGATTTGTGGCGTCTTTTACCTGTTTTTGCGTTCACGTAGCCGTCCATTGAAGCATCAGGAGAGGGGGCAAACCCTACTCGAAGATCCTCACGTGTCAATGCCTCAAACTTTACGACCAGCGCACACAAAGAAGTGAGGGAAGACTCAATTGAAGCGTCTTCTGTCGAACTATCAGATGTGTGGACGGAAGGAAACCTCCAGTGTTGATAACGTCCGTATAACGCACTTAAATGCAGCTCCGAAGGCGGTGATGACGTATCCAAAATCATGACGAAGTGTTTTGAAAAGAATAGTTTAACCCAAGTAGGTCTTTCCAGCAGGTTTTTTATGTAACACCCATTCAAGCATATCACCCATTTCATCATCGCCATTCAGTCGGTAAAAAGCAACAACAGTAAGAATGGCCAGCGACAAGCTACAGGAAGCCGTAACCAGCATGCTGGACCGCTTGGACCGCAAAATTCTGCGCGATATGCAGAGTGATAGCTATCTATGTGCTGCCAAGGTGTTTGAAAACAAGAACTGGTCGTCAGAGCAGCTTGATGCCGCCGTCGAGCGCTGTCAACTGCCGACAAAACAGGTCAATCAGTTTATGCAGCAGGAGATGCAAAGTTTGCAGAACCGTGTTCAACGCTGCGCGCAAGATTGTCAGGATAAAGCACGGGACTTACTTCCAGCCAGTGGCGGTCCCAGTGATTCGCAGATTGCGCATATCCAGAAGGATATGGAGAAGTGCATTAGTCGCTGCATGGACACGCACGTGAGTCTACTGCCCAATATAAGCTTGCGTATTGAACAGGCAGTGGATCAGGTGAAGAAGCAGCAGCAGCCATAAACATCAGTGCACCAATGTAGAGACGGGTAGACTGGATAAATCTGTTGTTATTGTCTTTTTGTTACTCGTTTACGAGCTATGGCTATTTCGGAAACATGACTTCGATTGCTTGCTTCATATCATTCTTTCTCGATTCATGGATATTGGGGATAGTGATACTCCGTGTGTTTCTGAGTGTTCTAAGACCCTCAAGCTCTTGTATCCAGCTTATCATTATCGACGTTAGTTACGGCATGACACGTCTCAAAAGAGACGGATTCTCGCGTACTACTAGATCTGTTTTCACCTGCGTCACCACCAGTTCCAGTGTGTGTCTTCTTGTTTCTAGCCTCCAGCTTAGCTCGCTGTTCTTTGCGCCGATATAGTATCCAATCGTACGTACCGTATCCTAGCACCATAAGCCACAGGTGGAACCCCATCAACACAAAGTACATGAACATGCACGGGACAGATATTATCAAGCATACAAATAAACAGCTTTTCACCACGTAACCAATCGTGCGAGCATCATCGAACGGGCAGTAATGCAGCCACAGTAAACATAAGATCGCATACACTACTTGCAATACGAACTGCACTGTCCCTGTGCTCGCCACCATGAAAAACTGAACGTAGTTGGCTTTGCCGATACAAGTCTGAAGCCACGTACAATGATGATCTAGTCCCGGCACAGATTTCCGACACAAAGCGCAGTACCGTGTCCTCTCCCATCTTGGTCCATAAAGTCTCACACATGACCATGAATTGTCTTTTACAGGTGCAGCTGGGTCAATGGTCTCACAAGATTTCCATGATATGACTAGGATTATTGAATTGACTATGTGTATTACCACTGCTACTAGTGTCTGCAGATAGAACAAAGTGTCTAAATTAGTCACAGTCATTCTTCCTTACATAGTCGACTGCTGCAGGTTCCTCCTACCCACATAGTAATTGTAGTAATATCGGTATGTTCTTTCTTGACCTTATATTGATCTGTATACAAACAAAAACCAGTCGCTCCAATAAAAAAACTCAAGCCAGAGATTGAATGGCCGATCCAGGTGATTACTTGGTCTCGTGAGAACGGCCTCTCAAAGCCATTGAGACGCTGGTGATCCGGTACAGTATTTTGTCTGTCATTACGACTGTTTATTCGTGGCAAATGATTTATTCTAGATAGCTCATAAGATGAAGGAATTTGACTTAATGGCGTTGGAGTCCGCATCATCGTCTTGGCAATTCGAGCTTCTAGGCGTCAGACACAATCCTCAAATCAGATTGCATGGCTCTTGTAACAAGGTTACAAGAAGGTATTTGTTATACATTTACACTTTTTGGCTGTACTATGTATACATTGGGTTCACATCGTAGCATGAAGCCACGTCGCTAAAAAAAAAGTACTTGATCATGTGTGACGTGCATTTTCATGCCTTTTGTCAGCATTGTACAGCTTCAAAAGTCGGTCGCCAACAAGTACGTACCAGTCATGGTAAAGGGGCGGTGGCAAGATTGCTATATTTTAGGTGTCGTGGATTTGTTTCATGGCCACGATGACTCACGTCGCCATGTACGTCTCCATGATATGAGCTTTGGTATTTAACAGCGTCATGGTGGCTCATCAGATGAAACAATGCGAGAATCTGCAAAGGATCGAGTAAAGTTATAAGTATGTGTGTGTATAGTAGACACAGGTTCTTGTTTCGCAGCTACGTTCTTAGTGCTTCATACCATGAAACGCAAGGGTGGATTTTGCAAGGCAATGCAATCCACAGCATCTACGAAATACTCTCCATACTGCGACTTTCTTAGACCGGCTAAAATTACAAAGCATCGGCTCAAGGCCAAAGATCCAGTACTTTGATAAAAAAAATGCTGCACTGGCAAATGGGGCAATCAAGACTGAAGCTGAGCTGATTGACGAAGTAAACAATACAACTTCTTCAGAACTGATAGCAAGGATGCCGATTCTAACGAGTGCTGTGAAGTCGATTGACAGCGACAATGTACAGTGCACATGCACAACTCTAAGACAGTCGAGACACGCCAACTTGTCAAATCCGCACTTGTCATGCTTACAGTCTTAGTGCTGATTCCCCCCATTGTTATTGTTGCCGTGACTCGCGCGTGCGGCGTCAACGTCGCTATCAGATTGAAATTCTGGCTGTGGTCTCCTCAGAATGACAACGATGGCGTCTTGCTGAATACCTGTATCAGCCGCCTGGTCCGTAAATGTGCCAAAGTACCCAAGGATGTTTGGTGCTGGTGTCTTCAACCCAACAATCTATTCGATTGACCACCAGATATTCTAAAAATGTTGAATGTCCAATCGACTCGTTATCAGTATAACTATGACGTATATATATGACTTTCGTGGTGGACGTGAAGACTAGCGACAAGCGTAGTCTACACAAGCGACGTCCGAGGCTTTCTGCTTGCTTGCACAATTTTGCCCAAAATCCAGTTGTCGTGGAGAAAGACGCTTGCTAGTACCACTTGAATGCCTTCTACATTGATTGTTGAGCACGTGCCTTCGTCCCTTAAATTTTCGATGCGGAGAAACGCTCGACAAGCTGTTTGTCTTGGATTTCTACAATGCTTGCAAAACACGGAGTAATTTCCTCTTCATGGTGTGTTGCAAGCATCTCATCAACAAAAGGCAGCTACGACCGCCTGGATTTAGAAACTTTAGTCTGAAAATGAAAGATTAGATCATCATTGTATTTGCTCATTTACAGGTACGATCTTCTTGTCATGCGACTAATTCAGAATAACAACAAAAGAGTCATGACATTTTGAAATAGTCGTTTCATCCCTGCTCCAGTCATTTATTTCTCTACAAATGCCGCTTTTATTGCAACAGTAGGCACGAGATTGTGATAGAAAAGCAAATATTAGCTTAGGAAGCGTATTGTGTTGCAAATACATCATATCATATATGTTAAGGCCTTTCGAATTCATAGATGTGTTTTTCCAGTTATTGCTTAATACGTACAACGTGATTGATTAATCGATTGATCTTATTATAAGTTACCATCGAGTTAACTCAAGCTACTTCTTCTTTAGCTCTGTTGTCCAAAGAAGTGGATGCGATGTTACTACCTCCACCTGATTACTCAAATCTTCCACGTAATTAGAGCTACTAATGAGACCACCAAAGCCTGTTTCCATCCCGGGACTCAGATTCCACTTCAATCCCGACGTCGCTGTTTCCTTACACGTTCCCGCAATTGGAATCAAACCGCACGTACGCGTTTCAAAGGCGAAATTAGGTGTAATGACATGTCGAATGTCCGGCATTAGTAACCTGACTGTAGTCTTCTCTGACATCAACACCATCTGTTGGAATTTGTCTCTCCATCGGAACAACGCGTTGACGTTCTGCATCTCCTGGTCAAAACGTCCACCCATGGATCCAAAGATCATGACAGTGAAACGACTGTACGTATCTTGGTGCTTGTACATTTCCTCCTGTAATTGAAAGACCAATTGCAAACACTTGTCCAAGTCGTTCGTATTCTGATCCGGATCCTTCAGGACCGTCGTTCCTTTGGCAATAAAAAACTCACGAACATCATCACGCAATGAGTCCAGGTCACCTTTTATGTAATGAAGTTTGACAAGTTCCTGCGCTTTAATATTCACACTACGATCAAATAGACGATTAGCGCCACCGTCGGCGCATACCGTGAGTCGCGCATGGCTCCACATGTTCCAAAACAGCTCAGCGCTGTGTGACCCCATACCACTCGTGGGCACGTGCCAAGAATCATATGTAGCATTTAGAAGAAGCACTGCAAGATGTGGCATGTCATTTGGGTCGGACCAGAACGCGTTCGAATGTTCTTGCACAGGTAGTTTCGGGTAATGGAGCGTCATTTTTATAGAGGAAGAAGAAAGAATGGATGGTATAAATCATGATCCAATCGACGTTTTTACTGTGTGTGACCCACACATTTATGTACATCTATTGACAGATTTTTTTAATATTCTAGTCTGTAACGATATCTCACTTACTGCAAAAAATGATAAGTGGTATATAAGACCGTAGCTTTAATTAAATCGCTATATCCTGGAATCCGCCTTAATTACTATCTTGATTCGACACCTTGATTCTACTTCAAATTGTATAAGGTTTTCTACACATCTGGTGTGCCAAGCAAACATCTCAACATACTCAACCATTTGACTTGACTATAATGAATGTTAATTACAATTGAGAGTCCAACAAACAGATTATGATTCAATGACAACAAACTCATTTCTGTTTTGTACGCGATAATCCGTCTCTTTTAAGACTAGTCATGCGTAGTTAAGTTCAATAATCATAAGCCAAATCACGAGACCGAAAACTTGTATCGTTTGTGAGCATGAGATGCACACAATACTAGCACTCATTCCCTCACGGCCATAGATGCAAATTGAGCAACATAAAGCAAGAAAGCAGGTAAAGACATATCTACGAGCTCGTAAGTGAGCAATAAATCCATTCTGATATGTGTGCAATTATGTATACACACCTGCCACACCATTTTGGTGTCGCGTACCATAGGTACGAAGGGTTCACATTGGGCAATAGTACTTAGCTCAGAACTTTGTTACTATAATATATTAGAAAAGCTACAGAGCCTGTAGCCGAGCTACTGTAGCTACGCTACTTACACTAGCATGCACTATGTGCAGAAGTAGTCAAACTACAGTAGCAAAGCAACGTACACACTATGTGCAGAGGAAGACAAGCTCAGAGAGCTTCTACGTTTTAGGGTGTTTAACCCTCCTAGGCTAGCTTCTAAGCTTGTGCCTTATCGGTATTAGAAACCGAGTCTCAGAGAGACTAGTATCAACGATACTGATCCTTAGAAGGAATAGAATGCTTAAGCAGTTTTGAAACTAATTTATATTTATATTTATCTTCTAACACTAAATATAGAAGCACCTTCTTTATACTTAGTGCTAGTCACTATTTACTGGATCTTAAGCCTATTATTATCATGCAAACATGCATAGTCACTATACCACGATGTGACCCTTCGTACTTTAGGTACGGTCACATTGAGCCTACTTTTTACCCAAGGTACAGCCACACCAATGTGGTGTGCCAACCCCGTTATAGAGCCCGTTTAGTAGTAATAAGCACTAAGTATAGAGTTTTCTAGACCGCGATCTTTGCACGATTACGCCTACGACAACGGTGCAACCGCTGGTTAGCCATTAAGAAATGAGTCTTTTTACTGCTGCCAGTCATTTCAATGCTCTACAAAGATTGGAGGTGATCCAGAAAGGACACAAGGGATCCCAATTGGGAGCATCACGACCTCAATGACCACCAAGCGGTGTATCATGAGCCTCATAAAGTATCTGATACTTGAGGTCCTTATCATGAGGCACCACAACACGAGGCTGGTCATCCGACCCTGTACTATAGTACAACTGACCATAGGTCAGTGCATAACGATGTAATCTCGCACGATTATGTGGTGACAACTTCACCTTAGAGTTTTCAAACTCTGCGCTACCCAGCGCCTG